CTGTGTGTGCTGGGGAGGAGAGCTCTTGGAACAGCTGCCCATCACATGTCCAGGTTATTTAGTAATCCTCATTAAAATACGTTATCCTTTTATAATGCAGGTAGAAAGTTCACCTTTGCAGGCCAGACAGTGCAACACATGCAACAAGAATGATCTTGAATGCCCATTTCTTTAATTTATTGTAACTTTAACCACATAAAAAAGCACAGTTGATGAGATAAATGTAATTACGTTGCTCTGGAACATCGGGATTGTCAACCTTATGAGTAATAACACAACTTCCTGTTCTCCATATCTTGCCATCACAGCAATCTGGAGTCCTTCCTTTACGGACTTCACGCATTATTTAAAGGAGATTTCCGCATCTCGTCCGTGCGAGACGAGTGGATCTTTGCAGACATGGAGCTCCTCAGGAAAGTTGTGGTGCCTGCAATCCGAATGTCCCTCAAATTACACCAGGTGAGACGCTGCAGGTGTCCTGTGGTCAATACCGCAAATGTCTGTCCTACTTCTCGGGGTCGAATGTGATCTGGAACCCAGCGTTGCACTTGTTCTCGTAGGACCACTTCACGTCCCCAGACGAGTACGAAGAGCCAGGGGTTCTTTTCGAGGCCATCTCGTCCCACCAGCAGAACCTGGTCATTGCTCACGAGGGCGACCCGGCCTGGAGGAGCGCTGTGCTGTCCAACGCGCCGTCGCTCCTCGCCCTGCGCCACGTCCTCGACGAGGGAACCAACGAGTACAAAATCATTGTGCTAAATCGGCGGTACCTCAGCTTCCGTGTCATCAAGGTGAAAACTGCAAAACAAATTGAACTTAGCCTACGATTCCATGATCACTGCTGATACAATAACTTCCGCACTCTAGGTGAGTAAAGAATGTGTCCGAGGCCTTTGGGCGGGGCAGCAGCAGGAGTTGGTGTTCCTGAGAAACAGAAACCCGGAGCGCGGCAGCATTCAGAACGCCAAGCAAGCTCTGCGGAACATGATCAACTCCTCTAGTGACCAGCCCATCGGATATCCCATCTACGTGTCACCGCTGACCACCTCCTACTGTAACTCGCACCCGCAGCTCGGACACATCCTGGGGGGCCCGATCAGCATCGCCAACATCCGAAGCTTTGTTGCCAGCACCTGGCACAGGTCTGTTGGTTGACTCATAAAGACAAACTTAAATGGTTAATGTCGTCTAGGAACATTTTCACTCCATAGGTGACGCTCAAATGATCTTTTTTTTTAGGTTACGGAAAGGCTGTGGTGCTGGCTGTAACAGTGGTGGAAACATTGAGGATTCCGATGCAGGGGGGATGTCCTGTGGCAGTGGGAATGGCACGGGGGTTGACTCTCAGCAGAACTCGGTGTCGCAGGGTGGCACCTCCGGACCCGCCCCCTCTCATACGTACCAGCCGCACTCACTGGGTGAGGACTAGTGAAGCTGACAACCACTATTATGAATACTATGACAAATTCAGATTTTTCAGTTCAGTTTTGAATTCAACTGGAGCCAGAAAAAAAGAAAAAACGAACATAGATATAAAGCACATAGTTTGGTTTTTTTGACACTTGAATGTGTAGTTAAGAGAATAAAGTATAATAGGCAGGGAGGGTCTCATGAAGGACACTATTGAGTTGCAGTGTTTTTGGAGCTTCACACATATTTCTGACACAGTAGCGTTAAAAACATTTGGTGCAAAACAATTGCATCTTTAAATCACCAGATTTCCCCTTTTAATTATGGTCTGACTTCACCACCCTGTGTCCAGGCACCAGTCAGAGTTCCCAGTCTGTCCAGTCGGGTTTGGTACGCCACTCTCCTGCTCGAGCCTCTGTTGCCAGCCAGTCCTCCTCCTACCGCTACACCAGCAGCCGTCACTCCTCCCTGCGCACCTCCACCACCGGCCTGGAGCCCTGTCGACGTTCCTCCACCAGCCAGCTGTCTCTGCGCACGCTTCCCACCTCCCTGCAGCTGCGACTGGGCTCCACCTCTGACCCCGCCGGCCCCTCGGCCTCCCTGTCCAGCCACAGCATCCCTCCCTGCAAACGCCACACGCTGGTAGGCCTCCTGGGCAACGACGGCATGTGCAGCACCGTGACCGATCCCCTGAGCCAGTATCATCACCACCATCACCACCCGCAACAGCACAACCCCATCATCTCCACCGTGCGCAGAGACGACATCTCCTACCGCGTGCAGGTTGGTCGACCATACGTACAGATAAAGCAGGAAAGAAAACACAAAACAAAATGAGCAGCGGCTCAGTCAGCGAGGGATCCTGTCCTATGATATGCAGCCTAGCTAACGGGACACACTGAAGAAATGTCTGTCTGAGGCATCTGTACTTGTTTCCTCATCTCTGAATGTTGGTCATCTCCTGGAGTAGCGACCCTCAGTCCTGCTGGAATCTAAATGTGATTCTCCTGTGATGTCTTTCAGGTTGCCGACGTGGGTCAGGTGCTGGAGAACATCAACCTATCGAAGCGGAAGGAGCTTCAGTGGCCTGACGAGACGATGAGACTGAGGGCAGGACGGACCTGCTGGAGGGACTGGAGCCCCTTAGAGGGCATGGAAGGACATGTAAGTCATCAACCTTATAGTGCAAAGAGTAAATTCATGTTTGATTTATGAACAGGAGAATATGATGCGCTGTGATGTTGCTGTGTTCTGTCACATCCCGTCATCTCACACAAACACACTCCCGACCTCTGATGCAATGTTTGTGACCCTGCTGTTATTGTCTTGTGTGTACTTGTATGTTTGGCCGTTGTAACACCCTCTGTTACCCGCCTGCTCTGTAATAATCACTTGATACATTTGATTGTCTGCTTCCTCTCACAAAGCCGCCTCCTCTGTTGCGTTCTGCAGGTGATTCACCGGTGGGTGCCTTGTAGCCGAGACCCAGCCAATCGCTCCCATATTGACAAGACCATCCTGCTGGTACAGGTGGAAGATAAGCTTGTGCCCATTATTGAGAATGGGGTGATTGAGTTGGGTGCAGAGGTTTGAGACAAGCAAACACACAACACACACACACACACACACACACACGCTTGTGTGAGGACGAAGCCCGACCTCCCTGGCTTTCAGCTGGCACACGGGAAATGGGAGCCCCTCCCCCGTTCCTTATCGCTGAGGGGGAAAGGATGCCTGGGAAGAGTGCGAGCCGAGGCAGAGCATACGTCCATCCACCATCCTTCACTGCTTCGCCTCACATCAATAACATCTGCCTTGCTTCGCGTCTCAGAAATGCTGCATGACAGTGAACAATCCTTAAGTTAAGTTATTTCTTGCTACTGGTAATTAATTTCTATGCATTTCATCTTATTGACAATTCTGACAGTGCTGTTGTTCTGTTTGTCCAAGTAATTTGCCAAAATAAGCCTGGTATTGATTATCTGCCACGGTTTCACACACGTGAAAGCTATTTTTTATTTTCGCTGCCAAGACTCCAGAGAGAGTTCTGATAACAGATTGAAGTCAGAGACTCAACGTTGATGCGTTCAACAAACTCCTTTTTTTGTTGTTGTTGTTCCTTTTGGATTAGTTTGAAATTAGCAAGTTTACTTTGCGCAAAACAATTTGCACTATAATTTTTTGATTTACAGTGATGCACTACACTCTTTAGATAATATCACACTTTATTTATTACGGACTCTGAATGGCCATGGTTACCGATGCCTTGGGAATGAAAAACAAATGCAATCATCATTCTGTTTTCAGCCATTTTTATTTTACTATTTTATGTTTGATAAACTTGAAAATACCTTTTTACTGTATATGGTTATATATCTATATAAATATATATATATTTACTCAAATATATATATATGTCATTGTATAAAATATTTTCTTTTCAATATTTATTACTTAGAACATGGTATTTACACTTTGTTACATCTTTTTTTGTCATTTTGGGACAAGGGTTAATGTACGAAGGACCATTGGTTGAAAACAAGATGCTGTATTTTTGATGGACACTAACTAACTTGATTGTTTTCTATATGGAGAAATAAAAGTTTGATTTATTGCATCTTTAATATGCCTCTTCTGATTGTTTTTGTAATGAATTCCAGTCTATGTGTGAATTACCAGCTCCACGTGCCTTTTCAGCGTCGTCCTTCCCCTCTCACAGCCATCTGAAGGCCGAGCTACGTCATCCTTCCGCTGCTCCGTTAACCGACCTCCTCGGCTTCTACTTGGAGTTGATCAAAACTACCCGGGAGCTCTTCCTCAGACATGTGCTTACATGCAGGGTCACGCTGTTGACCAGACGTGTGAATGACCTTTTTGCTGCAGTCCCTTTAGTCTCTTGACTGATTTCCCCATAGCTTGATCCGTCATGTTTTAAGTTTGATCCCAGAGCTGATTACAGGTGAGAAGGTAAGTACCACTTTGATGCTTTTATACGCTCAATAATTCCTGCTTCTCAGGATTCGTTTCCAGGGTTCTCAACCTTCCAATTTTTCGTTCTTGAGGGTTTTTCACTGTCAAGTTCTTACCTGTGCTCCTATTAAAGGTGGTGCAGTTTCCCCACTCGATTTCACTCAAAACAGACACGCATTGCTTTTCTCCTTTTTTTTCTTTTTCTTTTTCACACTTCTGTTTGTTTGTTTTTTTGCGCCAAGCGCTTTCAGTTTCTGGTGTTTTCTCAGGTGAAAACATTAAATTGACAAAACGGAACTCTTCATATTTTAACTCAAATTAACGCAGGCACCGGTGACAGTCCGTGCTGACCCATATTTCACAGAAGTGATCTTGAAAATTTCACAAGCAAAATCAGTGACCGTGTGAATCGGGATTAATTTCCAACAAGGCATTCGATCACAAACATTCACCTCCACGAAGCTCAACCATCACCTGTCCGTCAGCAGAAGTTCTCACCATGAGGGGATACGTTTTTTTGTTTTTTTTTACTCATGGTCACTTTCTGGTGAACATTAACCATCTGTTTTTTGTTTCAATCACATGACTCTTTGCAACGACGCCCCGCCTCCCGAGCCTTGTGATTGGCCGCTTCGGAAGGATTCCTAGCGACCGTTTTTCCCGACGTCATATAAAAGTGTCCGGCTGCTCCTGACGGGACACTCGCTCCCTTCACTGCTCCGGACACACAAACAAACAACAGACAGGTAAACGTGTCTCATTCTAATTTACCCCGATTTAGTTCGCCGCATCATCTAATTATTATTTGTATTATATAACGATAGTTTGTCGTATCCACAGCTGCCTTTGTGAAGTCGTACGTTTAGCCTGTTGTGCTACCAGCTACGTCATGTGACATTGTTTATGTTCCATTTTGCTTACCTTGCGTTTGGACAGTCGGACGACTGTCTTCGTCCGCCCAATTTGCCACGAATGTATTTTAAATCGTCCCTGTCCTTCACTTGGGGACTTCCACAGAAGGCGGGGACATGTTGACGCAAGTGTTGTTCGCCCTGCTCGGCCTGAGCTCCGCGCTGGTCCGCGCGTTCCCCTCCCGGGACCCGGACGGGGGCACCAACTGGGTGGTGATCGTGGCTGGCTCCAATGGCTGGTACAATTACAGGCACCAGGTGAGACCGAAAACCAAACGTCCCCACCACGTCAGAGCTTTTTTTTTTTTTTTTTTTAAATAATCAGCATTGGTTCGGGATGAGATCAAACCTCCCAGAGGTTTTCCAGCCTTCTAAAACAAGCTTCTGACCTCTGACCTCATATTGCACTGTGTCACCCTCAGGCAGATGCATGCCATGCCTACCAGATCGTCCACAAGAACGGCATCCCGGATGAGCAGATTGTGGTCATGATGTACGATGACCTGGCGCATAATGAGAAGTGAGTTGACACTTCCCGCTGTGCAGAAGGTCTTTGTGATAAAGACTTCTTTCACCGCAAAGCGTTTTAAAAAAACTCTATCGTGTCTCAGTTCTGTTTTTGACATTTTATTCCTCCCACTATGCAAAAGTTAGTATACTGAGCAAATAAGTGCAGCTGCCTGTACCATAATGTGCACGCGTCCTAAATGTGATCCATGTCTATGCACGCTGTGTCAGGCTCTCCGGCCTCGCCGTCAACATCATGTTGCTTTTCAAGTCGTTGTGTAAAGTATTCATGAGGAATTATATTGGCTACGTGTTGTTTAGACGTCGCGCTGGAACGATTTTGTAGTTTTCTCTTCAGAGCTCCACTGAGCGGAGTCACAAGGAACTCATTTAGTGCTCCTCTGGTTGTATTGCGGCGTGATTACTGCCGTGGTCACCGGGCGGCGGAGGAGGAGGAGCAGTAGTTTAAGCAGAGCCGTCGGGTTTCGGTCAGAGAAAAAGGGATCACTGTTACACAATGTGACACCCAGCCGATTATTCCGTCTTCATGTTCATGAAATAGTAATAGACGGTTTCTTCGCTGTCTGCGCTGCATAAAAATCCCATAACACTGTGGGTCAGCTTGTAGGGCATGAATGCTTATCATTCATATCGCACGGCTTACAGGATAAGCGCGTGTTGTTTTTCTGGTTAATAACTGCCGTATATGCAAACAAGGCGGCTTGCATCATAGCTCCTACAGACTGCAAAAATCTCAATGGCCACGGCGCGTTTTCCCACACAATGGAGCCGCAGTCGTTGCGAGTGGCAGAAAGCGATCGTGCGCTGAGGGAAGTGCAGTAGTTTTCACCACATTCGGTTGACGTTCATGATGAGGCAGCAGACAAAGCAAGGATTCACTGATCAAGTGACAACATGTTTCGTCAGCAGTTTTCACTTCCTCCTGCACAATCTCACTGGTAGTTTTTTTTTTTTTTTTTTTTTAATTCCCAGTAACCCCACCCCTGGGAAAGTGATCAACAGGCCGAATGGCACAGACGTGTACGAGGGAGTTCCTAAAGACTACACCGGAGACGTGAGTGCTTCAGTGCAAACATTTGAACAAATCAAAGCTCCTGAATAAACGTTTCGCTCTTCAAACGGATTTTGCTGGGAGGGGCTTGTTGATTTGTGACCGCGTGTTCTCCCGCAGCACGTGACCCCTGAGAACTTCCTGGCAGTGCTGAAGGGGGACTCCTCTCACGTCAAAGGGGGCTCCGGAAAGGTTTTGAAGAGGCAAGTGGAGGATGGAAGTGTCCCAGATCAGAGCGGCGCATAAACCCGCTTCACTGAGCGGCCTTTTCTAACTTTGGTCTGTTTTGGTTTTTTTGGCAGCGGCCCCAACGATCACGTGTTTGTTTACTTTACCGACCACGGGGCGCCTGGTATTCTGGCCTTTCCCAATGATGACGTGAGCACTTTTGCGGCTTCCTTCTCTCCTTCACTCCTGGGCGCGCTGCACCGACCCAGAGGAGCTACTCTGATTTTGTTTATCTTGTTTTATTGTTTATCTCTGTACTGTAGTGTAGGCATGACGCTAACTTCTGATCAGTATTGGGACATTAGAAACCCCACAATAGCAGCCAATGACACGTCATCTCTATTCACACAATGCTTTGAGAAACTATTTTATATCGATGAACATCTAATTAAAAACTGAACAAATCCAGATGTGCACAAGTTTACCCCCTCTGTCCTCTCTTTCTCTGCAGCTCAATGTTGACGATCTCCAAAGCACCATTACCTACATGCACGACAATAAGAAGTACAAACGGGTACGCGGCAACATTCTGTCTTTATGTAATCGCATTGTTTTTAGTGATTGACATTGCAGTTACTATATGCTTTGGAATATCCGAATGAATGATGTGCTGTAATGAATTGACAAACATTTAGCACAGTAAACCCTTGTGAGATCAGCCTCCCCGATGTTCACACACAGTGTTAAGTCAGTGATGAAAGGCGCATCAGGTGATCGTGCATCTGAGCTTTGAGATCGCATCCTATGACGTGTTTGTGTCGCCACGCTCACAGATGGTGTTCTACATCGAGGCTTGTGAGTCCGGCTCAATGATGAAACACCTGCCTGCTGACATCAACGGTGAGTCGAACTTTAGCTCCTTTGAGAATCGCTGACCAGTAAAAACCCAAAGATAGTTGAGCGGTAGAGATAAATAACTGTAAATCAATGAACTACTTCAATCCTCAACGGTGTAACCTGCCTTTTTCCTCGTGACCATTCGACTTTTTATAAATTTTATGTTGACCGTTGAAAGAAAAAAAAAAAAGCAACCAAAGTTCATGTGATGTGTGGGTTTTTTTTTTTTTTTTTTGGGCTCATCAAACGCTGGTCAGCATAATTGCCTGTGGTCATGTGTAACTCCGTCATGTGCCCGGCCTCATGTGATAGACGTAGCAGCACTTGAATCACAGTTGTGGTTTTATTGTGTTCAACCAAGTTGTGACATCCCTTCTTCTTGGTGCCACACTTCCATCTGTAGTCCGCATGAGCCATCTTGCATCCAAATGTAAAACTGCGGTTTCATTTCTTGGACATGTTCACTCTTTTAACTCGCCTTTCCCTCAGAGTGAGTTCACAGCTCGTCCTCCGGTTTTCTCTCTTCCAAAATGTATAGTTTTGTTTAGGTCTCCACCAAACTAATGCGCAGCATAACATGAGAGTATGTCTTCTTTCTTTAGTGTACGCCACCACAGCCGCCAACTCACACGAGTCGTCCTACGCCTGCTACTATGACGAGAAGAGGGACACGTACCTGGGAGACTGGTACAGCGTCAACTGGATGGAGGACTCCGACGCGGTGGGTAAATGGTTGCAATGTGGAAAAAGCCTCCGTGGCAAACCGCTAATGGCTGTGATTATTGTAACAGTGTAAAAGTAAACTGAGGTCATGGTGTCTTATCAATTAGACAGAATTACAAACGGTTTTGTTCAATCACACACGCACGCCTTGTTTCCTCTGAAGGTAATTTGAATCCTGCGGAACTGAAAACTGTATCAAAAACATGCTTTTGTTTCATAAAGAGCTCAGATATCTTATTTATACATCGACTGATATCCCGTCTGCTTTTAGCTCTTACGTTTCAAGTTTTGGTTCCACACCTTCAGCAATGCGGTTCATGTCTTTGTTTCTGTCTTTATATCAACGGGTTGAATAGCAGTTCAGACTGCGTAGCGTAAATAAAGGTTGATGTACTTAACGTGCCAAACACCTGTTTACAACCAGGAGGAAGTGGGGAATTTCCAACAGCAGCTGCAGCGTACACTCGGGACTTGTGGTGCTGATTTTATGACGGTATTGGTATTCATGTTTTTGGTTGTGCTCCCAGGAGGACCTGAAAAAGGAAACTTTGGCGAAGCAGTTCAAGATCGTAAAGAGCCACACAAACACCAGCCACGTCCAGCAGTTTGGGAACAAGGTGAGGGAATGATGCAACGAACTCTGCTGGGAAACTTGTTGACTCAGATGTTCTAAGACTGGCAGAATAGTCATGTTGAAGGGAACTGTCAGCAAGTTCCCTGCTCATAGTTTGATACTTATTCCTCCTTGCTCTTCCAACAGACGATGGCCCACATGAAGGTCATCGCGTTTCAGGGGAACGCCAAAGCCAGTGGCCTCAGCGCTCCTCTCACGACCCTGCAGCCAGTTAGAGATCTGGATCTGACCCCGAGCCCCGACGTCCCTCTGGCCATCCTCAAGAGGAAGCTGATGGCCTCCAATGACATCCAACTTGCAAGAGGGCTGCTGATGGAGATCAACTCCCACCTCAAGGTTAAGACTGCCGAAGCTCTGTGGGGCTCCTGCTGTCGCAGAATGTTGCACGTCCTCCGGTTGTAAATCTGATTCATCGGGAATGTTTAACTGGATCTCATTGAGCATTCAACACCGTGGTTCTCGTTGCGCTAGACTTATAACGCCGTGTGTGTGTGTGTTCAGGTCAGGGAGATGCTGGCTGAGACCATGCGCCAGGTGGTTGAGAGGGTGACCGGCAACAAGCTCAAGGCCGAGGACGTTCTGAACGGCAGAGCCGACCTGTCCCAGCATCAGTGCTACAAGGCCGCAGTCCACCACTACAAGCACAACTGCTTCAACTGGCACAGGGCCGAGGTACAGCTGATCAGGAGGCTCCTTTTTTATCTCCATGCAAAAGGAGACGTGTTTGTGGTTAGATGTAGACGGGCTGTTTCATTGTTTGGATGTCCTCCATTGGCCCACAGCTGAAACTGGTCTTCCAAGTGAGTGAGAAACTCTCAAGCGCAACGGAATCACTATTCTTTCCCCGATGCTTTTACAAAGCTGTGTGTTTTTATTTAGAATAATTCTTTCACTTCTTCTTTCTCTGGAACATTTTGACATTTTGAGTGGCATGAATCTGACAGAGGGGGGGAAATAAACGTATTATTTTATACATTTAATTGTCACGGACTGTTCATCTTGTGTTTCAGTATGAATACGCTCTGAGACATCTGTACGCTCTGGTGAACCTGTGCGAGCGCGGCTACTCTGCAGAAAGGTAAGAACTAATGGGATAGGGGTTTAGTCTGTATAAAATTAAATACCATTTTTAAGCCGTGTAATATGTTTTGTGTTTGTTTTGGGTTTTTTTTTTTTTTCTTCAAATGTGAATATTTCCTACTGAAACCAACTTTGTTGTTTGCGTGCAGCATCCAGCTGGCCATGGACTTTGTGTGTCCGGACAGCAATTAAAGGGGTTTCTACAAATCCCTGAAAGTCTGCTTCTTCCACGTGGGATGACCCGGGACCTCATGACCTCATTGCACGGCTAAAAAATCTATCGGTAGTGGAGTTGACGTCATTGTTTAATCAACACTATAACCCTTTTTTTTTTTTTTACTTTTGATGTTTCTTGATTTTACTGAGAACTTTTAAATGTGTTTTATGATGCGTTTGCACTATCACTGTGAAAGGTTTGGGGATGATATTGTACTGCTTTTGATTATCTTTAAAAATGTAACTGAATGACAATTATGACATGAAATTCATGTTAATTTGTTTTTGCTCTGAGCTGTTTATTGACATGCCACTAAACGTTGAATGTTGAACCTCAAGAGACCTTGTAACACAAGAATATGGAAATAAATCTGAATGACAAAAACCGATTATATAAAATATATATATATATATATATATATATATATACACACAAAATGTTTTTTATGTGAGCACGTGGTTTTAATATACATTAGTACGACGTTTTCGGGATAATATTACTCTTATGCGTCCATTTTTAAGAATTTTGCCCAATGTGCTTATGTTTGATTTGAACTCTTTTAATTGTTACTAACAAGATTTATATGGAAGCGATGTGAAAGGTTTTATCCCGTGAAGTATCTCAATATCTCCTGGATCAATCGGCCAATGTTCAGATATCTGATTGCCTTTGATGATGCCCTGACTTTTCTTCTAGCGCCACCATGAGGTTCACATGACCGATTTTGACCAATTGTCTAGCATCACACAGAACATAAAAATGCGGCATTAAATAATAGTGATTCGTATGGTAATAGAGTTGCACCATCTAGTGGATAGTTTCTGACCCCTGAATTGTAAAGACTCATGAAGTTGTATTCAAGATAGCTGCCCTTAAGTATGCCTGACGGTAATACACCTATGACCCTTCAAATACCCCTTGTGGTCATTTGAAGCGTGGTTTTTAACTATTTGATTAAGGCATTGACTCATGTGGTAATTAAAATGTCAATCTGATTATATAAAAGACAGTAGCTTTAAATTCTGAGCAGGCAAAGAACTCGTACGTAGATAACTTGACGGTCTCCTTAATTTGACGCTGTGTCCGGTCTTCTTTCTGTTCGTCGCCCGCGAAACGTAACTGAGGTTAATTTATGTCAACGAATCTGTGTGTCAAATCTCATGGATATATATAATATTTACATGTCTAACTATTGCAGGAAAGTTCCTTTGATGAGAGAAAGTAGGAAGACTCACTCGGGCGACGATGAAAGACCTTTTAATTGCGCTATTTGGAGGTGTTGAGGCGGGGTATCTTATTGTGAAAGGCCAGAATTGGGTTCCCGGAAACGTCAGCATAAATAGTCATTAACTAATGTTTAATCTCCGCAAAAAAGAAATGTTTACAATGACGATGGGTCACGTCTACAACAGCGCACGGCTAATTGACCGGCGTCAGCGTCCTTTTACCGACTGGTTACGAAAACATTTACTTTCATGATTAGAACAGTATTTGGCTCAAAAGTTTAACACCGTCAACCCCCCATGAAACCATTACACGACAATCTGTATCAATAGTTTTACCGGATAGTTAGCTAAAAGCTGTCCGGGTCAGGAGACGGTCACGTTGTATCTACGCGGAGTCGCGCTGCGGGGGAGGCGGCCTCGGCCAGCACCTCCCTCCACCTCCCCTCCACCTGCCTCCACCTCCCACCCGATAAAGCAGGAAGATAACTTGACCGAAACCCGTCTAGGTAGAAATGAAAACACGGCACGACAGCTCGTGGGAAAGCTCGGCTTAGCGGACAGACTATAGACGGAGAGACACTCACTACAAGGACATAAAGCAGTTGGGCATTTTAAACTTTAGCGTCATCGGCTTTGTTAGTTTCCGTCCGCTGCCGCGGGAGGAACCGCGTTTAGCTCGCCGCGTTAGCCTGTCTGCTAACTCCGCCGTCCCCCGCAGCCCTCTCGCCATGGGCTCCAAGGCGTCCACGCTGCTCCGAGAGGAGGAAATCGAGGAGATCAAGAAGGAGACTGGCTGTGAGTTGAAGATACACGACTGTGTTACGTGAGCACGCGGCGGTGTCCCCTTCCGCCGTTAATGTCCCTCTTTAGAATAAACACTTAAAGGGAGTTACGTTATAACGACACAGGACTCCTCTGGCAGTGAGAGGCGCTGTGGTCATTTAGGGTGAAACGTCGGGGATGTTGTTGTTGTTGTTATTGTTTGCTGTTATCTCGTGGTCATCTGTGCTTCTTTGGTGTCCCTCCCCGCAGTCTCACACAGCCAGATCACCCGCCTGTACAGCCGCTTCACCAGCCTGGACAAGGGGGAGAACGGCACCCTGAGGTAAGCGGCGTGCGGGGCTCCGCCGGCCGGGTGAAGCCGGTAAACGGAGGCCCGGTGCGTCGGAGCCCAGCAGCCCGGTAGTGAGTCCGGAGCCAACGTAAAGGTTTACTAATGGACTTAACGGAGAAATGATGTGTGTGGGGGGTCTCCAGAAGACTGCTACTAGCGGATACAAAAAAATGCCTAACATTTTATGTGATTTAAATGTTGCATTTGAATAGAAAGTCAACGCAGCAGCATTCCGTGGTCATTAAATCGTGTTAACAACAATGTGTGGTTACATTGGTGGGTTAGGGGGGGGGTGACCACAAAATCTTTAATAGTAGCTTATTGTTAAAGCTCATTCTGTAGAGGGGTCTTTAGAGGTCAGTGGGACGCTCGCTGGCTTCGTGATTAACCTCCTGCAGTCCGGCCAAAACAAACACTAGATGAACAAATGGGCAATCATTAAAGCTGTATTTGCATACCCGTCTCCGGAGGGAGAAATGTAAAAATGTACCCTTCTATGGGTCAAGGAACTCTTTCTTCTGAAAGACGTGTTTACACACAACACGTTCTTGGTTCTGCGAGTTCTTGTGTTTTCAGTCACAGCACACAGTCGGGTGACTTCCTATCATCCGTCAGTTGCCACAATAGTGACATCTTGCAGCTCCCCTCTAACTATTTCACAATTTAAAATGTTTCTTTGCCTCGCTGTTTTCTGTTCATCTTCTCCCGTTTTCATATTTCAACTCCAGTCTGGTTTTACAAGGACAACAAGGACGTTGCATTATCTCCCCGTAATGTGTCTTTTTAAAAAGTTGCCCACAGTGTAGAATATGTATTGCTTCACAGTACTGCTCTGACCTTAAAATAACTCGTTTGGTTTGCTAAAGTCTGCCTTGCTATAATAGATCTCACATCTCCCCTCGTGTCCACAGTCGGGAAGATTTCCAGAGGATCCCGGAGCTGGCCATCAATCCGCTGGGGGACCGGATCATCAACGCGTTCTTCCCTGAGGGGTGAGTTGTTCCTGTTATTGGTCTTGTTTTTCGCAGGAGTCTGGATTAAAGGTTCGAGTCACGACTGCCACAAATCTGAGCCGGGGCACGCAGCTTTTCATTTGTGGCTGACCGACCGCAGATCTCGGTCTTTTCTGCCAATCCTGTGGGTTTTTTGACCGCCGCAGGTTCTTTATCTACATTGTGCGGTTTCTTTGGAGATGCACACGTTTGAGTTTTCAGTGTGCTGCTGCCAGAGATTGTGTTAAAGCCGAGTGCTGCGGCAATCTGAGCCGTGCCTCAGTAGTTGTGCGACCGTCACTCTCTCGTGTTTTCAATGGGCTGCGTTGTATCGCTCTTTGTCTCTGCTTTGTAGCGAGGACCAGGTGAACTTCAGGGGCTTCATGCGGATTTTGGCTCACTTCCGACCCATTGAGGACAACGAGAAGAAGAGCGTCGCTGTCAGCGAGCCCCTCAACAGCAGGACCAACAAGCTGCTGTGTGAGTCCCACGGCCGGTGACCAGCATCAGGAACATTCACAGGATTTTCTTGTGGGATTAACTGTGTCGCATGTGACTTGTGCATTTTGTCCATTTCCTCCAGTTGCTTTCCGTCTGTACGACCTGGACAGAGATGACAAAATCTCCCGGGAAGAGCTGCTGCAGGTGAGTGGATGTGTCCGTCATGTAAACAAGGAGTCACGATACAGCTTGTGGGAACGACGTGTCCACGTAACGGGTAAATCACCTAGATGGTGACTAATTCAATGTAAAGTCGGCCGTTGCTAATACGTCTGGGAATACTTGCCGTTCAGCTCATGTTCAACAAAGAACAAATGTTGTTGATCAGCGAGTTAAAATGCTGTACACGGTCGATGACGATGCATCATCTCGCCTTAACTACAGGGAGATATTTGTCCCACACGGTCTGGTATCCGGTGCTTTGACTTTGTCCGTGTCATTTGTTGTCCCCGTGTGAAGCCCTCTCGGTTTCGGTGACATTGTGCGACCTGTAATCGCTCTAAGCTTGCCGCTAAATGACTCAGACACGTCTCTTGTTTTGAGCATAATACGTCTGTCGCCTGCTTCACGTGATGCACGAACCTCCGCCGCTCTAATCGCGCGACGCAAAGTGATGTTCACGATCATGTCATTCCTGCAGTCGAGTGCGGCTGCTGTTTGACTGGGCATTTACCAGTAATAACCGCCAATTATATAGTGTGCTGCTGAAATACACCAAGCGCCAACACCATATTATTTGGGCAAACAGAACTATTGTTTAATCTTTGCCCAGAACTTTTTTTTCGCTCCCTTTCATTAACCATGAAGGGGCCTTTTGTTGATTCTTTTCAGGTCCTGCGGATGATGGTCGGGGTCAACATCTCTGATGACCAGCTGGGCAGCATCGCTGATAGGACCATTCAGGAGGCCGACACCAACGGCGATAACTCCATTTCCTTTAATGAATTTATTAAGGCAGGTTTTGTGTTCTAAGTGCCCCTCAGTGTAAAACTGTCTTGTGTACATCCCATGGAAACTTTTAACACAGAACTTGTATCCCTATTTAGTTACAGAATGAATTAGTTTAGGCTAACTTAAGTCCTTGGTTTAATTCTTTACATATAAGTATTGAAACTGATTCCACTTCCTGATACTAAGTGCATGCTTAATGTATTGTGTGTTTGAGTTGGTACTTTAAAAGCCAGTGATGAGCTTTGGTTTATGACTCGCTGCTTCAATTACACAACAGATCATACAACTATTTTGGACTTTAAACTGACTCCTTCCGATTTGTTTCCTCAGGTCTTGGAGAAGGTGGACGTGGAGCAAAAAATGAGCATCCGGTTCCTTCATTAAATATACTTTTTTTCAAATTATTATTTTGAGTTCAGTTGATTTCAGCTGGTCAGCAGGCCGCCGTCAGACCAAGCGTCCGCTATCCTGTCACAGATCTTAAGTTTCTGTAAACAAAGGGAAACGTTTGGTGCCTTAGGTTATTTATGCAAAGTCACTATGAATTAGTTTTTTCCCTCATTAATGCAAAATTAGTCATTAGAAATGTTTTTAGAGGGTCGCAGTTGGTATTCCTGGTTTTCCTCCAAATGAAAATGGATTCTACAGCACGGTACGGTAACTGAGTCACTTTATTTCCAGTTTACTCCCTCTGCTTAATGATAAATGGCACATGGTGTGTCCTGGTCCGTGACCATATGCGATGATTCAACTTTATAACAGTGTTTCAATGCTAACGGGATCACTTGACTCCGCTGACTGTGCCCTGGAGCAAAGCGGGACCGGCTGCACGCGGCTTTGGTTCCCTTTTGTCGGTTCTCATCACACCAGTTAGCCAATTGTTGGACTTGAGCCAAAGTGAGTTTGACCCTCTTTCAAAGCCGGTCGTCACCACGGAGTCAACATGTGTAGAGTGTGATATCTAAAGAAATCATTATTATTATTTTGTCGTCAAAAGATGCTGCTATCTCTTTGGCTAGTGTGTGTGCTTCTGTAGCACATGGTCTTGCTTATTGGCAAAATGCTATGCTAGGATTTAGCTGCCACTGTGGCCTGCTGTCCAGATTCAGTCTTAAAGGCCTGGCTGACGGCGTCCGGCATCGGGATCGAATTTGTGCCGTGGATTAGATCAGTTGCACACCTGGAACAGGTCAACCCGCTATTAATAATAAGCCGATGGTCTATATATTGCATCGGTCTTGTATGTATACGCTGCTTTCAACATTTGTCTAGCCAATACTTTCCCCATCGAATAGTTCAAGATGCTAAAATGAATCAAATGCTTTAAAACCATTTTATTTTCAGGCCAGTGTACAATAATTCTGCAACTGGATGACCGTTTTTAATCTTTAATGTGAGTGCTAAATCATTACAAGAACAGCCTCCAGCAGTCGAGTGCAGAAAATACAATGTGACTGTTCTATTAATCATTATGTGGTTATCAAGCTGATGTGATTCACATGCTATGTGATGTTGGTCTTTGTATTATCAAACTGATTCATATATTTTATTTGAATAAATGAAGTGCCATGCCTACTTTGTGTCAGTTTATTGGTGAAGTGGTTGTTCAAACAGCATGGGTGTATTTTGGTCCTTACACTTCTTATCTTAAGTCTATGGACCACAAATACAAACCAGTGCCAAAGGTGACTAACGTACTTGAGCTACAAAGTGAGCTTCTATTGTTTCAGTTTCTCCACCCATTCTTGAAGGAGATGTATTTCTTACTCTATTATTGGCCACGGTTTTAGTAAATGATGTAATGTTCAGTTTTACATTAGTTTTAGTAGCTGCATAACTCTGACAGTTCAGCTCTATAAATGATTAAATACTTATTTTTAATAGCTTGGAGCCAGATTGCGGATGGAGGAAGCTGTTCAAACGGTTAATTAATCAATACAATACTCTTAAGGGCTTTACTTCAGAAGTCGTTGTTGTAAAGCTGACATTCTGGGTTCAATACCTGCACTCTAACCTACAATTAAGCCAATTACCGCATGTCTGTTAATTGGTCTGGTCGGCTGTACATCTGGTGGCAGTAAACGCACCACCAAGCTGATTGATAAATGTCAGAAGAGGTTTAAGTACATCCGGGGCGGGCTTTCAGTTTGACCGACAGACCAGCGGCACAATCAGAAGGCTCTTCCGTTCGCGGTAGTAACAGAGCGAAGATGGCGTAGGGTGGAAGGTCTGCGGAGACGGGGGACGAGCTCCTCCACTCCGGGACGCGGGGTGGGAGAAGAAAAAATACCTTCTTAGGTGGTTTGTTAACGTACCCTGGCTCGCTGCCCCCCCTCCCTCTACCCTTTCACGGAAACCGGCGCATGTCCAGTTCGGGGGACGTGAACGGGTCCCGTAGAAGAAGAAGAAACCCCTCCGGCTTTTGTTTACGGCGGTGAGCTGCAGCAGCTCGGACCCCGCTGAAATACCTCTGCATCGCACCAAGGTCAGTGCTTCCCACCCCCCCTCGACTGATCGACCCGTTCACAATCTATGTGTCCATCTTTCTTTTTCTTTTTTTTAGGATGTCAATTTGAGCCGAAGCATTTAGTTGATTAATTAGTCGATCAACAGAAAATGCAGCAATTGTGATAATGTGTGTTTAGTCTTATATTTGGGGTTCTGGATTGTTGTTCAGGTGACATTTAGAGATCTCACATTGGGCTTAAGAAAATAACATCCGTTTTCCTTACGTTTCTATACACAATCATTTTATTGAAGTAAAATGCAGATTTACAGGTCATATCATTAATATGCTCTTGCCTTTCAGCAGCTCAGTTTTCGAAGAGACGACAAGATTATATGACCAAATATCGTGTATTAAATAAATGACATGTGCATTATTATTATTATTATTATTATTATTATTATTATCATTATTATAGGATGGCTTTTCCACTCAATGCGTGAAAGCAGCCGAAGCCCGGAATGGAGGAATGTCTCCCTTCGTATCGGCGCCATCAACACCCCTCCGGCTTCCACGGCCTCCCTCACTTGTGGAGGTAAAGGAAGAAGAGTGGTTGTGAAGATGACCTCTTTTGGGGCTTTTTGGGACACGGGTGTTCTCGTCCCTGCTGTTGCTGGGCCGTTGGCCCTGTCTCCTCCCCTCCGGAATGCTGCCGCGTGATCCGTGAAGATTGTGCGCTAGTCTGACTTCCATCACGCCCACATCGCGCTACGTCTACATGCACCCAAAGGCTGTTCTTCACGGTCACAGAGTTTGCTCAAATGCTGGGCACTTTCAGTTCCCACTGCGACGGACCGAAAGTCTCCATTATTCAGGCTTTGCATTCACATCTGGGTTGAATTGTAGTCCGGCTGCATGTAAACCGAGTCGCTGATCCTTCCTGATCCCCACCCGCTCTGTAGTTCAATTAAAGCAGTTTGATAATGAGCAAACTGTTCCCTGGGAAGAGAGTAAAGACACAATAAACTGTAGCAAAGATTGAGGCCTGTGATTAAATTCATAGGGTGGTTTATTTTCATTCATTTTTTTTTGCACTACCTCATTGCCGTAACAGGCGTGATCAGTACAAGTAACTTGGTGTTTGTCAAGAGCCACAGCAGTGAAACGTTGTTCCTGGGTTCATTTAGTTTTAGAGGGTTGATATGCAAGGTTATTAGGCCGAGCAGCCCAGAAGCACGAGATGCCTTCTGTCATTTACTGTAATATTTACTGTAACTAGCGGGATTATGAGGGCAGCGTTGTGGACCTGTGGTGTCCTATGCAGCGGCTCTAAAGGAAGGTGACACCGCAGTGCTTCTACCGCGCGCTCTCCTTCTTCGGCATTTCATGGCTCTCCTTTTGTCAATATTGATCAAATCTGGCAAGTTAGTGTTTTTAAAGTTAGTCTTTAATTGGGAAAGCCCGGTTTTCTTCCTTTTTGTCTTTCTGCACTTTGACTTGCTTTGCTTTCTGTTGCAACTTTGTCCTGTTGTCCCATTTCCTTTAACTTGGGCTCCTATGACACGGATTACCAAGACATGATTCAAACGCTGCAGGTAGAGACAGAATTTGATTCCTGATGTGTAAGGCTGGGTTTTAGTTTTAATATCATATTTCATTGGAATCATTCAGTGTTGAAATCATTTGTCCAGAATTACGTCGTCTAAATTGATGAAGATTTTGATAGTCACTCAAATAGCTTAGAAACGTGAGAATTCTTTTTACCACGGTTCTTAATTACATGAGCAATTATTCTTAATTTGTCATGTATTTCAGCCACACCAAAGGACAAAGAACCATGTTCTTTCATAAGGACTATTCATCCATTATATGGTCAGAAAGAACACGCTGCATTGTGTCTGATGTTATTGAGAAATGAATTAACTATCAGGAACCCAACGCTGTCTTTGCCTGCTGTCTCCGTGTGTGCTTCATACTTCCTTTGGGTTTGTCCTCAGTGAAAAGGAAACCCCGTCTTTCATCCCTTCAACTTTTATTTGCCTTCATTTTTATATGAAAAGAAAGACGGAAAGAAATGACATTTACCGGGATTTGTGCAATATTTGATCCTGACTGTCATGTTGTTGACCAAACTGTATATTGTATGAACAAGTGACCAGTTGTTTGAAAGCAACAAAATCACCAATGTCTTCCATTAAGATATGTATAGACTCATGTGCATTAGCTTATTTAACTTTATAGTAACCATGCATGACCAGTAGTGGTGCTTGCTTCATGAAAAATAATGAAATCAATTTCTGAGCAAAGCTGGAGTTCAAAACTGTGTGAAACCATTTGTCATTTATAGATTGACGTACTAACCCTTTTTGATTGTACCATATTTAGACCTACAGTCTTAAACTGTACCTTTTATCCAATGTTTAGATTGTGGATGAAGGAGCGTATTGAAAAATATGACCGGATCAGGATATGCAGTTAATAAGTATTCATTCTGTTATTGTGTACAGGAAATAGCTCCCAGAAAATATCAAATCTAAACTTTGACATTGATAGAAACCCCCCAGAGAATAAGAATAGCGCGTTAATCTTAAATTTGGATATAATTTGTTGCCGTCCAAGGTTATTTTTGAGTCTTAGAATTAAGATCTCATCCTGCCATTATATTGTACATAATGCATCATAGTTTTGAGATTCAGAGCAAGATATTTGAATCATGACATTTTATTGGACTTTAGTTATAGAAGCATTAACCTACAATTATGCATGAGTTTAGGTCCAGCGTGTGACGTCCCCCCCCTCTCTCTCTTTATGCCCACGTGCGGTGGCTTTCCTTTAGTCACTTCTTTTTGCGAGCCGTATAATATTTGGCTTTAGAATACAGTATTACTCCTGACGGTTTGGGATCATTTCTGCAGAACAAAGTGTTCATGAGGACCGCCGTAGCATCATGTCAACGTCAACACCATCATCTAAACCAGTCGGTACGCGGGACACGCTTTAAATTTCAGACCCTGTAGCACCTTTACCTCCACATAACCCTGCCCCTCCTTCAGCGACAAGGACCTCCAGTCGCTCTGCGGCTGCAACGGACTCGCTGAAGGAATCTGAGCACTTTCTCTGTGTGTGTACTAACTTGCACCGTCGTCTTCACCATCCCGCCTTGAATACTGTGTTCTAAAAACTCTGTAATGCTCTTTAGTTGGGATCTATAAACCTGTAGCAACATGAATATGTGGGTTTTAAAAAAGAAATGTGCATGACGTAGCCGAATAATGGATGGTTTGTATTGCATGCAATAATCCAACTTTGTAATGTGAATGAGTTTAATTATGAAACGTTTCTATCAGATGTTCCGTGACAAGGCGACAACCCGGGGACGGCTGTTGAGTAGCGTCGAGCACCACTTGTGGTGGCAAGTAATGGAGAGTAGCTGGAAGTGTCTGTGCTCTCAGTGCAGCTGGAAAATACCCATCAGCCTTTGCTCCCATGGGGAAAAAAGAAAAAGAAACTATACAAAAGCTTGGGTTAAATGATTAATGATATTACTTTATCGGTGAGCTTTTCCACTGAAGTGGTGAACTGTGTAGAAACTATGCACTCCAGAGGGAGGAGACGGGCATGCTTATAACGTGTGAACCTCTTGTCTGGTTTTGTATTTACTAAAAACTATAAGAATCTGTATCAGAAATTCAGCAATAAAACGCAGCATGGCGCCAATCGGACGGCTGTGTGTCGGTGTTTGCTTGCGGTTGTCGAGTGAATGACATGTGTTTAATTGTTTGTGGGGGAGCGACACACTCAAAGCGCACGTGAGGCCGTCGTGCCGAATGTCCGAATGCTAAATTATTAAATGGAAAAAGAGACACTACATTGTTCTTAGATCCTCGGGGCACACACACACATTCCATTCACTGTATTTAAAGTCTACAGGAATAGTTAAACATTTTGGGAATCGCTTACTTTTAAGGGAAGATAGTGAAATGAAAAATTAATTTACACTCAGCCTATTTGACCTGCAGGCAACTAGCCTAGCTTAGCATAAGGACTAGAAGCAGCGCCAAGCCTAGTGTAGGTTACAAGCACTTAAATCGAGATTTGTTTAACAGATTGTTTATTAAATCCACCAAAAGATAAATGAACAATTGTTTCACGGGGAATTACTCATTTGGAACATATACAGACAAACAGGATAAATTATAGCGAGTGATCCAACCGTTGGGGGCTTAGTTTACGATACGTTTGTATGGCCTTGTGCTTCTGACTGCATGTCAGTGTCGCTGTAAACAGCAGATGCCGATGGTAGCAGATACATTTAAGCTGTTTTTAATTGAGTTTTGGTGCACAATGACATTTCCCAGAAATCAAATGCAGGTACACAATGTAATATACAAGTCACTTTAAATAAAAGACAAAATATTTCTTTCCATCATTAGAAATATATAATGGAAACATAAAACATGAGAAGAAAGATTTACAACAAACTGGTCTACAGGAGGGATCGGCGCAGAGGACGCGAGCCTCGGCACACGAGCCTCTGCGCGCTACTTCACAAATTCACCGGTAACGCTGCTGTCAGCCAGTCTGCTGTGGAGCCGGGACATCTCATCCAACTGCGCTTCAAACTGCTGCCTCAGCTACAACGCAGAGAAGACATCCAGCAAAACACCTTCTTACATCTAGTCTATACAAAACATGATGACTAGGAGTAGAAATTCAAAGAGAAGCTGGATTTGATGGAATTTTAAAGAGGCTTCCTAGATAAACCTCTCATCCAGGTTGTTTTCTTCCAGGGGACAAATTGTGCCTTTTAAAAACAGGACTCTTCATTTATAGGTATTAAATGATTTTTTTAAATTTATTATTAAATTACAAGTGCATAAAGCTGCATCTCCAGAAGTAAATCAACCATCACAGAACAAGTTAGTGCTCATGTGTCATGATGTCGTACATGCAGGTAAAAATGTTTGGAAGTCACCTTATTCATGCTTTCTCCGAGGGGCTTCAGATCAAATGTCAGCGAGGAGGCCGTGACCATTGAGCTGTGGTTGAGCATGTAACTGGAGAGAAAAAGGGGGGGATTCAAAGGATGAAGAGATGTAGCTGAAAAGTCTTTTCACAAAAACAATATCCATAAAAACGAATCAGTCTAAAACTTTATAGGATGGGCAGCATTCGTAGAGCAGGCGTTCATGTAGACAACAGTAACCCTGCATTAAGGAACTCAATATACTGGTTGTGCTCAGAGTCAGCAGCGCTCACCAACTGGTGTTTGCTTTGTGGAGGAGAAACATGGAGCGGACGGAGGCCAAGCGCCACGGGGCCGAGTGAATCACTTTCCCCACAGCACAGCAGCAACCGCGACATTTTAGAGCACTGTAGATGCTGAGAGGGAATAAACGGCAGAGAAAATGAGTGGGACCTTTAAGTCATCACTGCAGAACAAGTTCATTCATCACAGTCAATATTCTGGAGACTGTGGATAGAGGCATATATATATATATATATATACACTGTATATATATGAACTGTTTAACACAACAATGCAAGTTAAAAACAAAATCTAAACATGATTTAACTTTCAGCCAATGTATCAAGGACCGTTGTTGTTTTTTCCCCACTCACCAGCCAGCCAGCTCCCCTCCATGTCCTGATTCCAAGACATCACTGATGACCACGTCGTTGGTGACTCCTGGGGGGGAGCAGCAGGAGGGGGGGCAGCGAGGTATTGATCAACATTGGGAAGAAGCATGGGATTAACAGCAAACTGTATTTCTGCAGAATGCAATGCTTTCCATTAAAGAATAAACTATTAACAAAAAAAACTCCCCAACATTTACAACCTACTGACTTTACAGTACCTTTCTAACGTCAGACAACTGGTGCAGTTCCACCCACGACAACCAAGCAAAGAGATGAACTCACTCAGACACACGATGGAGTCCATGCTTCTAACCTCCCCGCAGATGCTGAAGGAATCCCCCCAGACGGCGCTGCACTGCTGACAGTGGAGCGTCATCCGCTGCTTGTGTTCGGCCCCCTTCTCGGCGTGTGCGCGCGGGATCATAACGCTGTCGTCGAACTCCATGTCGGTGGAGTTTTGCAGAGCGAAGCTAAGCTAACCGGCTAGTTGTCCCGCTAGAGAGTTTGAACTCCAGCAGACGGCAGCTCGTCTCTTCCTAGTGTCTCACTCCGTCGCGCGACGTGCTGTGACGTCACCTGGACGCATGTGGGGAAATGCCGATGTACTTCCAACGAGCATCCGTTTGAATTAAAAAAACAATTAATTCATACAAAAAATGTAAAACTAGTAAACTCAAACAACATTGTATTTGACTCGTCTTAAGGGTCGTAATTTAAACGAAAACGTTAACGGACCGAGATTAAATTATTCAAATGTTACGTTACGACGATGGACCAAACCCAGAGACGTATCGTGACTCTGATTGGATGAGAGACACATCCGGTCTCAGACGGGAGCCAATCACACGGCTCCTGCTGCTGTGTTTTGAATCAGAGGGTTTTTTTTAACCGTCGGACATCCACAGCCCGCGACAAAGTGAACGTGTGTAGGCTGATTTCTTCACAGTAAACGGAATAAACTAGCAAACCGATATGGATTTGGATTCCATGAAATATGCGGAGTTGAGGAGCCTCGCTAAGGAGCTCGGGCTAAAAGCGAACATGAAGGTAACGTCAATTTAGGTTCACTTTCCGTGCTAAGCTACGCTAACGGTTTCTGTAATTATTCTAACTAACGTTTGCATATGGGGGAATCTAATTATTACTTTCTTCAAAAAACAGGCCGATAAGCTCCTCAAATCGATCAAGCAGCATTATCAGCGAGAAAATCACAAGCAGGAGGAAGGACAGGTACCACAAACCTGCCATATTGTACCTCAAAGTCTATTTTAAATCGTGCCTGTTTCGAATCGACACCTGATACGTGTACGTGCGCCTCGATCATTGGGGGCTTTTTCCAGGTGCAAGAAAACAATGTTCCCATCGTTCAGGAAGACCAGACAGCTTCACAAGACCGCGCTCAGGCAAATACAGACGCATCTGGCCGGGAAGAAGACGTTTCCAACCCCGCTGTGTTTGTGAACACACGCAGGGGCAAAAGAAACTGCACCAAGCGGAAGATCTGTGATGCTGCAACAGAGGATGATGCCAGCTCACCTCTGAGTGCTGCAGAGGTAGTTACAGCACACCGTGACATGCTCAACTTTATATACATATATATATATATATATATATATATATATATATATATATATATTTATTTATTTTGCAGCAGCGTCAATGATTTGCATTCATGCACATTAAACACTGAACCACTGTTGTGTCTCGTTCAGGGGGTCTCAGAAGTGGCCTCGTCTAGTCCGCCCCGCGGCGCTACGGGTGCCAAGAAGAGAAAAGTGTCCTCTACCAAGGATTCTGTCAAAGGCGAAGCCGAGCGTCCCGAGGAGCCCCGAGGGGCCACAGGCAGTGAAGCTGCTGCCGTTAAAGTCGAAGCGCCGGTGCAGAGCGACGCCGGTCAGTTGTAAATATTTAGAACTATTGATATCTGTTGCTTTGAAGGGCCTCGTCCTTCTGGAGCTCTTTCTTTTAGATTTGGCCGTTTAAAGCGCCGTTGTGATCACGTGTTGAATCTTTTTGTGACATGCGTTTTACGTCCTCTGTCCAGAAAAAGCAACCAAAGTGCCCAAAGGTGGTAAAATCCCTCGTTACCAAGGACAGCAGCAGAAGAACAAGGCCTCATTGAAGCCTGTCACCCCGAGTAAGTTTCCCCCCCCCTCCCTCTTTTTTTGGGCTCCCTTCCAATCATTTTTAAAACCAGCAATTCAGAGAGCACATTTCAGCAAGGCCGTGCTTCTCCCACACCAACTACTATCTTAAATTACGTCTCTCTTATAGACTTTAAAAAACTTCACGAGGCACATTTCAACAAGATGGAGTCGATCGACACGTATGTGCAGAGAAAGACCAAGCAGCTGGAGACTACCAAAAGTTCAGTTCAAAAGACGAAGGTAATACACAGCTTCAGTGGTTTTGTTCAACATTCGAGAAATATTTAAGTTCTTTGTTAACTTGTTTTTTAAATATTTTTTTTGCAGAGGCTTTCAGTCAAATCTAAACCGCAGCTTGTTGAGGGAAACGCTCAAGTGGTAAAGTATCCTCACTAGTCGCAGCACATTGACCAAATCCAGGCAGCGCAGTAAAGGCGATGGTGCTGAATCCTTTTTTCTACAGAAGGCAAGTTGGAGCCGCACTTCCCTATTCAGCCCCGTCTCCGTGGACACGAGGCCGGCTGCAGACAGGCGCACGTTGCCCTCTGCCAGCAAAGCGCCTGCAAACAAACCTCCTGGGAAGGAAGACGCTCCGTTCAGACCGTCTGTCCTTTCCACTCGCAGGATCAATGTTCGGTGAGTCGCTTTGCCGGTCTGACACTCTCTTGTGGACAAAGTGTTTCCTGCCTTGACCTTGTTGTCTCGTGACATTCTTACAATAAACTTTTCAGGAGTATTCAGTCCACGGCCTTTTTTTGACCCTACTCCTCATTTAGATATGATGTAGAGATGAGATATTATGTAGAGTTCAGAAGAACTACAAACAGCGCCCTCTACTTTTATCTGTATTCGCAAAAGTAGCCAAAACAGTGCAGCATTAAATCTCCTTTTTAGTCAACCTTCTAAAACATGAGATGGGGTTGAATGCCGCCCTTTGCTGTGTGGCGTTCGGTCCGACGCTCTAACGTCAACGCGTGTTTGCAGATTTTCCGAAGCCACTCGTGACAACGACAACAAGAAGTCCTTGGTGAAGACACCGGTGCGCATGTCGCTCTGCGTGACTTCCAGCACCCCAAACAAACCGGCCACCAATGAGGGAAAGCCAAGAAGTTCCAAGATTTCAACCCTCTCTGCCACAAAAACTGCAGGTACCGTTTGTCTTTTAATCCGGAGAAACAAATCGTAATTTGTCTAAATATGCGCGAGTGTGATATGAATTTCCCCCGCTTCATTCCGAAGGAGCATTTCTCTTCATGGGCAACACGAGTACTTCAACAACCCCCGGAACTCAAAAGAAGGCTGGCTTTGATCTGAAAGCAAGTCTTTCTCGTCCCCTCACCTACAAGCCCCATGCAGGTACAACACCACCGTTTAAATGCTCCGTTTCCCTGAAGTACATTATAAACAGACCGACAAATGCCTGACTTATTTTTTTTTAATGGTTGTTTACAGGTAAACTCAAGGCATTTGGAGACAACCAAGAAAACACGGCAGCAAACAAGTCACTGGTTTCTAACTCTCATCAGAAGAACTACAAACAGCACCAGGTCCAGACAAGGTATGTTCAAACTGACACGCGTGTTTCCCGTTGTAAAGAACTCCTACAACATCAGACTTTAATGGACGTTTCTGTATCTTGTTTTAAGGGGGGAGAGGAGAGCGAGACACGTGGAAGGCCGTAAGCAGAAGAAGGAGAGTATGCTCGGGGCAAGAAGAGGCCTTGTCATGATGTAAAAGTATCCGGCCGGTTTTGTACATCCGTTTTTTTACAGTGTAAATATTTGTTTTGTTTGCAGCCGTCGCTTTTGGTCTTCTGTTCGGGAAGCCGTCTTTTTCTGTTTCTGTCTAAACTCCCGTAGGGTGTTTTAGATTTTACCCCTGGTGTAGTGTTTACAGCGTACAACTCTGACTGATGCTTTTTATGTGTTTTTGTAGATAATCAATATCCTTTTTTGCTGCATTTAAAACTGTTATTGTGTTTTTAGAATTTGTGTGCTTTGTTTTTTTTTTTGAAAAAACCATAAAAAGGAAATCCTGTTCCACAAAGAAATGTTAAGTCATGTGAGTTAATGGTTGTTTTTAGACCTGGTTTGTTGACATCTGTCAGAAAAAACTAGACAAGAATCACAACAATGACTTTTTTTTTAAAGCAGCATGTCTCAGTTCGTGTCCTGTAATTAAATGATTCTAAATGTTTAATCTACACATCCTGCACGTTTTTATCCCAGTCCATATGCTTGAATCCAGGAATGATGGATCGGATGTAATTGGTAGACTTGTTTATTGGTAGTTTACGTATAACCTGGTCATTATTGAACCGCAGTTCATCTGCAATCGCTCTTATTAAACGTCAGGGTTTTTCTTGTACAACTCGTAGGCAAACTCCTCGGTGTGAGCGTAATCTTTAGAGACGGCAATAAAATCGATCTCCAGTTGGAATGGACCGTCTGCTTTATCCCCCAGGGTGAATCCAATACTGTTAACCTGTAAATACAACACAACATATTACAAGTACAAACTAATTGGCACACGCAGTGAGAAATGTATTTGAATGAGCGAATCAAAAGGTAATACACATAGTTAGGTAATGGTTACGATCACTACCTTGTCCAGCCAGAGAGGATGCTGGTCATCTTGTACCCTCCCGCGATTTGTGAGGAAAAACTTGGAGAAAGGAATCTGTAGAGAAGATAACGTGTTGGAATGACTGCTTCCATTACATATTTGGATCGGGTCCAGCTTCCATCCAGGACATGGTGAAAGCCGACATCCCGACCCGCGCTCTCCGCTCTGCATCTGCTGAACTACTCGTCCCTCCCTCAATGAGAGCAAAACACTCCACTAGATCTCGACTCTTTGCTGTCCTTGCGCCGAAATGGTGGAACGAGCTCTATGAAGACATCAGGACCGCAGAGAGCCTTCACATCTTCCGCCGCAAACTAAAGACACACCTCTTCAGACTCTACCTCGACTAAAGACTAACAAATGGTAGCACTTAAATTGTACTTATAACGCCACTCATCTATAGCAAATTGGCTTATTTGAGGAAAATGCACTTTCTTCTTTCTTGTTCTGAGTTTGTACCTATGGCTGAATGCACTTATTGTAAGTCGCTTTGGACAAAAGCGTCAGCTAAATGACATGTAATGTAATGTAATATTTCACACAAAGAGAAAAAAACTATTCCTAAAAGCTTAATTGCAGCCAATGCGGCAACAACATCTCCAGATTCGGGGCGGTATCTTTTGGTCCACAGACAAAAAAAAGGCACTTTTTGGTCTGAACCCTCACAAAGGGTTCTGATTTGTTTTGGCTCACCTGGACGTCTTGCCAGTAGGGTCCTCCCCTGGTATACAGGAAATAATTGTATATGTCATCCTTCTGGTGGGAGAAATATGTTTCTGCGCCAATGTTGATCATCCACGGACGTCCATCACCGCGTACTCGCAAATGCAGGGTGTTGAAACTGGACCAATCGTAGTGCTTTTTTCTATCGAATGAAGCCTGGGGGAGACCAAACGTTTGGGGGTTAAGTGCAGGTCAGTTAGCCGTATCCGCTAACTACCAGTAACAACGTAAGAACAGTTGAGTTTTCAGCGCTTGGGTGCGGGCAGGTTTCCATTGTGATACAAAAGCCAAAAAAATAATAATGAAAGGGGAGGAGCTAGTCCGTATTGGGACATAATAATGATGGCAGTTGGTGCACAGATTAGTGGCCGCCTGCCAAAACGCCCGGAGATCGAGGTGCATGGCTGTTCCTCAATTATCAATGGATGTCTAAAACCAAACATTGTCATTTGTAATATTTAAAAAAAATCCTGTATGTTTTATTTTCAGACTTCTCAATGGCTAAGAATGACATTCAGATTGGGAAATAATACTGAGCCTAAGATTTGTGTATTTATTGGGCTAAAGTAAGCGTATTTATTTCCAGTTAAAAATACCAAAACCATGACCACATTGTCCAGAATTCAATTACAGTAACTCCACAACCTCATTAGAAGTAAATGTAGGCTTTCTAAATCTTCTGAGAGAAACTCCACCGAGGCACTAACCTGTGGTCGCTTGGAGCGCATGGTGCAGTATCCGCTGTAGCGCGTTTCTCCATCCTTGGGAGGAGTAGAGCTCAGAGTCCCGTACAGAAAACAGGTATTATTGTTTTTCCCGAGCTTCAGGTAAGCTTCACTTTGGCCTCCAATCTCGTGATCTGAGGACACTGTCCACTGGTCCAGGCTCTCCGGGCCCCTGAACTCCCACATCACTCGGTTCTGCTCCAACATGTGCTCAAGGACGGGTTTGCCCTCTGGACCAACCCAGCGCTCGGAAAACTCCTTCTTCAGCAGCGTGAAGTGCTTCTTTATCCCCTGCACGCCTTTTGAGAAGCTAAAGTTAATCGGCTGCCACGGGAACCTGTCCTCTTTGGGTTTGCCGGGTCGTCTGTACTCGCCCTGACTCACAGCTCTTCTGGGCGCAGTGAGCAGAGTGACGGAGGGAGGCAACATCTGGTGGTGCTGGTGGATGGAGCTCAGCAGCCTCACAGAGGGGAGACGTGTCATCTTCGGCAGCGACATTTCAGTCCCGACTGTTCACTGTTGAGATAACGTTACGTCACAGTTGTGGTTATGGATTAAAAAAATGTTTATCTTGAAAATCAACAAAATAATAAAATACTAATGAAAATAATAATAATTTTAAAAAAAATACTATTCAACTGACTTGAAAGGATGCAATCAACGTGTCAATGCTTTACATTATTTGGTTTAGGGAATCGCATTTAGTGTGCGAGGCAAATCATAACTATAGTTTGCTGGTGTTTCTGTTGCAGGTGTATCAAGAATAATCGTAACTTAGGAACTGTTTCAACACTAATGTCCTCTTGGCGTATGTGTTGTATTAGTAGCCTAGATTTTCATGTGTCATGTCACATAGCTTTAAAGTGCAAACTGGTAATTATTTAAAAAAAAAAACATTTTTACTGAAAAGATTGATGACACTTAAAATCCTTTGCAGTTGTATTTAATCAATTGTTGAATTCATACAACGTTACAGTATGAAGAAATAAAAAGCATTTGCTGCTCTGAGCTTCACTCGTGGCGGAGTGAAGGAGTTTGAGTTTAAATGCTATTATGTTCGCTTTATTTTACTATAGTAACTAATTAACTTACACACACACACACACATATATATATATATATATATATATATATATATATATAGTATGTTGACACCTCCAGTTAGTTCAAGAATGAGTCAGATAGTCGTTAACGTTAGTAAAAACCACATTTAGAGAGGAATCAAAACATAACGTTGTAATGAATTGCGTAAACGTAAACTCTAAAGACGAACACAGTAAATCATCTGTTTCTACTTACTGTACTCGTGCATCAAAAGGTGACGGATGGATATTTCGCCGACTTCTTTTCCTGGATTAGTCTCTTTAAAAACTCATGGATTGACACCATTTATCAACTGGTCATGTGTTGGTTTCATTTCGAAATACAATACATGTAACTCGATTAATCAAACTACGAGTTTAGCTTCGATAGTAAACGAGTGATTTATTGTAACGTTAGACCTTGAGCTTAGCAGCAGTGCACCCAAGAATCGTGTCCGGACTGACACACTTCCTATCAGTACTTAGTTCCAATGTTAGCTAACCGTCAATGTGCCCGTATCATCACAAACGGTATCCTTCATATACACTTCATCAGTAAAGTAACATAATAAGTGCTAGCTAAAAAAATGACCCCCCCAGCAGAGCCTTAAACCCCAAACGCAACTATGGCACAAGTGCGAGCGCGCATGCGCAGTACTGCCTTTGTGTTGCTGACTGCAGCGCCGACTAGCTGGATAGTAGCACAAACGGCTAGCCTCAAACATTTAGACGACACAGAGGTAGCTAGCAGGTTAGCCGTGCAGCTAATCATGGTGAACGTAAAGAAGCGGAAAGGTAGAGTCGTGATTGACTCTGACTCCGAGGACAGTGCTAGTGACGATAATTTAGATCAGGTAGGTGCGCGTTTTTTTCTTCAGATTTAGCCACGACGATTCACGCAATTAGCGCTAGCTTAAGTTGCCCGCAGTTGGAGGCGAAGCTATTGCGTGCTAACGGACTGCGCTGGGGTTTGCCTCGCTTGAACAAGCGGAGAGTGGGCCCATGTTATTTACAGTCCTCGCTTCTTCTCTCAGTTAACACCCCTTTCCAATGTCGAATAAATGTTGCCTTTCCCGCCCTAGTGTTTCTCCAGTGTGTGCAGGACGGAGGGTACTGTGCGGTTGTCCAAGCAGCAGTGTCTTTACATCGGCATGCTAAGTTATGCTAACGTTAAGGTTACACTCCAACAGAGTCCCTCAACGCAAGGAACCACCAGCCACCGAAATGCCGCGGAATGGGCCTCCCTCTGGTTTCGAGTAGTAATCTGCTTGACAACGGCCGTGCACTATTGAAGGGGGTGGGGGTCTTGTTAGTTAACGTCCAGGGTGAGCGAAATGTTTGCACACAGTGGAGAGGAGTAGCTCTTGTATTTAAGACCTTATCTTGCCCAATGACGTCATGGGCGCGAAGCCGTCGGTCTATTTCGGTGTTGTTGTCAAACAAGCGCTGGTGAGCAGAGAGGCAGGACATGTCAGCGCGAGGAGCTGTACACAACTGCTCCTTTTAATAACCGCGATCACCGCTAAAACCCCCGTGTACGGTTCAGCCCACAGACTGCCCAGACACAGGTGGTGATGCACAGAAGAGTTGGGAGAGGCTTTAGTAAGATGTGTTTCCTTGGTGGCCCAAATCATCAGCAGGAATTTATTCTTGCGTATGTATATGTGTCGTGTTCAGCAGTTGCGTTTTGAGATTACGTGGATTAAGACCGCTAATGCAGAATGTTTGCAGTATTCAATACATCGTCTCTCCAAGGAAGGACTTAGACTTTTAGTTCTGCATTTCAAGATTTTTGCCTCTGCGAAGAACAGATCTGATTGCTTTCAAGCCTGCAAACCTCGATGTCACTTTGAGATTTTATGCAATGCATCCTGAGGCCAGGGATTTCTGTTGGTGCCACTGTTGGTGGCTGGTGACAGAAACACTGTATTGATGATAACACAAAGTCATATGAATATGTCACCAATGCAGTCTGGATCAGTGTAGCTCTACATGCAGCGTTCCCAGAATCGTACAGCTATTCGGTGTTATTACATACATTTTCAGGGTTTAGTTATTGAGCTTCTCATTCTGGCTCCAGATTTGTATGAAGGTCCTGTTGGGATAACTAGCTGCTAAAATTCTGCCATTAGAATGTGTTTTAATGACAACTCTTGATTGGATTTGCCTTCTTTGCTCACACATTGTGTTTTTTTACCTAAAGGGTTGGAGAATCCACTTTATTTGGGAGGTTTAGTCCTAAATAAAACCATGGGCATCTAACATGTAATGGTTTTGGATCCCAATGCATCCTTCGTGCAGTTTGGTTTAGTTTATTTTCACCTGTAGATGATAAGATGTTGTTCACTCAGGATTGGATCCTAACAAACATATTTTATTACCAAGTAAGAGCAGGGCTTTCCCTGTTGGAGACAGTTTGTTAGATGTTCCACGTGCGATTCTGATTTTGTTGGGTGCTCTTTCTGATCCACATCGCTGCATTCTGATCACCAGGAGCTCCTGTCTTTGGCAAAGAGGAAGAGGGTTGATTCTGGGGATCAGGAAGAGCCGGTCAGCAAACCTGCAGCTTCTTCAGACTCTGAGACATCCGACAGTGATGATGAGGTATGTAGTCCCTTTTCCGTTTGAAACAAAACAACTCTGTGGATAGTTACGGCTATTTGATGAATCTAACTGGATTCTTACCCCCTTTTGTCTAGTGGACTGTTGGTGGCACCAAAGGCAAAAAGAAGGTTAAGCCAGCGAAAGGGTCCGAGAAGAAGAATGCTACAAAGAAGAAGGTTAATAAAGCAACGGCGTCTGGCAGCTCAGATGGAGGCAGCTCAGCTGAGAGCTCTGCACCAGAGGAGGGTACGTCTTCCGCTTTAAGGCGAGGGGGGTACATGCTCTGCTCCAAAAGCAGATTTAAAAAAATGTATCTGATACAACACATGTTTAAGTTACTATGAATAATAGGAGTCAAGCATCTCACCGTGGCGACAGTTGTGCGGATGTGAGCCAATAGCTCCGCACATTGACGCACACGCCGTCAGGTTAACAGCATCTTGCGTGAAGAGCAGAGCGGTGAGACACGCTCTGAGCTTTAGATTGCACACTTCACAGTGGCGCCATGTCCACGGATATCAGGCGGCCCAGATTAGGTGACTCACTCGCTCATCCCTTTTATCTGAGCTGGCATGCCACGCAACATCTAAGTGGTTATTAAGTCTTGACGAATTATTTCTGAATATCTGGCCAATGTCCAGAGTAACTATCCAAGATGTTTGAAATTCTTGAATCAATGCTTCTCATCATTTTGAAGTAAACTGTCATTTGGTCAAATTTAGTAGTTTGTTTTCGGCCACTTAGGATCCACTTTTTAAGATGAATGTCTTACTGCTTAGTATTTTTTAGGAGGGATGTAGTATCGGTGTGGGCAGAGCACATTGGGTCAGAATACAGCAGTGGAATTTGGTCTGCTCTCCGTACAGGAACTGAAGCTGAATGATCTGTAATCGTGCCAAATGAATTGCTCTTTATCAGGCGAGGTGTCCGACTCCGAAAGCAACAGCTCGTCCTCCAGCTCCGACTCTGACTCTTCCGAGGACGAGGTGTTCAGGGACGGTTACGACGACGACTTGATGGGCGATGCGGAGGACCGAGCTCGCCTGGAGCAGATGACGGAGAAAGAGAGAGAGCAGGAGCTGTTCAACAGAATTGAGAAGAGAGAGGTGCTAAAGAGACGGTGAGTGCGAAAGTAAAGTTAAAAAAAAATTCTCTCATAAGCCCAGTTTGGGACTTTGATCGTTCTTGCATTATTTAAGACGATGTATTTTTTTCTCAGTTTTGAAATCAAGAAAAAGCTGAAGACTGCAAAGAAGAAGGAGAAGGAGGAGAAGAAGAAGAAGCAGGAGGAAGAGCAAGAAAAGAGGAAGCTATCTCAGGTTCAAGACACACAAGTGGTGAGTAGATTCAGAAACATTTTAACAATATTAGTCAAATGTTGTTTGACAAAAAATTGTCTTACTGTGTCACTTCTAAGAATCCTTTGGCAGGCGCTCATGCAGCAGTAGCCTTCCACCTTTTCTTGTCCTTGAGTGTGTTTGCTATCCACTCGTCTCCAGGTCATGTCTCACAACAAGGAAAGACGATCTAAACGCGATGAAAAACTTGATAAGAAGTCCCAGGCCATGGAGGAGCTCAAAGCTGAGCGCGAGAAGAAGAAGAACAAAACAGGTGGGTGTGATTTCTGACTTGGTCGGGACGTTTTTGACACTCCAGTCGGTTGCTGAACGATGACATTTCCTCTCTTTGGTGAGCAGCGGAACTCTTGGCCAAACGTCAGCCCCTGAAGACCAGCGAGGTTTACTCCGACGACGAGGAGGAAGAGGAGGAAGACGATGACAAATCATCGGTTAAGAGCGACCGGAGTTCCCGTTCATCGTCTTACGATGACGACGAGTAAGCTGTTCTCCCGCTCCGGTTGATTGAAGCAGCAGAAGACGAGGACTTCCCTCCAGATTTTTAAGTAACGTCTTGACTGTTTCCACCAACAGTAAAGAAGAAACTCCCCCGAAGTCGCAGCCTGTCTCGCTACCGGATGAGCTCAACAGGGTGCGCTTGTCCAGGCACAAGCTGGAGCGCTGGTGCCACATGCCCTTCTTTGCCAAGACGGTGACCGGCTGCTTTGTGCGGATAGGGATCGGCAACAGCAGCAGCAAACCGGTTTATAGGGTAAGCCGAGGTTCTAGGAAGCATTTCTAGTTCAATATCACATAGTGTGATCTTGTATAATAGTCTGATTAGGGAAGTTTGACTTTAGTTGAGTTTCCCTTGTTGTCGAAAGGTGGCGGAAATTGTAGACGTGGTGGAGACGGCAAAGGTTTACCAGCTCGGAACGACGCGAACAAACAAGGGATTACAGCTAAGGTGGGTACACTTCGTAGACATTAAAGTAGGTAATCGAGAATCTTTTCCCATCATCCCTGCTTCCCAAAAACGCACCTTTCTGTTTGTCCGTCTTCCTCAGGCATGGCGGTGACACGCGGGTGTTCAGGCTTGAGTTTGTATCAAATCAGGAGTTTATGGAAAACGAGTTCATGAAGTGGAAAGAGGCGGTAAGTGTTTTTATATAACAAAAGCCATTGCATCAGTTTAAGGAGGATCTTACATGTATTGAAGAGGCCAGCCGGTGAAGAAAGATTTTTTTTTTTCTGTGTTGTTTTCCAGATGATTGTTGCTGGAATGCAAGTACCGACTCTTGACGAAATCACCAAAAAGGAGCAATCCATCAAAGAAGCGGTTAACTATAAGTTCAATGACAAAGACATAGAGGATGTGAGTCTTTTTCTCCAGAGGTTAATTTACTTTCTCTGGTGTCGTGTATTATGCAATGGAACCAAAATATGTATCGTCTTTGCTCGCTGCAGATTGTAAAAGAGAAGGACCGGTTCCGAAAAGCGCCACCGAATTATGCCATGAAGAAAACTCAGTTACTCAAAGATAAGGTAAAGAAAGGTTGCCATGATCAGCTACACGGTGACAGTGATGGTCTTGTGGCCGAGCCTCTTTCTTACTCCTTTGGACCGTGTTTTTGATTGAAGGCCATGGCAGAGGAGACTGGGGATTCTGACAAAGTGAAAGGGATCCAGGTGGAGCTGAATGAGCTGGAGGAAAGAGCCGAGGCCCTTGACAGACAAAGGACCAAGAGCATCTCTGCCATCAGGTACGCAGGCTACTATTAAATAAATTATGTTATGTTTTTAACAACATAAATACTGTTGTTATTGTATATACTCATATACACAGTTCTCAACAGTCTGACTCTTCATCAGATGCTTCTATTTTCTGTTCTATTTTTCATCCAGCTACATCAATCAGAGGAACAGAAGCTGGAACATTGTTGAATCTGAGAAAGCTCTTGTGGTAAGCGTCATCAATCACACATATTAATGTTTTTCTTTAACTGTTGTGATTTTTAATATGGCTGGAATGTGTCGGAATTGATCAAAGGCAAAAAATGATCAGTTTTGGTGTAAGTGCTTGAAAATGTATTTATTTAAAGCGTCCGCATTGCATCCCATAGTCTCTGTTTGCTCTGGAGGATGTGTGACACAAGCACAGCCACGATGTTACTGATGGGTGGGAAGGGAAGAGTCCTTTCTTACAGATTGATTGATTGTGTTGTCTGAAAATAGTTTTATGGTATTTACTACCCAACAAGATGGAATTCCCTCACGCTGCTGTTGATCTAAGCATAGAATCCCCAAATGTCCCAATAACATTGTGTCCATTTTACAGCATTTTCAGATCAGCCAGTGGTCCAAGTTTATACTGCTGTTAAAATACCCAATTGTTATTTACTTATTTTCCTCACAGGCAGAAGGACAAAATGCCAAAAACCAACAGATGGACCCTTTCACACGGAGACAGTGCAAACCCACCATGGTGTCTAATGTAAGTTCCCTACGACTTTTTCATGTAACATTTCCTCCAAGTGGAATAAAATAAACACTGCGGATTCTCATTTAGTTGATCTCTCCACATGCTTGTTTTGGTTCTGCAGGCCAGAGACCCTTCAGTCCACGCAGCTATTCTCGCTCACCTGAACCAAAAGTACGGCTCTGGGTCGGACGCTGCACCGGACGCTGCCGGCTCCGACAGCAACAAGCTGGTGAGCAAGCTTTCACTGAAGAGATGCTCAGATCCACATGTCGTTCTGTTCCAATGCAAAGAGACACGCGCTTGCTGCATCGTTTCTGTGCTGAAATCAATGCCAAAGTATCTAAATATCTACACTTTCCTCTGTTGTGTTACAGGGTCAATTAAACTCAAAAGACAAGGATGGCCCCAAGCCGAACACTGACCTCTCAGAGGACTTGTTTAAAGTTCATGATTTTGATGTTAAGATTGACCTACAGGTTCCTAATGCAGGTGAGATTCTCTTTTACCTACTTCTTCTCTTTTTTTGACTTGCATTACATTGGCTGGCCCTATACTTCACTTGTTCGGTTGTGGTACGTTAACCACTGCACTTCAGAAAACAGTATCGTTCTTGTGCCCCGCAGAGGCAAAGTCTTTGTCTGTGAGCTCCAACGCGCTGCCGGTGAAGGACGGCGCTCCCCGCAGGTCCCTCAACCTGGAAGACTACAAGAAGAGGAGGGGACTGATCTGACGCGGTTCTCCATCATTCAGTAACCACATTGATGTGTAACTTACTGTGCAAGAGAGAGCGAGTGAGAGAGGGTATGTTTGTGTAAATGTGTGTGGTTGAGTATATGTGTGTGTGGGTGTGCGAGTGACTCCCAGAGGACGTATGTTTGAATGTTGATACAGACTGTTTATCTGAACACAGAGGATATACTGATTGAGCAAAGGTTTTTCTCGATGGATCTCTCTCGGAGAAACTTGTCCAGATATTCGTTGTTTTGTTATTTTTGCATCACCACACACAAGCTTGTATATTGAGTTGTGTTTTTTTGTATGTATTTAACTTCTATCTGTTTTTGGATCTTCTGGCGCCCACTCCATTTTTTTTGGTCTTTTTTTTTTTTTTTTTTTGAACGGACAAAGCGCTTGTGGATTATTGCCTTGAACAAGGACACTATGTTAAAAGACTTCTTATCTTAAAGGACTGCATATCTAATGGAACTGATCAGCTAGTCCTCAACAATTAATTACTGTCCAAAATCTTTTCCCCACTGTATGTGTGATCATCTGTCCTGCCCTTCCATCCTGATTTTTAGCAGCCTTTTTTTTGTTTTATTTGTTTTTTGCAGCGTATAGATGATCGCTCGTCCGTGTCTCTGGCCCCCCGTGACAAATGTGAAAGATTCTGGACGTTTATCACTTTTTATGTCTTTTGAAATGACTCAATTTCAGAGGAACCCTTTTCTACTTCTGGTTATAAAAGTGTTGCTTCATTTCTGTTATCTCTTCGTTGGTGGTTCATGGGATAACCCCCCAGCCCTTAACTCCCAGAGCAGATTCTATGTGTTCAATTGTGTCCATAGTCAGTTCCTGTATTGATGTGGCATGCCGTGTAAATATGCATTTTGGAGAGCGAGCGGAAAAAATAAAGAGGCACTGTTTCATAACGTATGTCTTCGTGTCTATTTTGCAAACTATGGGTGAGAGCAGACGACGCCAGCCACCAGCTGAGGTTGTTTTTTATCTTTTGTACCGTGCATGCATGAAATGTCATTTAACACACCTAAAAAATAACCTATTTTATTCACTGCTGTTGGTTTAATCAAGTACATTTGGTCTGTGTCTTTATTTGTTTTGGTTTACCAAAGTTAAATTTGACTGTTCCTAAATAGATTTAATCTAGCCCTTTTATTTCACTACAAGCATTGGTCCTCAAAAGCATCCGATATTGGAAATGTGGAGATGTGTATACAGCATTAACTTTTTCAAAGCGGCTACTTTATTCCCATTCAATTAATGTTATATTTGTTACTTCGGCAATAGAAGCAGATGCTTTTAATTTTGAATTTCAGCTTGCTGTGAGACCTAAGATATCCAAACACAAAATCAACTTTGTGTACTTCCGTCAGTGTTAATATAAGTGAAGCAAACAGGCAGAAGGTGTGAAACGTGTCCTGCGAAACGCCCTCGGTTAGTTTTTGATCAGGCGTCTCCGAAGTCGCTCTGTTGTGGGGTCCTTTCTTCTTCGCTTCCTGCTCCACGTATTGAGAAGATCACCAACATCCTCTTTGACAGATAATGACATTTGACCGTGTCCATCCAAACGACATCCTCCCTTCATGTCCGCCAGCTGAACCCCGTCGGTAGCCTGGTGACCGGAGACATTTGGACGTCGTGTCTGTTGGTACGTCAGAGGCTGTCCTCTTTGCTAGCCAGCTAGCCAGTTAGCTTTAGCAGTGATGGAGTGTATACTGTTTACTTTCTCAACGTGGTCCGAGCTGCAGAAACTGACCGTAATAACTCCTTTACAGCCTCGTATCTGCACCAGACGCTCTGCGGTCGTTTTTCGTGATAACTATCAGCCAGCTTTGAGTCTGTTAGCGCATTGAGTTAGCATGCTCATGCTAGCCGCGCACAAGCAGTGCGTTCGCTGGTGAGTTTGAGTCAAGAGTCTCTCAGGAGAGAGATGAGTTCCTAATATTGTGGCCACAATCATTATCAGATTTAGTCATCGTCATGTTTGTGTGGAGGAGACTGCAACTCCCAGACTCAGACTAAAAATTACACAATAAATGCATTTCAAACGAGTCGTGCGGATGTTCCCTGATTTTGCATATAAATGACTTCGAAGACATTGACAAAAAATGAATTTTGATATTTTAATTTAGTTATGGTGGGTATTTCCAAAACTATAAAAAAGGTCATTGAAAATTGTCTTTGAATGTTGAACTGGGCACATTTTTTTTAACCAGACTGTCCGGATTCATCCTGCTGGTCCTGGAGTTTAATTGTTAACCGGCCACCGCCTTTAGTTAGTTACTGTTGACAGAAGAAGAAAAAAACCTTCTTTGTAGTGCCCTCGTATCACACTTGTAATGAAACAGTTTTTAGCCGTTTCAGAGGGCAAATGTGTTAATATATATGCATTATGCTGACACAAAAACCATAGCATTGTTGTACCTGTTATCTGCACAAAAAGCCCATTTCCTCCTCAAACTGTGCTGTTAACGTTTCTGTCATTAGGATACAAAATGTCCTGGTTTGCTGACTTGGCCGGGAAAGCTGAAGACTTCCTGAATAAAGTGGACCAGGGAGCTGCCACTGCCCTGACCACTAACCAGGAGAGAACATCTTCCTTTTCGTCATCCTTTGGAGAGGAATCTATTACCAAACCCGAATACAACACTGCACAATACAAGAGCCATGCTACTGTGACGCATCATGCTTATGCATCTTCTGATGATGCACCGAGTTATGTTGCTGCAGCGGCTGCCAACATCAAGAGATCCGGTGCTACGCTGCTGTCTGGTACTGCCAACGCGGCAAGTATTCCCTCCGGTTCTCTCAGCAACCCCCCCAACTCTGCCAAGACCTCGTCTGGCTTTGTGAGGCCCAAAAAACCATCTGAGCAGGATGTGGACGACGACATGCTCTTTGACTTTCTGAACAGCTCGGACCCCCCGCAGAGCGACAGGAGGGATTCAAGAAGAGAACTTGTGAAAGTGGCGGTTCCGGTAACCGAGGTCGAAAACCCAACGCCTCCTCTTTCCACCACTCCTCATACCGTCCCCTCGGCCCCGTCAACGCCCCCCTCAACCCGGGGAGTATCCAGGGCCTCCAGCATGAGCTCACTGTCTGCCCACAGCATGAAAACATCAGAGGAGAGCTCCACTAAAGAACAGAGCCACGGTACGTGTATAATGCGCTAGATGTAACAATGTATAAGCCATCTGGATGTTAGGAAGGGCTTATTAGTACTATTTGTTATTGTCCACCTGTAGATGAACAGATGGTCAACACAATGTTTTTCTCATCGCTCCTACTTGGCCACTACAGACACACCCGAGAGTTCTGACTCAGGCTTGGCTGTCCTGCTAGATTCCAGCAGGCAGGATCCCCCTTCTCCTCTTCCTCCTCCTCCTCCAACGGAGGAGCCACAGAGCCATATCCTGTCCAGTTTGCGTTTGGAGAACCAGATGCTGCGTGGTGAGGTGGCCTCCCTCAACCAGGAGATGGCTTCAGTCATCCAGAGGGCGAAAGACTTACAAGACGGTAAGCGATGAGATGAACAGGAACGGAGATGGCCTACGTTTCTGCCCCCGTCCCTCTGACTGATTAAGTGGTTTTTCTACTCATGTAGAATTGAACCAGGCTCGTCTACGGGCAGACAGATGGAACTCGGAGCAGTCTCAGACCGACCGGATGGTGCGGGAACTTCGGTCAAAGGTTGATGACTTAACCGAAGCCCTCTCCGCCAAAGACGGTCAGCTTGCAGTCCTGAAAATCAGGCTCGATGAAGCCGATCAGATGCTGATGTCCCGCTGTGCTGCGTTAGAAGAGGCACAGATGGAACGGTCAAGGTGCGCTTTTATAACAACCTTTTCAAAGTAGACATCAGATTCAGCTCTTTTTGAGATATTTTTAGGATTATTCTTATCATTTCTTTTTTAGAATTATGCAAGACCAAACCGAGGGGAGCAGCGTGCAGTCCCAAGCTTTTGACACAATACAAGAGCGGCTGAGAGAGGCTGATCTGGCACTCCGGAGGGAGCAGGACAGCTACCGGCAGATGCAGGTGCACAGGATGCTTTTCATCTTCGTTCACGTACCAAGGTTAAGTCTACACTCGATATGTGGAAATTAGTCTATGTAGGGGCCATTATGGGTTGTTGTTGGCAAAGTATATTTTGTTTGTTAGACTGTATTTATATTGACACTTTGGACACTAGGTGGCGGTGATTAGGTGCACATGGGTGTACATAAGGGACGTAGGTGACAGGAAGCGAGGGCAATTCTCACCAGACCATTTTCTAATTGTGTTTCCTGGCTATAGAGTGAGTTTGCTGGCCGCCTGTCCAAAGTGGAGGCTGAGCGGCAGATCCTCGCCGAGACGGTGACTGCAGCAGAGCGGCGAGCGGCAGAGGAGAAGCTCCGGGTCGACGACATCCAGCTGCAATTGAAAAGTGCCAAAGCTGCAGCGGAGACGGCCAAACAGGAGTTACAAGACTACAAGCACAAAGCTTCACGCATCCTACAAGTAGGACTTGGCTATATTTAGCATTCAACATTCATTGATTTTGTTTTTTACAGATAGGTTAAGAATTTTTATAGGATTGCTTTTTCCTGTGTTATTTTTTTCACGTGTACTGTGGTCCTCTAGTCCAAAGAGAAGCTGATCAGCAGTCTGAAGGAGGGATCTGGTCTGGACACCGTAGACGGCAGCGGGGCTTTTGCTCTGGAGCTGGAGGACCTGCGTCACGAGAAGGAACTGCATAGGGAGGACGTCCAAAAACTACAGGGACAAGTGCACACACTGCGGATAGAAATACAGGTCAGATGCTTCAAATGGCAGAAAATATAGGCAAAACCACATTTCTATTTAATGGGGTACTGTATTGGCCGGTAGGTCTGTTAATGTATTTGACCCTTTGATTCGAGGAGAGTTTTTCTTTGTAACTTAAATTTGAGGTTATGCTTTGGAAATTATTGCAACATTTAAAATCTGCAATTGAACCACTGTTGTTGCAGCTGTACACGTGAGACATGTTTTTTTCTGGTAGGATTTGGAGAATCAGGCCTTGACAGAGGCAGAGACATGGCGGGAGCAGCAGATGCAGTTCGAGGAGCACTACGCCTTACAAAACAGGGCTAAACAGGAGGTGGAGGTGGAGGTCGAGCGCTACAAACAGGTACGGGGGGTGATTCTTTTAAAAGGCAGCCATAGAAAATGTACGATGAATTGTTCCTCAAACTTCAATTTCAACGTATCTAATCAAAATCCTAACTCACGTAGTGTGTTTCTGTGTTGTTGTTTATCAAAATCACAGGAACTTCAGTACCTTGAGGAAGAGAACCATCGAACTAAAACCACTCTGCAGAGCAGAATCAAGGACCGAGAAGATGAAATCCAAAAACTCAGGAACCAGGTCAACCAGTTAATAATCATACAATGCATGTAAATGCAGAGCCCTCCTCCGGGGTCAGGGCTTGGACAACGTCTGCCTTATGGCAGGCAGGAGCATGGTCAATTTGACAAAAAGGTATTGATGATGTTCCTCCAGTTGACCAACAAGACTCTCAGCAGCAGCAGCCAGACCGAGCTGGAGAATCGTCTCCACCAGCTGACGGAGACGCTGATCCAGAAGCAGACGATGCTGGAGGCTCTGGGAACAGAAAAAAGCTCCCTGCTCTTTCAGCTGGAGCGTCTGGAACAGCAGCTGAAGAGCACTCAAGGAGGACCGAGTGGAGGGCCCTCCATCAACATGAGCGGTCTTGAGGGACCAGGTATGAGGTTTGGTGGTCAGAGAGTTTCTTCTGTTAAAGTGAGCCACTTGTAACGAGTTATAAAATAGCATAATATGGCTGACATAAATAAACAAGATCATCAGTGAAAAGATTACTTGTTTCTATATAGTTATTCTTACTGTTTGTCATCGGCCCACTGGTTTAGATTCTACGTAAAATTAGATGAAATCATGCAGGTTCACCAAAAAACTCCATCAGCTCAGACTCCTGCTCCACCTCCTTCACCATGATGCACTGTTGTGCATGTGGGCAGCAACAACACGTATCTAAGCTCCTGCTGTCTACTGTAATACACTCTAAATCCCCACCTCCAGCACCTGAAATATCTCAGCAATATCTACTCTTTATTTTCAATGCTAAATGGATATTAGAATATTTAGTACCTATATGAAATAGGACATCAAGCAAGATGATCATGAAGAACAAATGTGATTTAAAACTAAATAAATTGTCTTTTATTTCTGCTTTTTATTTAATATATCTGTGCTCCCCTTTAATTGCATGGTCTCTTTATAGATGAATATACCAGCATGTATATTTAAAAGTGGATATTGGCTTTTCGTTTTGTTGAATGTTGTCAAATGTTGGGTCACACTGTTTTATTGGGATTAGAAGCTCATCGGGTTTAGTTTTTCCATTGCTGACTGTTTTTCTTTCTGTGTGTGTGTTTGTTCTCAGTTGCACGACAAAGAACCACACCCGTCCTGTTCAGCGATCAGGACAGTCCAGGAGTTTATGGCAAAGTTCGCAAGGCAGCTAGCACCATTGACCGTTTCAGGTAACATTTCACAGTTTGTTTGTCCTCACCGTTACTGACTGTTTCCTGTGTACAATATGATCCTATTACTTAGGACCTAAGTAATGGACGGAACATGCTGTCATTTCAGCATCCGACTGGGCATCTTCTTGAGGCGTTACCCTGTGGCCAGAGTTTTCGTTATCCTGTACATAGTGAGTATTCGGTCAATGCAGCGCTGTTTTTCCATCTCAGTGAACCATGGTTAATTTCAACTTCTTTTGACAGGCGCTGCTACACCTGTGGGTCATGATTGTTCTGCTGACTTACACACCAGAAATGCACCGTGGTCATCCTGATGGAAGATAGAAGGCTTGAATTTTAGTGTTTTAAATTATGTTCTACAGCCTTCAATGTAAGGAGGGTACAAGCTGCTGGAATATGGGCTAGGGTTCCTGTCTCCCTTTTTTGCACAGACATGCTATGAATTAAAGACATTTCCTCTGATTTATTCTTTATTTTTTATAAGGAAAGATCAATATGGGACAGCAGCATTGGGTTTTAACAAAAATTCCAGAGGGATATATTATGTATAAACTATTGGTGGTCTGCTGATAAGATATTAAATCTAACATGATCTCACATTTGTTCTTCTTATCTGCTTTCCGACCGCTGCTTTCTTGTATTTAACACTATGTAAAAAGATAAAAAGAATCTTTTAATAAACAAGTTCGATAAATCAACACAGCCTGTCAATTTTCTCATAGGCTATGTTTGTTTTGTAGCTTACACTAGAGGGATCGCCAAAGCCCAAGTTGGTTTCCTGTTCATGAGGAGTGTGACTCATTGAATCCTTTTGTGGCTCTGAATTACGGAAAATAAAGGAGTACAGACCAATATTTCTGATGTACAATTTCATTGTAGATAGATAGTCTGTGCATCTTAAAATAACTTAAAACACACAAAGCTACCAAAGCTGACTTTTCTGGTTTCATGTAAGAAATATTTGTGAAGTATGTTAAAACCGAAGACGAGTGGACCGACTGAATAAGTATATAAGAGTTGAGCAGTGGAGCAATCATTCATTTGAGGACTAGTGGGGCCATTGTTGTTAATACTTCTCTACTTTTATTTAAAACCCCTGAAAAGGATTAAAACAAAATATTATAAAATTATAACCAAAATACAGTTATACAAAGACATACATAGGAGACAAAAGTAAGAAGTGAAGATAAAAAGATATTAAAATAATACTGTAAATATTACGTTTAGGTTTAATGTGGTTCATCATTTTTTTACAACAAAACAGTGAAATTACACATTTGTTATTCAACTAATCTTCCATGAATAACATCGGAATTCGTAACATATGTGAGAATACTGTATTCTTTATCTGCTGAAAACGGCGCCCGACTTCTAGCTAGAGTTCTCCAGGTCCTTGAACGCATCTTTGATCTGTTGGTCCTCCAGTATCCCACAATGCAACGCTCGCTCTGTTCCGTGTCCACGTCAAACCTGACGTTTCTCGCCGCAGCCGAGCTGGTATGGCTGCAGTTGAGGTGGCACTTTCTGGAGGCTGTGTTGTTTAGACCGGCGAGAAGCGCTGAAAACACCTCACGTAGGCGACACGGGCCACGGCGGCGGCGGCGGGGCCGTAATTTACGGTGTCAGCGGTCTTGCTGGGACTTACGTCGCTTAGCTTAAGTTAGCTTAGCTCGGCAAATGTCACAAGTCAAGTGATCAGCTGTTATTTAGCGTAGCCGGATAATCTTTGCTACACGAGCGTCTGTCACCCCCCGAGAAGCGACTTTGTTCAAGGAGAAGTGGATTTTGAAGTTGACCAGGCTCTCCGCAGGTGCAGAGTCCACAGTTCGTGAGGAGTCTGGACTCTGGAGTCGAAGCTAAGCTTAAAGCTACCCCCCCCCCCCTCCCCCCGAAACCCAGTCTTCTTCGGCCCTGGTTTGTTTTGGTTTGCTGCCCTCCTCGAGATTTCCCTCCGGTTGGGGGGGAATGGGGCCGGCCTCGGCCAGTCTCTGGGCCAGGTCGGCGGCAGCCTGTCCTCCTTCACCGGGCAGATCTCAAACTTCACCAAAGACATGCTGCTGGAAGGAGTGGAAGAAGTAGGGGGTGAGTTTGACTGCTGATTTTATCTCTTTCTTATGTCGCCACATCGCCAATGACACACCTGCAGCACAGACAGTGTTGCTTAAACTAAACACCTATTAAAGGGCCTTTATGGTCCCTGGTGCTGAAATGCCAACCAGATGTTATTAAACAGCTCTATCAACATTGATACTTTTCTTAAATCCTTAAGAAAAGTATCTCTTAACTGGAAAACTACCACTGCCTCCTTCATGTGTCAAGTGAAAAACTTGGGCTTGTTAGTGTATAAATATCATATGGAGCACTGTAAAATACTCCGCTGTCATCATCAAAAGCAAATGCCAGAGAATTTTGTAGAACTTTTTCGAAACAAATATACGTACGTATACGCTGAGTTGGCATAATTACTTTTTTTTTAATTTTTAATGTGGGAGCGATATTAGGTTTGACAAGTAAAAAAAAAAAAAAAAAAGAAGTTCTGTTATCTGATCCCAGATACTCGGTTCTTCAACTTGAGACTTAAATCGGACCGATATCCAATATTTAGCCTCTGCATTGGCGAATCCCAAATATAGTACAATAATTACAGTAAAATAAGTTACTGATGTTTCTCAATTCTGGACTAATTACAATGATGTCATTGCATTGCTAAAAATGAGCCATTAATACTTCCAGTATTAAAGGAATGTGACAGAAGCTAAATCAATTAAGGGAGCAAACTTACTTATTTGACTAATTACTGATTCCCTGAAAGAGATTAGAAAAATTCTGACTTTCACTTGTGATGGAAGTGCTGTTTGGTTCATATTAGCTGGTAGTGAGGAAAACATCCAAACCAGTCTAAATTGTGATTAACAATACTTCACTAATTTCCTTATTCTCCCATATTATTTTCTCCATTATTGTTTGAACGTACAGAGCGGCTTTGTTTGTCTTCTTAATGTACATAAAGGTGGATATATGTAAACAGAACACCCCATTTCTATTGCTGCTCTGTTGACACTGAATGAGAGTTGGGCTGCTTCTAAATGCAATAGCGCGCTGCAGGGATGACGTATAGCAACCCGGGAAGCCAGCAGACATTTTCCAATGGGCTCCCATTTTTGACCATTGCAAAAAAAGAACCTCAGTGGCACGTTGAAAATGACGTTGTTTGCCTCTTGAGCCACCGGTCAGCAACCGTAGCAATCATTAATCATTCAGAGCAGTATCTACTGATGTGTTTTATATTGAAGGACACCACAGGCGTTATTTCTTTTTCTACTTCTGTAGTCTCTAGCCATTCAAGGTTTTCGACCGCCTTGCAGAATTTGCTGTGTGTTGCCTTTTTAAATACTCTGCCTTTCCACGTCACTGCTGTGCTGCATTTTGGCAGAAGTCTTCAATATACCATGAAGATGTGTCCATAGGACAGCCGCTAATTCGCAGACATTTTCCCCTCAAGCTAATTGAAGAAGGAGGATTTAAAATAGCATGTTGTTAAAGACCGGGATGAGTCCTGCCAATACCAAGTCTTTCCAGTCAGGGTGACGCTATATTATGGGGAGAATGACTGTGGAAAACCAATAGAAAGCCTCTCACAAGGGTCAGCAGTTCAGCTGCTTTTATAAGGATGGACAAACGCTCTTCCCTGTTGTCCTGATGCATGCAGTGCCGGTGGATTACGCATTCATTGTCAGTGGAGCCTGATGTTTAAGCAGATTAGCGGGCTCAGAATGAAATCACATTTTAGTGACGTTCCCTCTTTGAAATGTTGATGCTCACATTCTTGTTAACAACCGTTTTTTAGCTTATTCTGCCTCATGAGTATTTGAAGGCAACAAAATGCAATAATTATGGAGTTTCTATCAAAAGAGCAGAAACCCAACAACCAGTGCTTGAGTATTGACTGGAAGAGAACTTTGAACGCAGATATCCAACTCACAGCTTTGATCAAACACCGGCAGTATCCTTTCTTATCACTGAGCACAGCTGTGAAGCTCTCTGCATGCCAGGCCTTGCTTCCATCACCGAAGTACATTCTACGTGTTTCAGTTTAGTTTGTGGAGTGGTGCCACGTGTTGGATGAGCTTCGTCCAGTCGTTAAGGTCACATCACTCCGATGTGATCTCCAGAATTGTTTGGCCTCCTCAGCTGGGTGCGTTTGTTTGTTGTGTGTGTGTGTGTGTGTGTGTGTGTGTGTGTGTGTGTGTCACCAGTTATCATTATTGTGCTGGTCAATAAACTTTAAGACAATTTCTCATTTAGAAATGTATGTTACCGGAAAACCTTCTTTGTGCATGATGAAAGCATGAAGCCAAGTTTGTGGATAATATTCATATTTTAATTATTTTACTTTTTGTTTCAATATATTAAAAGCTGTATTTTCCATGTAACTGCAGATGCGGCCACAGAACTGCAGGTATCCAATAACAAGTTGGCCGACATCGAGGCCGCTTTGACCTCTCAGAAATCTGAGGTGAGCTTCTTTGAGCAATTATTCAGTCCGGCAGTGAACCTAATAAAGCTTTTCTCAATGTAGACGTGTTGTCTTGTCATTGCGCAGCTCTCACCTGTTACATTAATGATGGATTTGTTCAGCTTGTCCCAGTAACCCGGGCACAGTTAATGTTTATTTATTTAACTAGCCTGATTGGGCAAGTAGGTATAGTGAGAATAACATTTTGATTTGCCTCAAAAGATGAGTTTATTTAACACCAGTTGACAAATACAACAAAGAAAAAACTGCACAATAAATATGTTGAATTTCATCGAATCCTCTCTTGCGCCGCCCAACCGAACTTCCGTTTCCAGGATAATGTAATAATAATAACAATTAGATAATGCTCTTCAGCTCATGCCATTTTTCTGCAAGTGCCCGATTGATACTCTGCAGCTCTCACCAGCAGGAAGGACGCAGGATGTTTTCAGTTAACCATATATCTATTTATATACCCAGATATGTATTACATTCAGAAAGCACAAAAGGGGCCAAACTTGACTTTCAAGGTGTAGCAGCCTGACTTTGAGTTTTTACTGTTCCGGCTGGACCTTATTGACTTTGGGCCGTTTTGTTGAAATCATATTTCTAATGTGACAAAGCTCTATAAAGCCCAAACTCAGGGATGTAGTCTGGATCTTCAGTAGTTTCCATGTGGCTCGATTGCTACAAGTGCTGGGAAGTGTACTAACTTTCTTATAGTCATCAAATCCTATGAAGAGACTTAAAAACGGAAGCTTCGTATGTTTGTGAGAGCTTCATTGTTGTACAAAACTACTAAAACACAGCAAGAGCTCCGCTGTTTTACAGGCTGATGTGTTCCTTCATTATCATGGACACACACACACTGTAAATTATCTTGACTCAATCCCACATACTGTACTCACCAGAACATCAATTTTGTATCATTCTGCAGCAAAAATGGTCCACAATACATGCTCTTCATACCCCTTTATGAGTTACATTTACACTTTTTTTAATTTGCATATATAGTATATATGTCTTTGCGACTGACTCGGTTCTCTCTGTTGCAGTACGACCGGATAAGAAAGCTCAACGCAGAGCTCGAGGAGAAGCTGGAGGCCTCAGAGATCCAGATCAAAGGACAGTCTGCGGAGTACAGATCCCTCCTGCAACAGAAAGATGTATGTGCATTTGTGTTTACGACTAAAATATTTACATAACGCTTATGTTAAAAATCTATCCCCATAACCTATTTTTATATAACTAATTGACGGAAGCATCATCTATTGTGTGAAAGTGTATTGTTGAATGTGAGCATCCCCATTTACATAATTAATGAATGTATGTATGTATGTATGTATGTGTGTGTGTGTGTGTGTGTGTGTGTGTGTGTGTGTGTGTATATATACACACACTGAGGTCTGGATGATGGCAGAAAGTAAGTATGAACCATTCAGTATTGTAGTTTTATTCTGCCCATATTGCAATAAAATAATTTAAGACATAAAAATTAAATTGACATGGAAATGAATACAAAAATGTAATAAATGAATGTAATGAAAAAGATTAAAAGGTATTAATTTAGCATTCTGTATTATGCACACAGATATGTCAAATATCTGTTTAATGTGAAATGCAGATTTGCATTCTTCCAGATTCCACATTTTTCCATAAGGAGTTAAAAGCATATTTAACCAAACCTTTTTAAATACTCATATAAATCATATATTCATTAAATTATTCTAATCTGTCAGAAACTAGCCACGGTCTAATAAAAAACAACAACTGCAGAGTCCTGTAGAGCTCATGTTGGTGCTCGCGATTAAAAAGGCTTTGTTTTATCCTCCAGGTGGAGATCAGTCACCTGAAAGCTCGGCACAGTGGACTCCTGGAGGAAGTCCAGAATCTGCCGGCCATGCTGCCCGTCACCACTTCCGCCTCAACCGCTACCGCCTCCTCTGTTTCCTCCTACATGTCACGGCCCTCAGGGTCCCACCAGGGTTTCCACGGCGACGAAATGGACCTCAGCGACGTTATCTGGTCGCAGCAGGAGATCAATCGGCTGTCTGCAGAAGTCATGCGTCTGGAGGCGGAGGCGGCCCACTGGAGGCGAATGTCTCAGGTAAAGATGACGTAGCATGACGGATGGTTCCTGGTACGGCGTCTTGAAACTGGGTCACCCGTTAAAGGAAGAGTTCCTGGCGTCCATTAACTGGAAAACCACAATTGCTTTATATAATCACAATTTTATATGGATTTGCATGGCGTAAACACACAATATATAATGTTTCGTCATTCCTAAATACTAAACTCTAGAGGTGCTAGTGGAGACGTTATGGACATGACTCCCCCCTGTTTCCAGTCTTAATGCTAAATGTCCATCGGCTGTAGCTTCATATGCACCGCACAGATAAGGGAGTAGCATTGATCTTCTCACGTAACACATGGCAATCATGCAAATAATAGTTTTTTTCTGTACCACACACAGGAAGGTTGCTACGTGCAATGTGCCAGATACTAAAGAGAAACAAACCCCATTTACATGTATTCATTTTTGTTCATTTGTTTTTATCGTGATAGTTTTGATTTGTTAAACAACTACCCGTCAGACTGAACGAATCAATGCTGTTTACAGAAATGCTACTGTGAAGAAGATGAAGAAGAAATGTATATCGATCTGTACACTAAACTTTATTCTGTGTGTTTCAGGCATCGACGGCAGCAACAGCTGGTAATGGCGACCAGGGAGAGGTTCTCAAACTCCAAAGAACTATTAAGGTGACTTTTCCTGGTTTTAATGAAGGTGAATGGTTTAACAACACGTAAGTGGAAGTGATTGCTCGTATTAATCAATTCTGAAGTACCTCTTAGCTTTATGAAGGGTTTTAACAGTGTTTGTTTTTTGCCCTCCCCAGGAGGCCAACATTTCAATGAATGCAGATTTCAATAATTCCTAACGGCAAGTTGCACAGAGCGTAGTGACACCGAGACGCTAACCCTGATGTTATTGGTGCTTTGGAACAGGAGCTGAGGGAGGAGATGAGCCGGGAGGTGGATGAACACCAGCATGAACTGGCAGCTCTGCAGGACGCTCAGCGGCAGAAGATGGCCGACGTCACGCGGCGACACAGAGAGGACTTGGCAGAGTACGAGGAGAGGATAGAGGAGCTGGAGGAAAGAAATCATGGTGGGTAGCATAACTTTGGAATTTGTTATAGTAACAAATATAGGAAATTGAGACACTCATGAGGAAATAATGGTGTTTTATTTTTGTAAAGCTCAAATATAACCAAAATTGGGAGACAAAATGTCCTCAACAGTGTTTCTACTCGGATGCCAAATGAACCGCACCCCTCTGAATCCTTCTCTCCAGGTGGCGGCCCATCGACTTCTCCGTCAGATGCCTCCGAGCTGCATCAACTGCAGAAGGCCATAAGCTCCCTGCAGGAAACGGCGGGTCAGCGGGAGAAGCAGCTGGCCGAGCTGTCTGCCGGCCTGGAGGAGGCACAGGCGAAGCAGGCGTCGCTGCAGCTGGAGAAAGACGAGGTCCAGGAAGAAAACACAGAGCTGCTACAGAACTACACCCGGCTGCAGGCCTCCGTCACCGAGCTTCAGACCCGGGTACAAGAGCAGGAGGGGAAGTCTCTGCAGAAAGCCCAGCTGGATCACGAGATCCAGGTGTTGAGGAAAAGCCTTGCAGGTATATTGTGATTAGTTTTGATTCATGCTGAGCACAGCTGATACGTGCTGTCAGAAACTCATTTTCGTAAGCTGATTTTGTCTCCTCCTTGAGTAGTTGTAGTGCACTCTGTCATAACTAACTTACATATTGACTGAAGCTTCTGATTTTCAGCTGCAGAAATAGAAATTGAAGGACTGAAAAACATGGCTGGGGTTAGTGTTATTTATAATCATCAACCAAATATCACATTGAATATTTCTATGGTATGTAGTTTATAACCTCTTTAACTCTTTTTTTATGATCAGGCTGAATCAAAGGAAGAAGTTGAGCACGCAGACATCTTAGAACTGAACACCATTATTGAGACGTTGAGACAAGAAAAGGAAGTCCTAGAACAAGAAAAGGTTTGTCCGTCCGGAGCAGTCGTGCTTAAACATCTTCTATATCTTTATTGATACATTTCTTGTGTGTGTCGCTCGTAAGATTTACAGCAGAACAATAAAACCCGAGTTGTGTTGCGTCTTTTTTGTATCTTTTCGCAGCTCATTATCCAAGAAAGGCTCGAGGAACAAAGCGTGAGCAATGATGAAGCTGAGTCTGGTGACACAGAGTCCCTGGAGGCCCTGAAGGCCGAGCTGGAGAGGAGGGACAACTCACTGAGAAACACGCAGGAGGAACGAGACACTCTGATGTCTGAGCTGGAGGAACTGGACCGGCAAAACCAAGAAGCAACACAGGTCCGACTGACCACTGTGGCGTTACTTTATTATTTTATTCATAATGACAAATAATTCATTTAAGGCAATGATATAATTATGTGGTAAAAAGGAAGAAAAATAAAAGCATACATGTGCACATACATTCACACATATTAGGGCTTATAGTTTGGCACATTATTATCATATTTTAAAGCCACTAAGATGCACATTGTAAGTAATATTAAACTGGGGAATGCATCATTATTTAACCTACTAGGTTTTAATCGTCCTCAGACAATAAAGGGCTTCCTGCTGAGCACAAAACAAAGCTTAGACATGGAAATGTGTATGACGTTTTAAAAACCTTACGTTATGAGAATACGTTTTTCCTGTTCACTGATATATCTTCTACTGTCTTCAGCACATGATCTCAGTGAAGGAGCAGCTCTCTGGACAGCTGAGGGAGGCTGAGGCAGAACTCACGGGACTCACTGCAGAGCTGAACGCAACCAAAGACCAGAAGAGGACACTGGAGCAAGAGCTGGAGACCCAAAAAGAGAAGGCGAGCCAGAGCGCTTTCACCCTCAACGACCTGCATATGGGCAAACAGGAGCTGGAACTGAGAGTGAAGGACCTGAAAGACAAACTGGGACAAGCACAGGAGCAGAGCAGGGAGGCACGTAGAGAAATCACAGAGCTTCAGAGGACTCTTCAGGAGCGAGAGGAGCAGTTATCTTTTGCCAAAACACAGTTGGATCAGTCTGGGGAGAGAGGAAGCGAGGCACAGGGAACCGAGGAGAAGCTAGCGGGGAAGGAGGGCGAGCTGTCAGAGCTCAGGAGAGAATTGGATGAGATAAGATGCTCTCACGAGAAGACGCTGTCGGAGGACTATGAGTTGAAGATGGAGAACAGGAGGTTGAAGGTGGAGACTGAGCAGGCTGTGGGTCATGCTGAGGAACTAGCCAAGCAGATAAAGGAAAGCCAGGCGGCTCTGAACAGGACGTTAAGGGAAAAGGAAACTCGAATCGAAGCTCTGAAGCTGGAGAAAAGTCAACTCGAGGGTGAATTGGAGCAGGCTGAGAGGACGCTAGCGGAACAGGGGAAACAGTTCCAGCAGACCATCGAGGAGTTGACTCGAGCCCGGTCCTTGGACGCGTCCACTTTACAGACGGAGCACGAGCGCGCCATCAAACTCAACCAGGAGAAGGACATAGAGATAGCTCAGCTGAAGAGAGACGTGGAGCAGGCGGCGTCCGACCACAGAGACACCAACGAGATGCTCTCCATCACAGTCGCGGGGCAGAAGCAGCTGACAGACCTGCTGCAGGAGAAGGATGTCTTTGTGGACACGCTAAAGCAAAATGCTCTGGATTTGCAGAAGGAGATGGAGGACAGTATTTTAGTTGTGACAAAGGAATCGGATGCCCTCAAACGGGCAGTAGAGGAGAAGGATAAACAGCTGGGCTGCATGAAGGAGAAGAACAGTCATTTGAAGGAAGAGATCGACCGGCTCAGAGATCAGCAGAGCAGACCTCAGCCTCTGTCCGAGCCCAGGACCTTGGACATCATCACAGAGCTGGAGACAGAGATCACCCAGCTCAGGTCCTCCAGGAGCTGTCTGGAAGAGGAGGTGCAGACTCTGAGGAGAACCATGGAAGAGCTTCAGGCCTCGCTCCTCCTGTCGCAGCAGTCCCTGCAGGCTCAGCAGACTGAGCTTGAGCAGACTCACGCTCGCCAACAGCAGACGACGCTGAACTACGACCGACTCATCCACGCCAGAGATGAGGAGATATCCTCGCTCCAGCGGACCGTGGAGCAGCTTAGTGGGAGTCAGGTGCGCGACTTGCCACCTGTGCAGGGCGAGGTGATCCTGCAGGAGGAGAAGACCCAGACCCTGAGTCAGGAGAGCGGCAACGAGAAACATGACCTGTCCAAGGTCGACATAGAAAGACTGGTGAGCGGCATCAAGGAGAAAGAAACTGAGATCAGCCTTCTGAACGAGAAGAACCTCTCACTGACCCGACAACTGGATCAGCTGGTGGTGTCCCGTGATGAGGTGGGGAAACTGTCCCAGATGATCCTGCAGAAGGATCTGGAGATCCAGGCGCTACACGCCAGAATGTCCTTGGTCGCGGGCGGTGGACACAGCCAGGATGTCATGTTCCTGCAGCAGCAGCTGCAGGCGTACGCCGTGGAGAGAGAGCAGGTGCTGGGCGTGCTCAACGAGAAGACCAGAGAGAACAGCCAGCTTCGCTCGGACTACCACCGCCTCATGGATATCATGGCGGGGAAGGAGGCGGCCCTGTCGAAGCTTCAGCAGGAGAACCAACGCCTCTCCAACATGAGCGATCCCTCGGGAAGCCAAGAGATGTTCAAGGAGACCATCCAGAACCTGTCCCGCATCATCAGGGAGAAGGACATAGAGATCGACGCTTTGACCCAGAAGTGCCAGACCCTGGTGACGGTGCTGCAGTCCTCAGCAGGAGAGTCCGGCGGCGGCTCCGGAGGCGTCAGCAGCAACCAGTTCGAGGAGCTGCTGCAGGAGAGGGACTCACTGAAGCAGCAGGTAAAGAAGATGGAGGAGTGGAAGCAGCAGGTGATCACCACGGTCAAGAACATGCAGCACGAGTCTGCTCAGCTGCAGGAGGAGCTGATCAAACTGCAGGGCCAGGTCTCCGCCGACAGCGACTGCAGCTCCAAGCTGTCGGTGGACTACGCCGGACTGATCCAGAGCTACGAGCGGAAGGAGAGCAGGCTGGGGAGTCTGAGTCAGGAACTCGCGCAGGTCCAGCAGACCATCACCCAGCTCAGCACCACCAAGGACGTCCTGCTGGTGAAGCTGGACAGCGTGGCGCTGGCTCCCGACGTCGCAGGCGCTCCGGCCGGCGGAGCCTCTCTCGCCGCTGGCGCTCCGGTCGACCAGACGTCTCTGACGGCGAACCACGAGAAACTCCGGGAGGAGATTGTCCAGTTGCGCATTCAGTTGGCTGAGAAGGAAAACGCAATCAAGACCCTCCAGGAAAACAACCACCGGCTCTCCAACGCGGCGTGCGCCACAGAGAGCGAGCAGAGGAGTCACGCCGGGGAGGCTCGTCTGGTCCGAGAGAGGCTGGAGGCCCTGCAGAGGTCCGTCAGGGAGAAGGACCTGCTCATCAAGACCAAAGGCGACCAGCTGAGTCACGTCAGCGAGACGCTGCGCAACCGAGAGAACGACAACGAGGTGCTGAAGCAGGCGGTGACCAACCTGAAGGAGCGCGCTCTCATTCTGGAAATGGACGGGAAGAAGCTGAAGGAGGAGAACGAGCTGGTGGCGTCACGCTCTCGAGAGAAGGAGTCCGAGTTCAGAGCGCTGCAGGAAACCAACATGCAGGTTTCCCTCCTGCTCAGAGAGAAGGAGTTTGAGCTGAGTGCAGTGAGCGAGAAGTCAGCGACAGTAGAGAGGATGCTCAAGGACAAAGAGCAGGTACTTTTATTTCTCTTTTCTTTTAATTGGATTACATTACATTTAAGTAGACTCTTGTCTTAACAGGAAAAAATATATGAAGAAAAAGTCAAGTAAATAGTCTTGATGAAGTGAAAACGACATTAAAACAAGAAAAATAATATTAATGTTGTCATTTCGGGAGGAAAAGTGTTTATTAAATACAAAATGACAACCTAAGTTATATTTACTAATACAAATACATCCCGTTTGGTAAAAGAAATATCCATTAAAGTCATTTTCAGAGAGGAAAAAGAGTTTTTTTTCTCTTCCACGTCGGCTCTCTTCTGATTTCCTTGCCGGTGATGTGATGCAGGGAAAGTCTGGTGAGCTGAATCAACTTCTGAATGAACTGAAGTCCATGCAGGAGAAAGCTTTTGCGTTCCAACAGGAGAGGGATCAGATGATGATGGCACTCAAGCAAAAACAAATGGAGACCACCGCAGTACACACTGAGGTAAGCGATTATTTCTTCATTTATCGTATTATTTATATTCAGTAATGTGTAAGATGTTTTTACACTATATTGTAAAGTGTTTGAGATGGTTTAGTCCATCAAAACACACTTTTGCACATATCTTCAATATAGAGTCGAGACAAATGGGCACGTTTTCATCAGCTTCTCTGCATCTGGGAACAATATTGATGGTTACAATGGATATAATACACATTTCATACAGTAAAAGCTCCTTAACTCAAGTGTTAAGTGCCTTTCTCCTCATGTTTTCCTGTCATAAAAACACGAGTAATCTGTGACCTAAAATCAATTTAAATGAGTAGAAACGGTTGCAGTTTAGGATCCAAAGTTACTTTGGTAAATTCTCGCATCTCTACGCGCGTACCAACGTTTCTGTTTCCCTCACAGCTGCAGCACGTGAGGGACAAAGAACAGCGCCTCAACTTGGAGCTGGACAGGTTGCGTAACCACCTTTTGGAGATTGAGGACTCGTACACGAGAGAAGCCGTCTCCGCAGAGGACCGGGAGACGGAGCTACGCAGGAGGGTGGCGCTGCTGGACGAGAAACTGGCCACATCCTCGAGTGCCGTGGAGAACGCCAGGTGAGCGCCGACTAAAAGCGCCTTGCTTTAGACAACTAGAGATGAGATCGTACTGCTCTTGTTTCACTGCGGTTTTGATGTTGGAGAGGAAGAACAACATCATTTACAAAAGATGTTCTGAAATGGATTTCAACTTTGTGGTTTTGCAGCCAATGAACATGTACTTGTTGACCTAAATAAAGATATTGATGCTTTGATGCTGTAACAGCCCCAAAATCTGGTAGATCACACATTTATTGGCTGACCACTGGTGGGAAATTGTCTCTGCTTAATTGAGAGAAGTGAGATCTTTTTGCAAAGTGAACCATTTAGCATAAATTAGTTGACATCCGTGATTTAATCCTGCATTGGTTTTACTCTTCCCTCTCAACAAAGGTTTACCTTAGTGGCCCTGTATGCTTCCGCCAGGCATATCAATTCATACCGCATGCCGCCACGTTGAGTGGTTGTATTTTGTTAAAGTGAAATATTTTGTGGGTGAATTATTCCTTTCCACGCACAGGATGTTCAAAAAGTCGCCCAGTGGAATGACTTTAAGTTGGAGATCTTCACAATGCATTGAATAAAAAAATGAACCAACATCCACTCTCATATAAACGAGATCCCCTGAATAAATGAAAGTAATCTAAGTGGTTAAGTAGATCCGCCTGTTCTTATCGCCTGTCCGCTGGCTCTGCACCTCCAGCCAACAGGCCAGCATGCAGGTGGAGTCTCTGCAGGAGCAGCTGACCGGAGTGGTGAAGCAGAGGGATGAGGCTCTCATCCGTCTCAGGACCTCCCAGGAGCAGGTCAACCAGTACGCCGTGTCGCTCTCCAACCTGCAGATGGTGCTAGAGCAGTTCCAACAAGGCAAGTCATCTGCATCTCCACGAAGACTCCCCCCTTGTAGCATCCACCCCAGCGGGGCTGATGAGGCAGTTTATGCTTAAAGTTTTGTAATATAATTATTTTCTCTTCCAGAAGAGAAAGCCATGTACTCCGCAGAGCTCGACATGTACAAGAGGGAGAGGGACGAGTGGAAAAGAAAAGCACTGAGGCTGGAGGACCAAGCATCGGCCCTGCAGGTAAACCAGCGCTCAATAACGTCTCACTATGTCCATTCCCTTTATTTATAGAGACAGCAGCAAGGCCACAAAGCGAACCATAACGCTGTCATGCTCTCTGTCAGATTAACCTCGATGAAGCCAACGCTGCTCTGGAATCAGCTTCTCGCCTCACTGATCAGCTCGATCTGAACGAGGAGCAAATTCATGAGCTGAAAAATCAAGGTGAGCTGCATTATTATCACTTACATCTAACGAGCATCTTCAGAGAGAACGACGAGACGTCAGACAAAAGCAACACATAAACTATACATTTCACAAGGGGGCAATAAGTCAGTAAATGAAACTGTTTAATCTCGTGCTTGGTTGAAATACCTCTACGGTACCCTTGATGTTGTGGCCTCTGCAGCCTTTAGGAGCAAACTTTTCTTTCTCTCGGGCTCATGTTTTTCTTTTAGTGTGCACGTGTCCTTATCATAATATGAATAACAGCAGGTTCTTCTGTACACACTCGGCAGATTTCACTCTTATCTCTCTCAGATTTGCCCAGTACATTCTCAGACGGCTTCTTTTTTCTGCCTTCTCCGGCTGTCCAGACATTGTATTCTTTATGAGGCCATATATTTAGGTTACTAATCAGCCACCCATAGAAAATGAACATTGTTTCTATTAATAGTCTTGATAGCCGTGAGAATGTCTCACCAATGAGAGGCGGATGTTGGTACGTGCAGCATGGCGTCCGATTTCAAGCCACAGCACACAGAATCTGATATTTTGATATTAATGACCCAATGATGATCTTTAAAGAGCCACAAAGGACACAAGACGGTCTCCTGTTTTAGAAAAGTATTTCCAGATTCATCAAATGACTTTTATGTGAATATCACACACTGGGGTTTTGGGCTGCAGGGACATGCATTCAACATTCTAAATGATTAAGAACATTCTGCGTGTGTTGTTGCAGTGGAAATTAGACAGGAGATGTTGGAGGAGGCACAGAGGAAACTGATGAACCTTCTAAACAGCACCGAGGGGAAGATAGACAAGTAAGTTTGGTCCATTCTGGGTTAAATGATGAAAACACGGTTAATTCATCGAAATGAGATCATGATAAGAAACACGTTTGGTTTTCATTGTTTTTGCATCCACACTGTTTAGACAGAACACAGCAGCTACACTGGTGTACAATTCCACCACTTTCATTCCATAAAGTGGTGGAATTGCTATAAATATATCTCTTGTACTGCTGTATAAATGTGGCATTGATGTATTGCGTTACATCATGCCTTTATTATTCATCTTCCGTCTCCAGAGTCTTGATGCGTAACCTGTTCTTGGGATACTTCCACACACCTAAAACCAAGCGTGCCGATGTGCTGAGGCTCATGGGAAGTGTTCTGGGTCTGAGCAGAGAAGATGTTGACAAGGTGAGAGATTCCTTGACTCATGTTAAAAGGTTTTTTTTTTACTTCAGCAATTACGTAGTCACGTTTGTAGGCCGTAGTTTGTTTTTATACTGCATTTTGTGACGCAATAATGATATCCACACCGTGACATTGATTAATTAGTTATACATACTAGGCTCATTTCATTTGATACATTTGTACATATTGGCTCTGATATGAGCCGGTACTGGCGGAGGACAAAATTATTTAAAAAAAGTAAAAACACAAACATGTAGTTTTAGCAGTAGATGTCAGCTGCAAAAGAGGTCTTATGTTCAATGTGGACACAACAGTTGAGGGAGCCTCATAGTCTTCAGAATTACTGATACTTTTGTCTGTTATAAGGAAAAAAAGCAGCATGGAGGGACGATAAAGAGAAAAGGTGTTGGCACAAGGACACAACCAGTATGTCCCGGCTATGCAAACCGTTCCCAGGTCACTCTGACTCAACTTTGTCCCTGAGAGACTTAACCCCGAAAAGTTGATGTTCAGCTCTGACTTTTAACTCCAGTAGTCTCTGAAAACTCCTCTCCCTTCTCAGCCCAGAAAAATAAAGCCTTTCCTCACACAGGCGTCCTGGCAGGGGCCCTGTGGGACTCCATCCAACGATTCCAAAGCATATTACCCAATACTCCCACAGTGACACAGAGGCTGAGGGGCAAATCTGATTAGAACTCCTCAGAAGACTTTTATGGTGTTGGAGGTCGTTCTGGGTTTTCACGTCTCCCTCATTTCCTGTTAATGCTATTTAAATGTTCCACTCAACTCGTGTTTCCTGAAGCCAAGTGTCCCACAAAACCACACCACTTTTCTGAATAGGCCTATATATATATATATATCCCCATCCAACCTCTTCAAACACACCTCTAATGATGATTAGAAATCATGAATGATGGTGAATAATAAATGCTGCGTGTAGGAGGGTGGACTGTCCGTAAAGACTCTGATTCTCTGTAAAATAGCTTTACAAGTGATTGACTCCTTCTTTGAATCATGAAAACAAATGAACTAACAAAATAAACCGTATAAGAAAGTGACGTTATTCGTACCTGCACTGTGAGAGTCCGACAGCGTTTGTCTGTTCTCCCTCACCTCTCTGCAGATGTTGGGGGAGGATGGAGGGCACGGTGTTACCGGATGGGTATCGAACTGGCTGGGAGGCAGAGGAGCGCAGAGCGTCCCAAACACGCCCCAGAGGCCCACCAGCGGCGCTGGGCTGAACTCGGTAAGGAGCGCCACGTTAGCTGCCTTCAACACGGACACGCGCCTTATATGTTTATTACCGCGCGCTGTAAGGGACAGAGCGAAATCTGTCCAAACAACGTTTCATACTAAAGAGTATTCTTCCTTAAAAATATTTAAACACCACTTGGTTGGAAATCAGAAATGTATCTCAGTTTATGCGTATATGAGTGCCCTTCAAAATAAAATGTGCTCTGCTTAAGTGATTCTTTAAGAGGATGTTCACCTTGTTGGGGAAGTAAAGCCGATCAATCCTTGCTGAGGTCTCTTATTGTGTCTTTTGTTGTTGCAGTCCTTCTCAGAGATGTTTGTGAAGTTCCTGGAGATCGAGTCGACCCCCTCGCTGCCCGCAGCCAAGCTCCCCGCCCATGACATCAAGGCTCTGGGCGCTCCTCCTCCGAGGCGAACCGGCAGTGCCGCTTCCAGCGGCGCCGCGGGTAAACGGCGTTTGCTTCTCAACGAGCTTCTTTGTCCCCAAACGCATCGAACCGCATTTAGTATTGAACTGTTGTTTTTGTTTTTTCTCCACAGGAGGTGCGGCGCTCCCCAAGCGACCCGGCGAGTCCAACCCTTTCCTGGCCCCCCGCTCTGCCGCGGTCCCCCTGGTGGCGGGCTCCAGCTCTGGCGGCTCAGGAAGTCACCTGCTGATGAAGCCCATCTGCGACGCCCTGCCCACCTTCACACCTGTGCCGGTCTCATCGGAGGCCAGTGCTGGATCCGTGCTCAAGGACTTGTTGAAGCAGTGATTGGCCCAATAAAGAGTCCCAGACAGACGTATTTTCTTGCATCAACTGTTCTATGCAACAGAGTTTCCTTTAACTGGTCAGAGACTCCACATGCCAAAATGACGCAAAATGACAACCTCACATTATTGTTCAGAGAGCTACTCTGTGGATTTCCATAGAAAGCGTCCTATCATTTCTGTCTTCATCGCACGAGTTCTGGACATAAGTGACCTTGTTGACCCACTGTGTGCAGTTCAATCCATGTGGGTTGAGTCCAGCATCACCTCGGCTGGCAAGAGGAAGCCTCTCCTGTCTACTTTCTATCCTCTGACCAGCAGGAAAACTTGTCTGCTGGGTCTTTCTTCTTCTTTCTTTTCAACAATGCAGTTATTTGTTTCTGATCCGGGACTTGCCTAAAAACTCTGGCGGCAGTAGTCTGCGTCCAGATTTATGTGGTGCAGTACATCTGTTCAAACCATAAGGACATTTTTGCTAAATCTTGTCTTTTCCAGACTGCAAGACTGTGATATTCAACAAGCGTAGTAATTATGGCTGCAGCTGCGTACTGCGGTCGATCGGAAGCTTGAGGGCCCGTATGTTAAAGTACAGCACTATTATATAGTTATGTGTATGTAAAGGCGCTACGTTGTTTCCTATTTATAGGCACTAAGGATGTTTTTGAAGTGCCTGCCTTTTTGCTAATCAGATAGTTGTATAATCAGGATTGTAAATGGTTAATATAAATATATATATTTACAGAATGTAAAAACTGCACATTTAAAAAGTTTTACCTGACCAGTGCAAAACTGAGCTGCTCTACATTTTTGTACAGGAGCCAACTGCAGCAGAGTGTAAAAACCTGTAAATCTTTGTCGATAAGGAATCTGAAACTAGGACGTCTGAAGGGATTCGGATTACCGTGAATTGATCTTTACCCGATGTAAGTTCCCATGATTTAATTGGAATTTAAAATCAAATAAAGGTACTTCTGTGCTGGCCCTCCTGCTGTGCTTTTTCTTTCCCGCGTGGGTACCCTGCGCCAGATGTGCACTGTCATTCAGCTGTAGTCGTGTGGAGTTGGGGGGTAACTTGGGCAAACAGACACCCACTGTGCACACTTTGACTCTGTGCAGCAGCAGCGCACAGGAGTAGCAGCTCGCTGGAGGGGGCTGGCGCTCCCTGATTGAATCCAGGTTTTTTGGCTGCGCCCCCCCCCCCCCCCTCCTCTAATCTGCATCGCTGAACAATCTGCGCAGCCTGACGGAGCAGAAACGGCCCATTTTGAAAAGGCATTCCTGCGACACAAGCTTCAGCTCGACCAGACGGCGGTGGAGGAAACCCTGGGGTCGGCTTCCGCGTAAAAGCGCACAGTTGGGGGGTGGTGAGGGGATTTGGGGGGAGAATTTACGTGTCGTCTGAATCTCTCATTTTGAGAAAGGAGCAATCATGCTTTTAGAAGTACGTGGCTCCAGGTTTTACTCCTCTGCGAGGTCAGTAATCGTCCTTATTGTTTTGTTCTTTACGTAACAGACTTGTTTTCCTTCAGACACCGTTTCTGACCAAAGTAGAAAAACTTCACTTTTCCTTCTTTTGCAGGATGTTTGCGGCTCTGCTATTTATTCTGCTTTGTATCCAGCCGGCACACGCGCAGGTAACACAGCGGCACCTTTCTTTCGCTTTCATTCATCATAAAACCACTCAAGGTGGATCGAGCTGTCAGTTTGTGCACATGAAATAATCTCTCGGGAATTAAACTTATTAAAATCGTATTTCAACAAGTTTTTTTAATTTGTCAGAATTTCCAAACAGCCTCTTGATCATCTCTCCTCAGACGTGCACTGAAGGTTTCGCTTATGATCGCGGGTCCAGACAGTGTGTAGGTGAGTGGCCCGCATAGGACCCGTATTGTGTGTGTGTGTGTGTGTGTGTGTTATGGATCCAGATCTTATCGGTGCGCCGCTCTCTGTTCCAGATGAGGATGAGTGTCGTACCCAGCCAGATGTTTGCAGAGGAGACATGCGCTGTGTGAACCAGAACGGGGGCTACCTGTGCCTCCCCAGGAACCTGTACAACCAGCCGTACAGACCGGAGATCCGGGCCCAGCCCGAGGCAGCCTACCCGGACCCGTCGGACAGCTTCCTCCCCGCTGTGCCGAGATCCGTGGAGCCCAGCTACCCCCGAGTGAGGACCACCGCGCAGTGCATCCTGGGATATGCCCCTGCACAGGACGGCTCCTGTAGTGGTGAGTCATTGACCGGCTGGGTGTTACAAATATATCCTCCACGGGTTGGAGCCCCTCCAGTAGATCACCAGACAAGTGCATGGGCTCCTGGGGGGCGTTTAGTGAGCAGCAAAGACGAAAAGCCCCCCTCCATGTTAATGTTTTCAACTTAAACCAAACAACACAAAATTGGTTCCCAGGAAACTCGACCTGACAGATGTTGTTGGAATCACAGCTCTTGGATGAACACTAAATGTCGAATGATGAATTGATCAGAATCATTATTTCCCCAGTGCGTCCAGCCGGGGATAAGCTGTGGGAAAAATGGCCTCCTGAAAGTCCATTGGAATTGTTTTTAAATCAGCCGTGACCCTGCAAACCCCCCCACCCCACTTTATAGAGGTGCTTTCTCTAAAGAGAGATGAACAATTTAGCTCATGCACAAATAGGGACTGTTGTTCTCTGTAGGGGAGACGGCCTGTCAGGAAATCGGCTCACAACCTTTGGGTAAACTGCACTGTCGGCGTTCCAAAGATGAGGTCAGGTTGTCAGATCCGTTGCTGGGCGACAGTTGTGTCTCTGTCCTCGCACCCCGTGGATGTTTCCGTAGTGGTTGATTGATTGAGGGCAGACTGTGCCTTCCAACCCAGACCCGGCAACAAATATTGCTTTGCCTTCAAATGAAGGCGCAACACTCCGTCAGTGTCGCCAACGATGCCAGTTTTGGAGAACAATGGAAAACATTAGGCCTGGTTTATCAATCGACCGCAAGAATAATGGGGAGAGTTTGCCGTTTGAAACTCTTTACTCGAAGTTGGAGGCAGAATTATAGTCCAAAGGTGTGGTTTTGTGTTGCTGATCATGAGATGAGATGACTGATAACACCATGATCATTTTAAAAATGACAGCCTGAAGCCAATTAGCTCAGAATAAAGACAGAAAACCAGGCTGGAACAGCCAAAACTCGCTGTAGACCTCATTTCTTTCATCGAACAAGAGGGAAGCATAAGACTAACTTTCAACCACAACTGTTTTTGTTCAGATTAAACCATCCAGACAAAGAGGAGATGGTATGTGGAGTTTTTAGTTATAGATGGGACCAGACTAACTGGGTGCCCTCCACCTTCATGCTAAGTTATGATAACCGTCTCCTTGCTATAAAACAAAAGGACCAAAAGTTTGCAAAACTGGACAGAAGAAGACAAATGGAGAGGAAAGATGTGTTCTTTCAGGTTTTTCAGTTTTCTGTAGAGCTAAAATTGAATTGTGTTCCTGAATCAGGAGATGCATGACCAAACAATAACAACGGCAGAGGAGAAAATAGGTTTCATGTATTTTGGGTAAACTGAAGCAAGAGATGGATTGCACAATCACAGATTTCATCACATTACCCAGCAGGGGAGTGTTGTGGGTCAGATGATGACACTTCATGTGGGACTGCGCTTGCCATTATCGCTCGGAACTCCAGTTTGGGGTATTTTTGTGTTTTTACTTGATTTAAGGATTTAAATGCTCCTCTGGTTTGAGAAAAATGTCTTAGAGAAACACAAAATAATCTGGTCATTTCACAGTTCGAACTTGCTGATGATCCCATTCAGGCTATTTTCTATTATTTTCTATTTGAGAGCAGACCGACGAACACAGCTGTGTGATGTAAATCTATCCGGCCTTAACAGCCACTGGGGGTTGTGGTGAAACAGATGTGGTGTGAAGTGAACTGCTCCCAAGTTTTCTCAGTTCTCCTACATTTCTAACATCCCAAATGAATCCCATCGGTCTCGTCTTTCATGAAGCTGATCAGGGCTCGTTGGCGGCGACCACAAAGCTCATGTAACAGTCTATATAAGGAGCTGAATGCTCCTGCAGCTTGCGTGTTTACGTTGGAGATCTGCAGCAATGCTGCACATGGGGTGCAGATGATGAGCATTTACAGAGGACTTAGCTGGTAACTGCAAGCAGGTGTCTAGGGTGGAGGAGGCAGTAGCTGTCGGCCTGTGATCTCCTCCACCCCTGTGAAGGGGGCCGGCGGTCCAAGTTGGCACCAAGGTCAACAGCTCCGCCTCCAGACGCTATCGCTTCTCAAAGCCGCCTGTCCAAACAGCGCTGGGCTCCCACCCGCTTCTCCCAGTGCTTTCCCAGTGGTGGGTGACTTCATGGTCTGAGAACCATAAACAGAGGTTTGGAATTTCTGATCTGTCACGTCCTGATAAGGAAATATGGCTGTTCTGATGTGAGGTGTGAGCTGCTCCAGGGGCGTCAGAGGAATTTGGATTGTAATCTGAGAAATCTTTAATCGTGTGCAAAAACAACTGTGAATTGAAATGTTCACTGCTGTGTTGAGGCTTTTTTTTGAAAACCTGAGTGTTGTACAAACAGATTCATGAGCAAGGCATTCAACCCTCGAAAGCTGCAGTAGAGTTTCAGTCAGCTGTGTAGCTTTCACTACACAATAGTGCGTACAGTCTTTATTTACCAGTGTGGGAAAATATTTTCTCCAAACCGAAAAAACATAAAACGAGAGTTATGATTTGAATGATGTATTTTCCTTTTAGGGGCAAAGTACTCTGCATACATCCATCTATTCTGTTACTTGCTTTCCTCGCTGGATTGAACCGTTTTCTAAATCAAAGGAGGAAAAATCAATGATCAATAACACCACCCTCTCTCTCTCTCTCCTCTGCTGCTTCTCTCTGTTCCAGACATTGATGAATGTGAGACAAACTCTCATCACTGTAACCCCACCCAGGTCTGCATCAACACAGCAGGGGGCTACACCTGTTCCTGCACTGAAGGCTACTGGCTCATTGGTGGACAGTGCCAGGGTGAGTGAACATCTGCATTCCATAAGACACATGTGGAGGGGGGGGCTTTCATGAACGTTCTCTGTGTTTGTTACAAGCGCTCACCCTCCGCAAGGAGAACAGCGCCCTCTTCTGGGTTATTTATTTACTGCCACTGACAGTACACAGTATGTCCATGCTTTGATTTGTCTCTTTCTTTCTGACCAGATATTGATGAATGTCGCTATGGTTACTGCCAACAGCTGTGTGCCAATGTCCCTGGCTCTTATTCCTGCTCCTGTAACCCTGGTTTCGTCCTCAACCCAGACAGCAGGACCTGTCAAGGTGCGCACGGAGCCACAGCGCACGGCCTGCGCATGTGAACATGTGCACATACATGTGCCCCGCATGCCGTTTCTATACTTCGCTTACACACAAGCGCACCAGCGTTGTGTTAAACCGCCATTCACTGTTGTTTCTCCAGATGTGGATGAGTGTGAAGATGAACCGTGCAGTCACGGCTGCTTCAACACCTACGGCTCCTTCATGTGCAACTGTGACGAGGGATTTGAGTTGGCATCCGACGGAACTACCTGCATTGGTGAGAAGAGCTGGTTGGGGCTTTTTTTTTCTATTATCTTACATTTAATGACTTAGAAGCCCGTCTTTACGGATTCCACTTTTTCATTCTATAGTGAAACTTTTCCTTACTTACGTGTCGGATAAAATCCTTCTAAATGAGCCCAAATATACATTAATCAACACGAACCACTTTATATTGCATCCAGCTTTTCACCATAATGGTATATATCATTGACATTGTCGTTCCATGTGTCCTTTTACTATAACTGCTCATCCTGTGCAGCATCACAGCACCACAGAGTTTATTCCAGTTGGGCACCACAGGCCGGCATCTATTCTGTTGAGGGACAAATGTACCTACGCTTAAATCCACAAACATGGGTGCATTTGACCTCGTCGTTGGGCATCAGTTGTGACCGCGGAGCTGAAGAGCGGCCCTCAGAATTGTTTTTTTGATAATTGTTCATTCTTTGTTTTATTCCCTGTAGACTTGGATGAGTGCAGCTTCTCTGAGCTTCTGTGTCAGCACAGATGTGTGAACACCCCTGGATCCTTCGCCTGCGTCTGTCCGCCTGGATATTATGTGTTTGAGGACGGCAGGAGTTGTGAAGGTAAACTTCAGGACAGTGAATAAATGTTGTTTGGTGGGCAGTTCAGATGCAGAATCACAGAGGGAACATTTTCCGGCAATGCCAAATTAAATTATAACTCCTAAAGCTGCCGGGAATCGTCTTATCGTGTCCTGTACTCTTTATTTTATCAGGAAAGTGTTCAATGTCACTTAGTACAGTTTTTTTCACATTTTGCTTTTGCACTCTGTCTCCTAAAAGATGTCTTATTGAGTCGTTTTTTGTCCGGTTACAATGCCCCCAATTTTACATTAAGGATATTCAAGTCAGAATTGTGTCAGAAAATGTTTGAAGCGAGTGTAACGTTATTTGATATTATTATGTGCTCTCTTTTTTTCCATTCACCATATTGTTGATGCTCTTTAAATGTTGATGATGATGATGATGACGATGTTTTAACTGACTTTGATTGTTGTGTGCTTGATTTTGAAGATATCAATGAATGTGACACTGGTAACAACACCTGTACAACAGCACAAGTATGTTTCAATTTCCAGGGAGGCAATACATGCCTGGATGCTTTACAGTGTCACTCTCCTTACATCGAAGTTAGTGACAAGTGAGTACTTCCACCGTTACGCGCTCGCTGCCTCTCAGCAGCTAAAGGTCGAGCATCGTGTCTTAATCTGTCCCCGTGTGTCCTCTGCAGTCAGTGCATGTGTTCAGCTGAGAACCCTGCCTGCAGGGACAAACCCTTCACTATTCTGTACCGACACATGGACTTGTCGTCGGGGCGCAGTGTGCCTGCAGACATCTTCCAGATGCAGGCCACCACGCGCTACCCCGGCGCCTTCTACATCTTTCAGATAAAGTCGGGCAACGAGGGCCGAGAGTTTTACATGAGGGTGAGTACGTCAGAGACCCCGCCGCTGAGCCCGGAGGTGGGGCTGGTTTTGGAAATCTCGCCTGAACCGCCTGTACTAAAAAGCATCGCTCTTATAATTCATAAACAACGGAACGCGTTTCTGAAGGTTTTAAGGTCACGTATCGACAAGTCTCCAGGCTTCTGAAGCAATACACGTATAATATTTGTATTTATTGTATTTCCACGGAAAAGCTACAAGCACAAATCTGTTTGCTCTCAAAGACTTTCCTCTTCAAAGGAATAAAATGAGGCGTCTGTATTGTTTTAACATCATTGTTTTGAGCCATTCCTTTGGCTAACAAAAAACATTTCTAAAGATATTATGTTACTAAAATATAGTTAATCATATAATAGTTTTTACAATAAAATAACCAGACTACGCAATGAAACCACCGTTGTGTTTTACCAAACCAAAAATAATAACAATGAAAAAGTCCCAAATAGCATTAAATATAATATGTTGTGATTTAAAGACATAATTCCTCCTGTTTACTGTAATGTTGGTGGTAAAATGCAGAAGTTTTCTCTTCTTTAGAAGAAGAATAAAGTAACACAACCAACAAATTGCTGTATGTTTGTATTTAAGGTTTAAAAGTAATGTACTTAATCCCATTCTCACTTTCATATAGATCAGCGTGTATGTTTGCATTTAAAAAACTATGAAAAAATATATAAAAAAACATGTCAACATGCCTTTTCCACAAAGCCTCTTTGTCAATGTCATTAGTAACACCTGTACTTTCTCCAACTACAAACGTGGCGCAGGGGTAGGGAGGGTGCGCTGGTGGTTCAAGTCCTGGCTGCCCCATGTCGAAGTGTCCCTGAGCAAGACACCTAAGCCCTAACTGCTCCCCGTCAGCCAAATGACCTGTAATGTAACATACAAAAGTCCTACACAGTGAGCTTGTGGGGCTCGATGGCTGTAGAGAAAGGGGAGGCTGGAGCACCGCACATCTCCAGCAGATGGAGCAATAAGCCATGTGTTTGCATAAGGGGGGTGGGGGGGTTTCAAAGTATAAAGATCCTCTGCGGCATGAAGAAATGACCTCATGAGCTCGCTCAACATCTTCCCCGAAGTGACCTCCTGTTTTGCTCGTTCAAACAAACGGGAGCAAAACGCGCTGACCTTCCTTGACTGCGTGCAGGTGTTTGCTTCCGTTGCCGACGATACGACAAAGTCCTGCTCTCCCTTCCTCACTTTGCTCTCCCCGTCTTCTGCATGTTCCAGCAAACCAGCAACGTGAGCGCCACGCTGGTGCTGTCCCGGCCCATCAAGGGGCCCAGGGAGCTGGTGCTGGACCTGGAGATGGTCACGGTCAACAACGTCATCAACTTCAGAGGCAGCTCCATCATCCGTCTGACGGTGTACGTCTCAGAGCACCCCTTCTGAGCCCCCCCCCCCCCCACCACCCCCCAGAAGAAAAAAGAATTGATGCTGTCACTGTTTTGTTTTAGAGGGCTCATCATCTTTTTAGAAATCATTGTGCCGTCATCAATAACGACTGAGCTTAGAACAGCTGATGGGAAAATCCTCCCTGTGCTGGAATCCCCGCCCCGCTTTAATGGACACGGAGCTTTTATGGCTGCGTGTGGACGTCCCACACGGAAGCGTATTTACGGTGTACAATTTCTGACATCCTCTGTTTAGACGATTATGGGAATTGCCCTCGCTGAGAATACGCAGTGCAGTTCTGTCTTCACAAGTTTCCTCAGTTGTCTGTGAATTTTCACCCCTTCAGATAAGCTGTGAAAGTAACTTTTTAAATGCCTTAAATACTCGAGCGCTGTCGCATCATTGCCCCTTTCTCTTTGCGATGAGACGGTCATCTGAGATGATGTGTGTCGGGAAAACTTTGCTCAATATTAGTTCAACGACAGAAAAGTCTGCTCACTCACACGGAGGCACGTTGAGTTCTGGGTCATCTATTAATCACGGTGTTTGTGCATCAATGTTTAGAATCTCGCGGTGCCGAAGCTGATCGTCTGCATCACCAGCATTATTCCCCCCCCGTTGTAGTGTGTTTATCTTCCTTCTATATATTTCAGAAGAAAACCTTTGAGTAGCCTTGATCCATGACTTTGTACAATGTGTCAATGTGTCTCCTGCTTGCAAGTATTATTTAATAAATGTCCTGTTTAATGATTTTGCACCGGTGTGGAGTAAGAATTTTTATAACAAAGTGTAATTATTGCAATATCTGGAATGATGTAATAGGCAGTCACCTGAATTGTTTCTTTTAGACCAATAAATGTCCTCATCACGCAACGGCTTCTCACATGAGTTATTAGGAGGACAAATTGTGTTATGAACATCACACAGAGGGACATTTGGAGAGTTAGAAAAGGTAAAAAAGGTGTTGGGATTTATATGAACGATGATGTTGTGGAGGTGCTACACAAAGCTCGAGATGTTTAAGAATGAGCAGGTTCCTCAAGTAATGTCAGCAGATTAAAACTGCTTTTGGGTACATTTTGGAGCGGAATGCCAGTGTTGGGAATGTATGACACAATCTGGGATTATATTACAACACAATCCGTGGGGACTTTATGTTACAAATTACGGTGCACGTTAAGACTTTTAAGGATCATAACTACGAATAAAATAAATTTGGGGCAACATGACACTTTTAGGCAACGGGTGATTTAAAGAAAAATAAAAAACTCGTCTGTAATTAAAGAGCTTTAAAATGACACCGATCGGTGTGTTTTAAAACTCGAGGCTGTTCGGGGAAGGAAGCGCAAAAGACTCAGCGGCCATCCGGGAAGAGGAGAGAGAGAGGGGGGGGGAGAGAGGGAGAGGGGGAGAGAGGGAGAGAGGGGGAAGAGAGAGAGAGAGGGGGGGAGAGAGAGAGAGGGGGGGAGAGAGGGGGGGAGAGAGGGAGAGAGAGAGAGGGGGGGAGAGAGAGAGAGGGAGGGAGAGAGGGAGAGAGAGAGAGGAGAGAGGGGAGAGAGAGAGAGAGGGAGAGAGAGGGAGAGCGGGAGAGAGAGAGAGTGGGGGAGAGAGAGAGAGGGGGAGAGATAGAGAGGAGAGAGAGGAGAGAGAGAGAGAGAGAGGAGAGAGAGGGGGGGAGAGAGGGAGAGAGGGAGAGGAGAGAGAGGGGGGGGAGAGAGAGAGAGGGGGGAGAGGGGGAGAGAGAGAGAGAGAGAGGGAGAGAGAGAGAGGGGGGAGAGAGAGGGAGAGAGGGAGAGAGAGAGAGGGGGGGAGAGAGAGAGAGAGAGGGAGAGAGAGAGAGAGAGGGAGAGAGAGAGAGGGGGGGAGAGAGAGAGAGGGGGGGAGAGAGAGAGAGAGAGAGAGGGGGGAGAGAGAGAGAGAGAGACCTCAAGTAATCCATAACCCGCTCGGTTTACCGGCATTGGTCCGCACTCGGCCGGTGGGAGCCGGCAGCAGCAGCAGCACTTTGTCCTCCCGTGGACACGGCAGCACTTTGTCCTCTCGTGGACACAGCAGCAGTTGTCCTCTCGTGGACACGTCGCGCGGGTGAGTTCTCGTCTCCGTGTGAAGTCGCAGCTCGAAGCTGCTCGTGAGGACCGTCGGTCTCCGTCTGATCCCTGAAGCGGCTTTTTCTACTTTACAAGCACGCGCTTCCCCACCAGAGATACACCAACGCTCCGTGTACTCACTCGCTGTTTTGGGGGATTTAAAGTTATTTTTAGGATTCTGTCAGCTCTGAAGAACTTGTTGTGAAGGTGCTCTTGCAAATGTTGAGATTTGGAGCACATTAGTATAAGAAGACATTTTCGGGCCGCCATGCCACTTACACTGTAGAATAACTAGACACTGTGCTAAAGTCACTATGGTCACTCCGCCCGAAAAAATGGGAATTAAAAATGTACTATCGGCAAATGTTGGGGAACCGTAACACATCTTATCGTTCGGAGTGTTATCGACTCCTGATTAGATCCCCTGAAAGGTTTTCTCCAGACCTGCTGGTACCACTGTTTACTGTGTAAACTCCAACGCTCGCTTACTCTAACATCACCATTGAAATGTTTCCAGCTGCAGCCATGGAGTGCCTCAAAGACTGCTGCAAGAAGTTCACCAAGAGGAGAGGGAGGGAGCAGGAGACCCAAGGTAACCTGCCGTCCCGGCACACATCCGCCAGCCCTCGCACAGCGCTCGGCCTCTAATTGTTGGACGGTTCTGTGCTTTCAAGTGATTGCGCTGAAGATGCCTCCTAAGGCGTCAGGGTGGGAGCCGGATGGAGAGAGGAGGAGGGTCTCAGACGATTACCTCATGTCCAAGCTGCCCCCGGACGGCAGAGATGTGCCGTTTGTTCTGCCGACCTTCAAGGCCTCCTACATCCAACCCAGAGGCCCCGGCTACCCAAATCCACCGGCTGGGCCGCAGAGTGCGTAGCCGCCGTTCTCCTTTCGTTTTCGTTTGCTAAGGAACTGCCATGAGCAATGGCGTAGAAGCCCGTCTTAGATGTTAGTGTTGACTTAAAGGCTGGGCTGTTCCACTCTCCCATTCGTCACGGTGTCTCTAACCACATTGAACGGACGGCATGTAACTCGCTGTTTTCTTTTATCCGGAAAATATAGTGCGGTTTCTCTTGTGCTTCGGTACATCGTCAACACGCATTTTGTGTGTTTTTGAAGGTCTGAGCGAACAGCCGGTCCTGCAATGCCAGAACCAACCACTGCACACACTCTTTTGGAATTGGTTGTTTCAATTTAGCTTAACTTCTGTCTATTTCTTGAACATTTGTTGCATTTCTCAAGATGTCTGTAAGGCCGATGAAACAAAGGTCAAATTAAGGAAAATAACACTTCCCCATCCAATGTATGATATTGGCATTTTAGCAACGTTTAATTACCTTTCAACAGGTAGGTAGAATAACAGGCGTGGAATAACACCTGTAACCTTTTCTGCTCACAGTCAGGCTAAAATAAAAGTTACGGCGAGTCAAGTCCCATAATCCCTCACGCATCACACTTTCGTTTAAATCTGCTCGGAGGCCTCTGCTGTACGACCCGGCGTTTGATTTACATAAGTACCAGGATGTCCTGTTTCTAAGCGAGTGGCCGCAGTCTTGCAGTTTACCCGAAAATAATAATTTGATCAAAAGGAAGCGTGTTGACCTGCAGCCCCGGCGTCTGTCTGCAGGTTCAGCACGCTGCATGTATGCAGAGAGGAAAGCGGAGCTGCTGGCCGCCAGTCAGTTCACCTACAGCCCGGAGTCCGGCCTCCATCGCGGGCGGCTGACCGAGTACATCTCCCCCGGGTCCTCCCGCCGTGGCACCCTGAGGAGCAGAGACTCCGGCTCCCAAAGTCCAGGTAGCAGAAAGCTCCTCCAATAGTTTTCAAGTAGTAAACAAGTAAGCAGAAAAAATAATGTGCAGTTATGTCATCTGAAAACGTTATTGCAGATGAATTGTATCACAAAAGGCCGTTTTCGATTGTACGCCAATCAGAAATCTGCACGTGGACTTTTATACTCACACTTCCCGCCTACTGTTTTTTTTTAATTTTTCACATTAGCTTATGTTAAAAATGCACGGGTACATTCATCATTTTAGATCTATTCCTAAACATATAATATACATTAATTTGTGGTAGTGCGGGACAAATTGATGGAAAAAGATGACATTGATCTATTCAACAGCTAGTCTCTGATTTACAGTTTGCCTGCAGTTCACAAAGTACAGAGTTGTAAATTTAAGGTTTAAAAAAACAAACAGACATTTGTTGTTGATTTGAGGACAGATATAGACTTAATTAAACCACGTCATTGTGGGGTAATGCTTGGCTTCCAGGTTGGACTCTGAATGTGGGCGGCGAGCAGCAACCGAACAGCTCCATGTTTGATCTGTCCAGCCCGCACATGCAGGTGAGCGCGTTCTTTATCTAATCTGTATTCAGGCAGCGGTTCTCACCCTGTGTCAACCAACACTTTAAATAGTCCTTTACTTTCCACTGTCCTCAGCAGCAGAGAGGAGCAGATGGCAAACAGGCTCACAAGTTGCCGTTTTTAATTTAAGGCGCAACGTTTTGTTGAAATATTGAGATGATCTTTAGTTCATAGCATTGTTCACCCCAAAATCCCTGAATCCCTCGAGCCAATGTTGGGGGTTGGGTGGATTCCTGTATAAATATGGTGGTGGAGCGAGGAGGAGCTCATTGATATCCAATGAGAACAATGATTCTAATATTTAGGGGATAATACTGAAAACGCAAATAACATAAACTCAAAAAAAATCTTGTTCAAGTCTTACAAAATCACCTTTAAGAGGTCCCCAGTTTATTACAGTCATTGTATATGAAATCTAAAATATAACGATAAAATCACAAGAGAATAATATCCTCTTCAGCTCCTCCAGCTGATCCTGAATGTGTCTGTTTGCTGCATGTGAATCATACATTGATTGTGTGGAACAAAGTGCTATTTAATCAGTAATGCACCAAGGAAAACAATGAGTAAGTTGGGGCGTATTTCTCTGAGCATGTGGTGGAGTACGCCTGTTGTTACAAACAACGAATCTAACGTCTCACCCAAAAACTTGATAAACATAATGTCTCATTCAAGGCACGTACTTTGAAAAGAACAACGTTAAAGCATCACTTATTCGTGACCAAAGCAGATACATTTCTATTCACCTTTCAATTCTGTTTGCGACTTTATTATCCAGAGAAACACACAGTGAAGTAGATTTACTGCTCAATTAGCCCTGATGTTTAGCTCGGCCTTATTGTGAGCAAACAGCATTTAATAATAAAAGCTTGAAAGGCACAGCGGCTTAAAAGAATATCGAACAGTAACCAAATTCTTAATCATCACTGGAAGGAGTGAAATTTGGATCAGACATTCATGCTCCCCTGAGGATAACTTGAATTAAATCAGATTTTCAGAGTAACATTTTCATCAGCCTCGTAGATTCTTTGGTTTTACTGCAAATGATCAATTCTTAATAATGTAACCTAAGATAAACATAGTTAACAATACACCTACCTAACAGCATTAGCATTTAGCTCATTACGCTACAGCCGCACAGAGTGTTTCTCTCCTCTCCAGCGTTTTGTAACTGAGTGAAGATAACGATGAATCTGTCGTGCGATGATGCTCATCTCTACGTGTGTTTGGTCTCCCCTGCAGCGCTTCGACTCCGTCTCTAGCGTCCTCAGCAGCACGTCCTCCACGATTGGCTCCATTGAAAGCAGCCTCGGTAATTAAAAAACCCACCTGTTCTATTGACGATTTTACCCCTTTTCGTACTGCGGCGTAAGTGTGATTAAGATCACTGTGCATTGTACAATTGACACGGCGATCGCCTGCAAACGTCGCATTTTGTGTGTCGAGATGTCGGCCACGTTCCCGGAGGATTTCTTTGTTGCTGCTGTTTTACACTCCTCCTTATTTAAATGGAAGCACAGGACTCCACCACTGTTTTTCTACGCCAGCAAAAATGGCTGCAAATGCATTTTCTTGGGGAACCTCGCGTTGAACAATGACGACCATTGATTGATCTGCTTGGTACAATTGTGCACATATTCCCACATTATTTTTTAAACACTCCCGGAGCTCAACACCATTACATCCAATAACACGCAGTGATGTGTTCCTGTTGTGCTGCGGATGCTACAGACTCCATCACCCTGTCTGGCGATGAGCGTGAGTTGGGGAAGGTGTGCGTCCGGGTGAACTACCAGGAGGCTCTGGAGCAGGTGTGGATCACCGTGGTTCAGGTAAGGTTACATGCTGTGAGAGGAGGAGAGCGCGAGCACACAAACAGCCTCTTTGTGCTCTTCTGCAGGTTTTCTCAATGGATCCTCTGTGTGTGCAGAACACAGGTCTCTGTTCGCACCTCTCAGCGCTCTAATAAGTAGCTCGGACACTCGGGAGAAAAAGGTTGTTTTTAAGACACAGAACTTTCCTCATGGATTCCTTGACACACAGTGATCAGTGTATTTTTTTTTGTTGTCTGCCCTGCAGTTGAACTAACCTTTGGGGCACACGCATGGATAGAAGTGGATAGTCGAGCACTGGGGTTGCACAAATACTCTTTGTGTCAGAATTATAGTCTTTCTTGGAGCATGAAATGAAGCTTTTTTCGCATTAATAATGGCTTTTAAAAAAGGAAGGAGGACTTCAAACATCCACAGTCCTGAAACAATACAAAAAATAATAAATAGATTTAATTTGCCTCGACTCAAACATTTAATTTCCTCTTTCCTTATTAGTGTTCAGACCTCAACCTTTTTCCGGATGGAGTGGAACAACAAAGGATTGGATTCAAAGGGATCATCACCATCCCCAAACCGATACAGTTCAAGAGCTCGATTAAGGACTACTGTCAGGTACTGACCGACTGTCCAAAACCTGATACTTTACTTTTGTTACTTAACCTTTGTTGAAATATCTTTTGCAGTTTTTTTTTTCCAGTTGTATAGTTTTCCTCAGATGTCTTTATTATTTATGATTTGAGGTGGAAAAACGTCCCACTTTTTTCTGCCTGCTCTTTAGGACGTGTCCTTCATGGAGACCTTTGTGTTCGCGCTGCACCTTCAGCAGTTGCGCTGCAGCGCTCTGGTGTTGCGACTGCAAACGCACAACCCCAAGAAACGTACGGTGGCGGAGTGCGTCCTCTCCCTGAGACAGCTCGGCTCTCAAGAGACGGAGCACTGGCTCGAGCTCAACCCCCCCTCCAAATCCTCGGTGAGCGCTCGCTTCACGTCTTCTTGTACCAAGATGTTTGACCGCAGATATTCCCAAGTCCCCAAATGTCAACCACTGGAGGAAATGTCCGTTAAAGTAACTACCTGCTGTCCAGCAGTGTGTGAATATCCAGGACTTGTATTACTTATTTTCCTTTGTCTCCTCTGTTGGCTGCTGTCTTCGATCACCCATTCGCACAGTGAGGACGAGGAGCTTCGTGTGCCTCATGACCCAGTCGCCACTGGCATGCGCCGTACTCTTAATAATTAATAATCACAGTAAGAAAAGCGAATGGGATTCATTATCGAGGGAAATGAGGAGACCTTTATTGGAGAGAAGAAACTGGAGTGCGTAAATGTAAGACTTGGAAAATAGGTCAAACCTCAAACCATTTGAACGGCTGAGAGTGGTTCTGTGGATAAATGGATAAATGTCTGTCCAATGACGGTAAAATCTGAACTATTTCTGCACTTAGTCGTTCAGATGGCGACTCGTCTTTCAGGGGGCCGATTTGATTCAGTGAGTGATTTTACCCATCTTGTGGACACAAAAGGGACAAATTGTCCAAATCACTGTCAGTCAGTCGAAGCTCTTAAGGGTCTGAACAGGAAAAACATCAGCAGCATTTTGAGGAGGACCGGAGCAGCTGGGGGTTGAAGATGAATCATACACACAACAAGAGCGGCTCTGTGAGGCTGTGCTCAGTCACTGGGATTCTGTGAGCTAAATGCTAATGTCGGAATGCTAACATGCTACCAAAAGTCCAGCAGCTACGACGTTTAACATATTCACGTAGTCTGTTAGAGTTCAGCGTTTCGCCCGAAACACAAAGTGAAGCTGAGAGGTGCTAAAGGGATAACGGGTATTTTCTCAACCCAGAAGTTAGCATCGCACAAGAAATCTACGGGATTTTACTTTAGGATTCTTGCAGAAAACGGGCTTCAAGGCCAAGAAATATTTATCATGCTTATTTTGTTCATCAATATAATCCTGACAAAAGGGCCACTAGCGTTTCTAATGAGTACAAACAGTGAGACTATAAAAGCGGACGTGTCCTCGGACCTCTGTCGTCTCACTTGTGAGAAACCACCTGGATTTAAGACACGTAAAAGCTTATTTCAAGCATCAAACCCTTTCATTCACCATCGACTCAGAGACTATAAACTGAAAGTTTCAAAAGTGCCGAATTATTTCCAGGCGTCTAGGACTCTAATCCCCGGTGCTTCCAAGCATGGCTGAAATCATTATGGCCGCGGTCAGCACCATTGTTTACCTGCCTGGTATTATATGTCTGAGTCACCATAAAATTTCCGAATGGGAAATTCACAAGAATAATTTCCATGAATTTGAGGAATTGCTACCGTAACAATTAACTGCAGAGTGTAACTATTGACCTAGTAAATTGTAAATTATCTGACTTGTTGAAGGGACTAATTTCTTTGTTTAATATATTTTGTTCTGGTGTCGAGGAAACAACAATAACTGTCTCTGTGCTCTGTATCTAAAGATCACATTATTATGCCTCCTAAACATGAAGACAGAAAACTATATAATTGAGTATTTCTCTTGCAGGTGTGCCACTCTGAGTTGCATCTCACCACCTGTTTTCAACCAGTCAACGGACGCATCCAACTCCAGGTCCTCGCTGCCCAAAGCCTCCCAACATCCTCTTCGCCGCTCACGCAAGGTACTCAATGTGCGGCTGGATGAAGTTGAATGGGATTTAATGCTTTACAACAAAATGAAAATGAGTAGATGCCGTGGGACTAACGCGCTGTTGTTTCCAACTCTTAAGCCTTTTTTGTCAAAGTGGAGATGCACCAGTTGGGGCGGCCGGTGATTGAGAAGAAGACTCGCGTCCTCAAGGCCTCGGGGGGACAGTGTAGGTGGGCGGAGACTTTTCACTTCTTCCTGGCTTCGTTGGACCACGCCTGCTCGCTGTCAGTCAAACTCTACAGCCGCAGCTCGGTCAGGAGGAAACAGTGTCACGGACAGGTGAGTTCTTCTGACATTTTATGTAGGTCTTTTTAGATCGTTATTATCCTTATTTTTAATCATTGTTTGAAATAATCTCCGGTGTAGGCCTCATTGATAGTGAGAGTGCTGTCATTACGGTCACGGTCCATTTAGTTCAAATTTCCATATTTGCACTTTTAACAGTTCCTAAAAATAGGAATAAATGTACAGTCAATATAAATATCCATCTCTATTTAATTATTTTATCTTGAAACTTTATACTTATTTATCTAACTGTTAAAATATTGAAAAGCTGTGAAAAATATTGATTTACCAAAAAGTATTTGGTAAATCAATTCTTTTGTCTGCTTTTTTCACCGCTATACAAAGCAGACAAAACACCCCAAAGAAGCTCATCCCAAAATGCATCAAGTACTTCCTTGTATTAAAACTGAAGGCCGTCAAGATTTTTACTGACGGCCCAAAGTATCAGCAGCATCATTAATACACAGTGATTTGAATCTACATTTTGCTCACAATAGCTAATCGCTGAGCTACTGATCTCACCACACCAAGAAAAGCTGGAGATCGAGGTGGGAAAAGTTTTAGAAGAGCACTGCGGCCCTCATCTGTTGAAAGGAAACACTTAAATGCAGCAGCCTAATCCCATCCCAACGTTTTTTTGTCTCTGGCAGGTGCATCTGGGATTCGACAGCCCCGTCCCAGAAGCAGTGGAGCAGTGGAAGGACGCGATGGCTCACCCAGAGAAAGTGGTGTCCGCGTGGCTCCGGCTGAGCGCTGCCTAGCGCGTCCCTCCTCACGTCTTCTCTACAGATGTGCCGTCGTCCTGATGCAGGTCCAGCTGTGCCTGCTGGCTTCTCCCCGCAGAGAGGAACACAGCCTTGCGTCAGCTGAGTCGCCGCCCGCGGACCGGACTGTAAGCCGCTGGACGTGCTACGAACGCCACACGAAACCAGATTTCCACTCTTCAGCTTGCGCAGTTGTAAATAATGGGGTTTCGAACAAAGTGTTATTGCTGGAAGTTTCTGTGTAGAATGTAAAGCATTTGCCTGATTGACAGCAAAGTCTGCTGTGTATATAAAGCTGTATATTGCATTCGTAGGGAAAACATTGTCCCGGTTTCATTTAGAAAGAAAGAAATCTGAGAAAGTCGCCATGAAGTCAAACTCACTGTACCTGTAATTAAGACCCATGTTAAAATAGTCTTTACTTTTGTATAGTCCACAGACTCCATTGGCTCCAACTGAAGACGTAACTCTGTAAACAGTTTGGAGTTTTATTTTTTTATATGAATATAAGTGCATTATTTAATTTGTTTCCACCAGCTCCTGAGGGATCAATCAGACTCCAATGTGTTCACTAGCTACTTGTCCGCTTTTTAGTGCTGAGAAGCTTCTGTGCAGCCTCTCATCTGAAAACCGCACATTGTGAATGCAGTCCATCGTTTTTAGATCTTGATTTATATACATTTGGTATGTGACATATTTGAATTGTTTTTGGACAACATTGAACTGGGGAACCAGAGGCATATGTATTTGAAGTAGAGTCAATTCCCTGTTGCTTTTAGTCTTTTAATGGTATTTTTTTAAGAATAGAAGAAATATTAAGATCACCCAATTAATCCTTCAATTAATAAATCATGTGTCGCTGTATGCTTTTGATGAAAACACTTTATTTTTTGATGTATTTAATGTTGAATGTTTAGTGATTAAAAGTAGATGTCGTTCAAAAAAGTGAAGTTTGTTTGCGTATTGATTTAATGCATTCTGTAAGTATTAAGCTGTATGTGACATTTCGTCGGCGCAGAATCAGAAACACACTTTTCGCAACTCTGTCACATTAAAGGAAAACCGGCCGTGTACGTAGGCATGTGCATTGCTCTCGTTACACTCGGCGCAGCGCCTGTTAAACTGGGTCAACAGCCGTAAACCACAGCGTCACCCTTTCACTTTTTATTGAAGAGGCCACTGGTTGAGAAATCTCAAAGCAAACGGGAGGAGAGTCTGTTCCCGGTGGTTCTCCTCCTGCTGGCTTTGCAACGTCCTGTTTTTCCGACGTCACTCTTCACCATAAAGGCAGTTTAATGTGGCTGCTGTATGTGGGCCATCTCAACCTAAACATTTGAGCAGTGACAATTTGTCATTTGTGTGGACAAATCAACACAATTTTTTAGCTGTTTCAGTGGTACTTAAAATAAATACAAACCTTATTTTCTGTTGTTACATTTAACATTTTCACTATTCAAAATGAAATTTTGAACAAATATCCTATTTCTGTCAGGGACAATTACACTTTCTTTTGGGAATAAGGTTTCCCAGTTCAGTCTCATAAAGCATGAGAGTGACTGACTACGTGCTCTGTGTGATCAGCTGTAGACGTGGACACGCAAACACACACCCAGTGAACAATAAGTCTGTGGACCAGGAAAACAGAGTTTGGCAAGTGTTTGTGTTTAAAGTGTGTGTGTGTGGTACCAGGACAACCGGCCGACCCACGTAAGCCGGCCTGCGTCACACAGCCCTTCATATCCGGGGCGGCCAAAACACCACCATCTTTATGTCACGTAATTAATGTTTGATTTATGGTTAATGTTACACAGAGGGCATTCCAAACACGCCTTCACCTGTGACTTGACTTAACGCTCAGCTCTGCAGCGTGGAGGAGCTTGTTTGACTTTGTTCAGGGAGCGGTGCTTTTGTCTCACGAGCTGGATTTGGGGTTCATTGCTGCTCTTTGTGCAGACGGCAGATTATTTCCCCCTGCACCCGTTTGGCGAGTGCAGCACAGTGAGTCTGCAGCACATTCCAGCTGTCTAACAACGTCATGCTTGTATCTGCAGGGTCCTTCATCTGGGAGACGCAATGAGTTTACTGGATTCCTGAAGCAGAGAGGACGGCCGTGATTATAATTATTCTCTCCTCGTATTTGAAGGCACATCCTCTGGTTTTCATTCAAGGTAAAGAGTAATGTAACATGATATGACACGTGACCCCCCCCCCCTGCCCACTCCAAGCTTATTACTACCTCACTGACAACCAGCTGGAAAATAGTTTGGACATCCTGGAAGGAACATAATAAATCCTGTAATAAAAAGGGGCCTCCTTTAGGAAAGTAATGCTGCCGACAGAATGTTTGCTAGATGAAGCTTGTGTGAAAGTAAGTGATCAGACTTCAACATTATTTATATCCGAGCCGTCCATCACTGTTGCTCACAACAAGACAACAACAATGACAATTGTATAGTCACAAAACGTAATGGCTGAAGAAATCTGACAATATTCTGTGTATTTCTTCAACAGATGAAAAGAGCCGGGCCAACAAGTAGCGACTGTCTCTGCAACGCACGGTGTGTCGTATTCCTCTGTCTCACAGAGATCTATTGTCCACAAATTATTAAAAAGACATGAATTAACCGACGGAAAGAGTTGGAAATTAGCACATCAGTTTCATGATCTGTATTGGAATGTTAAGGAGAATCAGGTAAGATAACACAAAGAATACGCACATTCAAACTGTAATTCATTTTAAAGTATCTCACAACATCCCGCTGCTTGAAATTCTTTTCCACTCAGCATGTTAGAAGCTGCAGAGTTTAAGTACCCGTCAATAAATAACACCACTTAGACAATATGCATTTTGGGACACCAAGGGGCGCCAAAGTCAGAACAAATCCTGCAAACGTTGTCTTCAGAAATACGTGAACATAAAGAATGTCTAGGCATTGTTCACAGCACACTCATAGAGTGACCTCTGACCCGGAGGAGCGTTTTAGCGTCTTTTCTTATTGATTCACGTTTGCTCTCATTGTGTCGTTTTCACCCGCAGAGAGCAGCTGGTTTCATCACAGAAACTGACAAAAAAGAACAATTTTAGATTGCAAAACTTTACAAGATGGACTACAAAAGTTAGCAATAAGCTGGTTAACATGATAGAGCATTTAGCAGTCAAAGAAACAAATACTCCCTCCAAATAGAGTTAAAATAGAGACTACATTTTTCTAAAATCTTCCGAATAAACAAGAATAAATTGTTTTTACAGGTTGTAAAAGAGTTACTAGTGATTGAAATACGTATTTGAACTTGAGGGTAAATGTTAAGTTACTGAAGCAATATAAGCTTAAAGGATTAATTATGAGACCGGCGGAGGCCTATTTGCAAAGCAGCCATCATCTCATTCATGTTCTTTCAGGGGAGGAAGACACAATAACATCCAGCATGGCCTCATGTGGTCGTAAGAGCAAGAGTCTCGGTAACAATGGTGCACCAACCCCTGTGCTCCCTTCAACCAGTAATACCCTGCTACTGGGAACATCTGCTACAAAGCTGATTAGCTCTGGTCGACCAGCAGCTGCTGGTTTTTCATCAAAACGGGATGAAACCAGAATCTTCCATCTTTCAGTCGGATGTTTTGTACATCTTCATCTCCTGGATTGGAATTCCTCACATAATGGAATTTAATACTGAATTTTAATTTTGAGACATTTTCCCTTTTCTCACATACATACACGCTTTATTTACTGATGTACAGTCTATACGTTGGCATTTCTCCTTATGCAAAGCCCACATATTTGTTAGATCTCTATTTAAATACAGTTTATTAATTATAATTGCAATCACTGTCCGACTCTTGTTTTTCCTTTTTTATGAGCATTCTTCTGAGCTCTTTATTACCAACGACGATCTATCATTTCTGAGCCTGTGACAATAACTTTGAGGTATGAAAACTCAAAGAAAAAATTTAGTAAATTATGGGGCGCCGTTTGTAAAATGTCGCACGTTCTAAAATCCTGCGCAGTTTTGCCACATTTAGCATTATCATATGAACAAAAAAGCACGACAATATTCACATGTCACTTTTTCAAACATTTAGAGAGAAATTCATGTACATTCATGCAATAACTTTTCCAAGGATAATGTTTGGCAGTAACAAAGTTGTTGAATAATATAAATGTTAAATGTAAATCTAAATGTTAAATCTAAACGTAAATGTTAAATGTTATGTGTAAATGTTAAATCTAAATGTTAAATCTAAATCGTCGGCGATGGTCCGGTCAAGGGGGGGTTGCGGACGTTCCGCGCCCGTGAACCCCCTCTCCACAGCGGTCATTTGAGGTGTTATGGTAAAAGAGCAGTAATCGCCTATTTGTGTGTCATATCCCAATCTTTGAACTGTTTTTAAACCAGATCCCAAAACGGTAACACTCTGCTTTCATGTTGACCTCCTCTATGCTCATGTACATTTTCATGGGGTGGGGCGGTCAAATCCTCGGCGATGGTCCGGTCAAGGGGGGGTTGCGCAAAGTCCCGCGTCGTGAACCCCTCCGCATGATTTCAACGTGGACAGTGTGTGGCCCCCTTCCTAAAATAAGTGTGACACCCCTGCTCTATAACAAGAGCTAATTCATCCGGACTTGCCAGCTTGTCTTGCGTGAATTACCGCAATTATTGTAATGTTCAGTCGTCAAGTCTTAAATGTTAAATGTAGAGCTAAATGTAGACTCTACATTTAACATTTAGATTTAACATTTACATTTAGATTTAACATTTACATTTGACATTTAGATATAACATTTATGTTTAGATTTAACATTTAGATTTACATTTAACATTTACATTTATATTTAACATTTATATTTAGATATAACATTTACATATTACATTTACATTTAGATTTACATTTATATTATTCAACAACTTTGTTACAGCCAAACATTATCCTTGGGAAAGTTATTGCATGAATGTACATGAATTTCTCTCTAAATGTTTGAAAAAGTGACATGTGAATATTGTCGTGCTTTTTTGTTCATATGATAATGCTAAATGTGGCAAAACTGCGCAGGATTTTAGAACGTAATTACATTTTACAAACGGCGCCCCATAGTAAATACTATAAAAGCATCACCTGTGCTGGGCAGAGGAGTCAGAGCGCCCTCTTGTGGTAAATAGCAGAAAGTGCATTATTTGATTGGCCTCCCAGTGTTGAGCTAGTTATCTGTGGGTGTGGGTGTGGGTGTGGGTGGAAACACGGTGACGCACTGCTCTGTGTTTAATAACTGGAGCAGGCAGGACCAGACAAAGATCAATTCAAACATCACGCTGAGCAGAATGGATACGGACGATAAGAACACGCCTCTGAGAGAAGGATTCCTTGTGAAAAGGGTAGGACATTTTACTTAAATAAACACATGCTAATTATACACATGTATAATTACACATCCTTTTATTTGAAGAAAAGAGGTCATATGATTCCAGAGAGAAGAGTATGTTAATCTACTGACGCGATGTGTCACATTTGTTATAATTTCTGATAATGTGATCGCAGGGTCATCTGGTTCACAACTGGAAGGCGCGCTGGTTCGTGCTGATGTCTGACAAGCTGCTGTATTACAAGTACGAAGGAGGCAAGAGGGACTCGTGTCAGCGAGGAAAGATCCTCCTGAAGGACTGTGTGATAACGTGTCCGTTTCTGGAGTACGAAAATCGACCGGTGAGTTATTTCACAGTGTTGGTGAAATTGTAAGAATTGGAATGGCATTATTAATAAAATATAAATTACAATAATGATGTTATCTAGAAATCTACAGATTATTTGAGAAAAATAATATTAATAATAATCCTATAATTTTATTAGAAAAAGAAAAGAAAAAGATGAAGAGGTGCTGGATTAATAAAACTTTATCATTAACCGGTTTTCTTGGTTCAAATAAAGTTTGTTCTCGTTAAGTAATTGCCTACGGATTAAAATGTGTTTTATTATGTAAAAAATAGAAATTTTTCGGTCTGGTGTCCTCATTTATGAAACAAATTGAAGCGGAAAAGAGATTATTTAAGGGGAAAAAGTTTCATTCATTCATTTGGTTTGATTCTGTCATAAACATAAAGCAAATCTGCTGTCTGTCACTTGTACTGTGTTTTCTTTCTTGTGGTTTCTTTTGTTCGTGTTTTATTCAACCACATTTAAGGTGCGTCTACTTGAGGCCCGGTGTTGCTTCAGGCTGCTGTTTTCTTGGTCTGAATTTGCCATCAGAGCTGCACGTTCATCTCCTCTCCATTTATCTTTCCAGTTGGTATTCAAGCTGCTGACAAAGAATGGGGTGGATCATTTTTTGGAGGCCTGTTCCCGGGAGGAGAGAGACGACTGGGCCGATGACATCACCGCTGCGGTCGCCAAGCTGCAGCCGTCTGAAGGTGGGGAGGTGACGAAGCAGCAGCACCCTGCTGGATCACAGCTACACGACATCAATCTGAGGTCAGCGGACATCCCGTCACTCCATCTTTTCACCACACGCTGATGGCTTCTCACCGCCTCACTTCCCGTTCTGCTCGTTTCCATCTCGTTGACAGCAAGGTGTTGGACTGCATGTACGACGTCCACAGCGGCATCAACATGAGCAACCACATGGAGCAGGGCAGCACCTACAGCAACTGCTTCTCAGGTGAGCCCGCACGGCCTCCTCGATCCTCCGCGTCATGGCGGGGGACGTTTGCTTGGAAACATTTAAACACGTATTCACTTTTACGATATTCATTCGGGTAGAGGTCCCTGTATGATGCTCATGACGTCAATGAGGATGAAATAACAAAAATGAAGGATCTTCTGCAACTGTATTTAGAACTGTAGTGTATAATTCATGTTTTGAATTGTGTTTTTAATCGTCTTGATTAATGTCCCCGTTGTCTTGGTGCCTGAGACTATAATTCATTTTGTGGATTATTGCTTTTAACAATTTAAAGTATTTTTGTGCGATTTCTTTTTTTTAAAAACATCTAGTTGCTAAATCGCCCAAATTGTATTAGTGTTAAATCAAGCAAGAATTTATTTTTGCAGAGGACAGCTTTTAAGTTATTTCAAGGGTTGCACCTTTTGGGCATTATTTAAAATACCTTACATGTTAATAGTAACGCATTTAAAGACACAACTACTTGGAAAATACAGTCAATTCCAGCAATGTAATTGCAGGCTCACAGTTTTAGTGCAAAGATTTGTTCATGCTACCGTGCTAGTTTGTCTTTTGTGTTAAAGTTTTTGTGCATACACTATATTATCATTATGCATCTTTATCTTGCTTTCTAAATGAAAATTGGTTTGTTTTTACATTTGTATGTAGAATAAACTACCAACACTAGGAAAAACGTTTGCGTAGATTAGGGTATTTTCTCTCCATGCATTTCTATATTTGTACACTATTTGAAATGTGCACATCTTCTGTAACAATGTGTCAATGGATCCGGAGTCATGCAGACCTGCACATATGTATTTTCCCTGCAGGTTCGGCGGTGGTGGACTGGCTGGTGTTTATGCAGCTGGTTCTGACCCGTGTGGAGGCCATGACGCTGGCCTCGGCCCTGCTGGAGGAGGGTTTCCTGCGGCCCATCGGCCTGAAGAGTGCCGAGGCTCTCCGCACTGCCGGCCTCAGCGAGCAGTTCATGGACGACTCCACCGCGCTGTACAGCTTTGTGAGGAGTCTGCACGACGCCACACTGAGAACACCTACATGCGTTGTGGGCAGATTGAGCAGGTCGGAGAATTAATCGGAAGCACTTTTGTGTTTTATTACAGTCTGACAGCTTAAAGAAGAGAGGAAGTGTGAAGGCCGAGTCTTCCGCTTCTGCAGTGGAGCTGAGTGGAAAAGTGGTCAAGAGAGGATATCTACTTAAACAGGTAAGCCCGCTGAATCGCTGTTATTAAAAGCAAAGGGCATGAAATAGAGACAGAATTATCTACGTAAGTAAACCAAATTTAGCACTAACCAGGAAATGTTTTGCCTGATATATAAATGTATGAAATCAACCATTGATGAAGTTCATTACTGATTGAACTAATTTATTGACAATTTAAGGGTTACAGAAAATCTGCACCGAACCCTTTTTTTGAACAACTTATTAACATTGATGACTGCAGACTTGAATCTTGGGGCTGAGGCTTTGTAAATGGATTACCAGCATTTATAAAAGCATTATGAACAACGCCAAACGTGTTGTTATTTGCACTACGACTACGAAGCCTTGACTTTGACTTTGAAAAAAGAAATTCATGATGATGTGATATGAACTAAAATCACCATTGGGCCTCCTTTAAACACAAGGGACACAGAAGGAAGAACTGGAAGGTGCGACTGTTTGTGCTGCGTTCACAACCTTCATACCTTCACTATTATGATCCCACCAAGGTGAGTGGACAGCAGACAATGCTACTGAGGCCCAACATGGGCCCACCTACCGTTAATGCCACTGCACACTAAGTGGTTTAAATACCTGATCTAAAAGAAGGTTTATCTACAAACACACTTAATAACTGAGGACATTCCGTAAATAAATGTTTAAATGGTGTTAAATAGGAGCTGCAAAACAAAGCAGATGTTGTTCTCTCTTCCGCCGTCATTACTGTAAAGTCTGACTCTGTCTCGTCCGCTTCCTGTCTCACGCCACTCGGCAGGATGACATCAGCCCCGCAGGCGGTTTCTCTCTGCGGTCCTGTCTGGTGTCGTCCCTGGGCGATAACGGAGTTCCCTCAGGTGAGTCACTGACCTCAGAGGCCAGAACCTCTCCAAACAAAGGTAGTCAAGCAAATCAAAACATAGCACAAGCAATGAAGCAATGATTTTTTTTGGTTGTTATTTCAAGATGAACATGGGCACTGGAGTTTAATTTGAGTTAATCCCACATAAAAAGCTCCTGCAAGTATATTCTAAAGCACCAAAATGGAATCATTCCCAATAAATGCATCATTTACTCCTGTTTGAGTGATGTTCGCTAAAAACAACAGCGAAATGCAATGTGGTCTTTTATTTAAGGAAAGTCACATTCTTAATCCTGAGATTAAGCATTGGCAGACAGAGTGGGGAAATGCTGATTAAAGCCAGAATTACACTATTTTGCCCTCCTGATGACATGTGTTGTATTTAACACTAAAGTCAGTGTTATTTTTGCATCATCATTCATTCCAGCTACAATGTTCTGATTTACTCATTTCAACCGATGGCTTTTCATACGGAAATGTAACTGCACTAATCCTGCTTTGTCTGCCAGACAATCCGCTCCTGTACATGAATGAATCTGTCTCCCTCACAGGTGTAAAAGGCAACATTCAAGGCAACTTGTTCAAAATCATCACGCAGTCAGACACACACTACTTCATGCAGGCGCCGACCGAGCAGCAGAAGATGGACTGGATAGACGCCATCAGGAAGCAGACGTAGAGCCGTTTCAAGATGTTAAGATTTACGCATTCTATGAATGTATACCGTAGCAGTGCAATGTTAATTAATTTAAATAAACGTGGTCATGAAACATTTCTCTTAAATACCAATGCTTTCTGTTTGATTATTCTGTGCCTGTCATTCCATGCACGGAGGATTTAAAGCCATTTCATTCATAACGTCGGACACTTGACTGTTTTTTTTTTCTGCTAATTTATACTTTCTCTCCACTACATTTCAGAGATAAATATTTCCTTCTTTGCTCCATTACTTTTATATGACAGCTGTAGTTACAAACATTGGACCTAAAACAAGCCTTTACAGGCTTGTAAAGTGTATACATCAATTCTTAAACATTCCAAACCGTCTATTGTTATGAAGCCTTATAAATGGCCAGATCGTCTAAACCAGAGGTCTTCAACGTTTTTCAGGCCAAGGACCCCCAAACTGATGGCGAGATGGAGCAGGGACCCACTATTCTACAGAATTTCGTCCGCCATCTTTTATTTTTGAGCTTTGCGCTTTTACGTGAGCATGAACGTGATCTGATTGGCTGGTGCCTCTGCTGTCGTATCAGCATGAAAGGAGCTGTGAGTGAACCGGTGCTCATCTTGAGAGCTGCTGTGGGAAGCTGGATGTGTGTTTTGCGGACTGAAAGATAATGTCTTCTCCACTAATTTATCCGTTCGCTACAATATGTTGGATTTATGTTAATGTGTAACAATTAAGAAGACAATAAATACAATTCTGATTCTGAAGATATTTAAATTTGTGGAAAAAAAATTGTCTTATCAACCAAAAATTTTGCGACCCCCTGCAGTACCTCTGCGGACCCCCAGGGGGTCGCGGACCCCCTGTTGAAGACCTCTGGTCTAAACATGATAAAACGTATGTCATTTTACTTTTAAACAGGACGTTTATTCGTCCGTGACAGCGTTTCTGCAGATCTTAAGGAGTGTTGGATTCAATTTCATCAAAAAGAAGAAAACAGTATAGTCATATATATATATATATTTTTTTTTTTTGTAGTATTAGTTATTGAATGTTTCTGTGTGTGAGATCGTCCTGACTTCAATGAGGTCATCAAATAATGACTAAGCTAAAGTCTATTAGTTCTCCATCATAGTTTTATACTTTGTTCAGTATGTGAAACAGGTACTAAACAGTAATTTATGTGTAGTTACAATTTCTTGAAAGGTCTTTGCTCAAACTTGATTTTAACTTAAGGCGAGTGGAACGTTGTTTGGTACTTTAAGTCAAGTCAAACGATCGGAGACAAGCAAAGACAAGAGACAAGGCCTCGGGCAGCATTTGTCCCAACCAGCATGTCTTAGTTCAGAGCGGCTGCTCACAGAAGTCACAGACGGACACTCCCTCTCTGCCAGCTGAGCACGGCCTTTATCAGTGACTCACGCTCAGCTGCCGTTGTTTTACAGGCTTCTTGCACTGAAATCATAAGTGAGGCCACACCTCAGTGATTTAAGTCAGTCTGACAGACAATCCAAGTACAACCAAGTTCACCACCAAAACATTTAACAACAAAGGTGATTTATTGCAGCGCAGTAAAGTCAGTATGAAACGTTCACACAGGGGAGAAGAAAAGCACAAGAACCCGAGGGCATTGGAAGCTTTTCATGGTTGTTATTGTTAAATATTGTTAAAATAACAGAAAGTTCTACATCCTCTGCAACTTTGTGTTTAATCTGGAGACAAACCAACGCTGTGTGTTAACGGCATGCAACGAGTCGCTTTATATTACTACATGTTAGAGCACTGAGTCGGGCACAGAGCGGCAATCGGTTGATTTCAGAAACATTCGTCTTCATGCAGGCGCTCGTATAAGAGTAAGTGCTTTCAAAGGTTAACTGCGGAGGAATCAAAGACAGACGTCAGAGGTTTCGAATGCGCTCAGACGGATGTGGCACTCCTTTCAGCAGTGACGCATCACGTCTGTGCAAATGTTCACCGGGAAGAGAAAGTAGTGTCGCTTGGACCACGATTGCAACAGTTCACATCACATTCCTTGATTTAAGACACTGACAACCGTTTACATTCAGTCTAACTTCAAGTCCCCAAACAGGTAATCTAGTGAATGCTCTCAACACGTGATTACGAGACAGGCGTCACTTTCCCCCCCCCTCCTGGGTCACTTCATTCAGAGAAGCTCTATTCTAACCACCAGCGCTGGTGTTTTAGGCCACCTTGGTGAGCTGAAGGTCTCCAAAGACGCGTAAGGCAGTGAGGGAGGCGAGCTGGGAGAGCCGGTGGGTGAATCCGCACAGAGGCTGTCCGTCCACCAAGACGCGAAACTGCTGGTGCTCACAAACTATCTCCATCTGGCAGTCAGAGAGGAGAAGGAGGGGTTAGGGTTTAATGCAAAAGGAACGGCATATTGTATTGGACAAAATGATGAACAGAGAAGTCACAGATCTTCATGCACATAATACAACGGTTTTATTAAATATCTAATATCTTTTACTCGAGAGATGTATATATCTGTGATTTTATTTAGCTTATAGCTCGTTCACCCGTCAATATGTGAAAGATTAAGACTTGAAAGCTTGTTTTCCGTGGTTTTGGGGGCAGGATTTAAAAGTGTTTTGAACAGAGCTTCGAGCTTTTTTCTTTTGAGCCAATCACCTTCAGGGTGATTTCATCTCGATCGTTGGAACCAGCTTCCAATTTCTGGGCCTAGTCTGCTGGGGGACGTCCTAGGACACACTGAGCTCCTCTCTCCTCTTCTCTCTCTCTCTTTCTCTCCTGACAGAGTCTTTCTCTCCTCACAGGTTTCCGTGTACGGTGGTTACATCCTGACCCTGGTCCTGCCTCTTGCCTCTTGCCTCCTGCCTCCTGCCTCCTGCCTCTTGCCTCCTGCCTCCTGCCTCCTGCCTCCTGCCTCCTGCCTCCTGCCTCCTGCCTCCTGCATCCTGCCTCCTTCTACTAAAAATGGTATTATTAGTCACATTACTGTCACTTTACTGACGTGGCTTCTTCCCCGGAGTCTTTGTGCTTTCTCTCCTCACAGGTTGTTGGGATGGTGGTTGTACCTGCAGTGGTCCCGCCTGACATCCCCTGCTACTGTCATCATTATTTGTAGTCACATGACCACTGCTGACACAATTACTATGACTGTTATCATTGTTAATCTACTATATCCAGTGCAGCTATCCCCTCGGCCACCCGGTTAGATCCTGTGCCGTTCTCACTGAGGTTCCTGGACATGTTCACTCTTATGGGGCTTTTTCTTTACATTTGGGTGTTGGTCAGCATTAGTCCTATTTGACTTTTCTTTATATTTACTTCATTTCTGACCAGGATTGGAAGGGAAGTGTTGATGGGGACTGTTCAAACAATACGATGAAATAATGTTTATAGGTGACCTTTCTATTTGACCCTATTAGGAAGAGCTCCAGCAGCTTGAACAGAAAACTACTTTTTACAGTCGAAGATAACAAAGAGATCAGAGAAGTGAGGAGGGATATTATCAGTTTGACCGTAACGGCCGACTGTCTCTCAATGTCAGAGGACAACAAACGTACCTTGAAGGATTCTCCCGGTGCAAATGGAAAGTAGGAGAGGGTAGTTTCAGGTCTTCCCCACTCTCCAGCCAGGCGAGCGTTGCGTTGGACGGCTTTATCCATGAAGCTCACCTTCAGCTGAAATCCCACATCGGCGTCCGTGTCCTCCTCCTCGGGCTCACAGGACAGAATCACCTCGATGCTGCTCGGACAGACACGAGACATCGAGGAAGGGACAGAAGTCAAGACATGAGCTTTGCTGCTCTGCATTTTGGAGGCAGACATTGTACTTTTATTTTATTTGTTTACCGTTCTACATTTATGTGGCAGCTTTAGTTACAATTAGTCTGTTTGCAGATAATTTGGAGTCAACTATTTTGATCATCATTTAGCAAAATATTTTGTGATTCCAGCTACTGAAATGCATAAAGATGTGACAATTTTCATATTGATTATCTACTTGTATTTTGGAAAAAAAAATAAGAATGTGAAGATGTCTGTTTGGGCTCTGACTAATTGTAAAGCAATAACAATTATATAATATCCACATTAATTTATAATGAAAATAAGTATTAGTTGAGTGTAACTAATAATTGGGATATTCATGGTGAGGTAGTGATCAGCAGTCACTTCAATGCATTGAATGCCTGTAATACTATAAATAGATTTCATGATAATATCATGTATTATTTTACTTGAGTTACATTTTCAATGCAGGTCTTTTATTTGGAACTATAACTATAAAGTATTTATTCTGTGTGGTAGTACTTTCGTAAAGGATCTGAATATTTTCTGCATCATGTAGCTCTACTGTTTATCTGCCTTTAGTTTTACATTATTTTAATGCTCTACCTCTGCGAGAATCAACTGAATTATAAATCTGTTCTTTTCTTTAGAGAACAGTGACATCTTCTGGTCTTTATCAAAACGGTATTGTTGTACTAACACATTTAATGAAGAATATTTGATAGCCACTTAAAAGGAGCATTTGCTTATTCCTGCAGGAGAATTTATAAAAGTTTTAATTTTGAAACAAACATGGTGGTTGAAGCTCTATTTACTCGAATGGTGTACAACTGTCAGGAAACAGACATGGGCATTCTACATAATGAGTACTTCTACTTGATTTGATTTGGACACAAAATGATTGATTTCTTTTTACAGTCGTCACAAGACGTAATGCCCTGTCATTTGTCCTGATCGCGTGAAAAGCTAAGACAACGTACACAACAATATTCTGTACAAATCTGGCATTTTAGCATATATTTTAACATATTATATGTTTTGACCTGATCTGGCGACCAAAATGACAAATTAGCATTTGACGGGAATTTTTTGAAAATGGTTAGTATGATAACGACCTAAAAGACCTCTGTCATAATGTATACAGTATTGAAAATGGTCCTTTGGGAACATTTATCCTTATAACCTCCCTAACGTTTCTTTAAGAAAGATCTGCGTCCCATTTTATTTTTAACCAGTAAATGTTTTGTTTTTTTATAAGCACTTAACTGATGTCTGAATGTGCAATTAGCCAATCGATGTTATCAAACAAAGAAATTCCAGTGGGATTTTCAGATTTCATGGGATTTTGCAGCTCTACCATGCACATTCACATACCAGCCCATAATTAGGCAACACACTGGCATTACAAAAATATTTTCCCATGGCAGGGAACTGCTGCACTCAAACACAGACAACAGCCGTCTGAAATCCTGTTTCATCATCAGCCCGAGCATTTTATTTTAATAACTTTAACTGACTGACACGTCATGTGTGCAACAGCAGGCTGTAACAATACTTTTATTACAAAATGAAAATAGGGTGTGGACTTACTTTTTAGGTTCTTTGTTAATAATTCCAATGACCACCAGCTTCATTGAAGGCCGTAGTCCACCCTTTATCTCTCCAGTATACTCCCCCTGTGAAACAATAGAGGTGTTTCAGGTAGAGAAGAGCGCGCACACAGGATGAGGCCCATACCGCTGAGCACACTAGATCATATCGGTGTGGTCTTCTGTGATCGATCAGTCTGCTGATGTCTGCACCTGCCGTTAGCTGCAACCCATACGGCACCGCTGGGAACAATAGCTTTCTGGATCCACATTCTCAACAATCTGTAATCCGGTTGCACAATATGCATCCATTTCTTTCAATAATGCATGACTAAATTGGATATTATACGTAATCAGATTTTCAATCAAAATTTTACAGCTACATACATTTTCTTTCTGGTCCTTTTCGTCCATTCCACTCAGGGCGTGATGCAGTGTGGAGGTTTCGAGCGGTGATGCCAACTGATTGACTCCAACTGGCAAACCCCTCCTGTTCCACGTTGTCATGGAGACAGGCTCCCAATTTGGCTGTGACAGAGGTGGGAGACAGGCAGAGGGGGAGAGGGGGAGGGCCGCATATTACAATCCGCTAAACCAGTTCGATACAAAAGAAAAATTTAGAAAAGAAGTTAGTTCATGAAGAGGGTGGTTTTGGGGGGACTGGAGCGAAAATGCGGCTTCAACTCTCCACATTCCTGTCAATGCTTTTCTGTTGCTGGTCATGCATTATTTCATTTCTATGGGGAAGTGCACACTGCGTGCTTCTCTTTAAAACAGGAACAATCCATCTAATGATGCTTTCACTGGTCACAGTTCATTAAACTGGTACCGTAGTATTAATAATAAAAAGTACAGTGTCAATGTCTTCAGTCTATCTCATTCATTTCTACTATATTTTTATCTTATTTATACCTTTAGGTTTCTATTTAAATATTATAATAACACTGGCGACAACGCTGTGTAAACTACTGTTGAATCACGGGATTTCCGATAGCCCTGAAGCCCACAGAAACAGGAACGCCCCCTCCGACCAACCTTTGACCAACCAGCGGTGAAGAATCAGCTGATTTGGTCACATGACCTTCGTTATCACGCTCATAGCCTTTCCTACCAACATAAGAGAAAATAGTAGCTAGGAGTGTAAATAATCCCCACCGGGGGAAACGTCACAAATAAATGAGTAAGTTACACTATTAAACACTCGGCAAATTGTTATTGATTTACGTGTGTGCCTCCCAGCTGTCACGGAAGTTGGCTAACTTAATGTTTTAGCTGCTCTCAGTCTGCAAGGTTTGTAGCTAGCCTAATGCTAAAGGTTGCTAACTGGAGATGTTGAGGTAACTTTGCTGTCAAATCTCAGAGGAGACGTTTTAAACGCGTATTCGTACCTGTCGCTGAGCAGCTCATTCGACAGGTGTTTTGTTTTATTTCTCAACTTTCCTGGTTTGTTTGAACACACATCTAAAGGTAACGTTACACAAAATAAAAAATCAGTTGTGTAACGTTTTCTGTAAAACATCACTGATACTTATTGTGTAGAAACAAATGCAAATCCAATGTGTATACTTTAATAGAGAGCTATACGAAAATATAACTGCTTATCCAGAACCAACATTGTTTCAAAAATGAATTGATCTTCATACAATACTAATCACGTGTAAAGTGAACAACACTTAATCGCTGTATGCATGTATGCAAAAGTCGTTTTTAAAATAAATGTATGATTATTTGCAGATATAAATATATTTTCTTTAAACAAATATCCTATAGTATATACTGACTTTATAATAACACATTTTGTTAGAGTTTCTTTCCCGTCACTATGAAATATAATATTTTTCTTTTTGTTTTAAAGAAAAGAAAAGCCCAAGCGTCCTCTTTTCTCTATGGAAGAGTCTCCTGTCCAGTTGTGACAACTGATCGGAGGGCTGTCCCGATGCAAGTGGACATGCATCCCTTCGGCCGTGAGGCTGAGACGTTTCTTCAGGACCTGTTTGAGTACTTCAAGAGGTGCCTGCGGTACGGAGAGTGGGAGTTGGCCAATGCCTGTGTCCCACAGCTGGTCAGATCAACAGGAGGACTTTCAGAAAAACTACGAAACATAATCAAAGCTATCATTTTCCATCCTTACAAGTTACAGTAAGTCTTGCTGCTTCAATGCTCACAATATATATATTTTTTCTTTTAGTGTACAATGTCTTAGATAACTAAAACATAAGCAAAATTGGTATAACTCTCCAAAAGCCTCAGAGCCAAACATTTGTGTTATTTGTGCTGTGGATGTAGTGACAGCTTGTTTGTTCTGCAGATGGGAGTCGGTGGGCAGTCCACACAAACTGGCCTGGTTCTGGCTTCAGGTTTTGGAGAAATGGACAGAAGAGCAGGTGACACTATGAAGAATCCAGTATTGCCGCTCACTCTATTGTGCTTATTTGATTTTTGAACAAGATGTTTAGTCACAACCTCCTCCAGCAGTATGCTGGTATTTTAGAGCATCTCAGTTAGTGTTAACTTACAGAATATGTTTTGTAAAATCTCCAAAACTGCACTGTGTTCCTTCAGAAAGCAGTATGAAAGGATGTGACTAAATAACTCTCTTGTTTACTGTCCACTTCAGGTCCCTCTCGACGTCAGAAGAGAACTTGAGTTCCTCCTCCTCCTGGAGGAGTTGGGCTCAGAGAGCATAGCAGACAACGTGCTGAAGGTTATCATTGTTTCATCTAATTCTACAACTTACCCTGTTATTTAGATTCATATCAAACCGTATGTTCGCACAGGAGCATGTTTCTCTTTTACATGTTGTGGACATGGACTGAGATCATGTATCTTTCAGCAGGAGTTACACCAGGCCTTCTTGGAAACGCAGTCGACTGAGGGTTCACGGAGAACCGATCCTGCTGTTGAGTCTTGCCTACGAACCCTATTGGAGAAAAAGAAGCCCAGACTGGCCCAGACTTTAACACATTTCTTACAGGTAGAGTCAAGCATAGATAGAAAAACAAATGATTCAAATCTCTTGTTTTAAAATTGCTTTAAAATGACTAGACATAAATGTAAAAATAGAAATAAAATTCCTTTTTTTTTTTGTACAAGTCATCACATTTTGTTGATCTCAAACTTTTAAGTCCATGCATAGATCTTTTCTTTCCCTCTCCTACAGGACGAGTCGTGCACAGAGGACCACACGCTGGAGCACACATTCATTCAACACCTAATTAAGGCACTGGCCAAACCAGAGAGAACGCCGGAGAAGGTGGAGGAGTGGGTGGAGGAGATCTACGCCGTGTTGTCTGTGATGCCATGGAGCTCTGGAAGGAGCGACGGGCAGCTGGAGGCGCTGTGTGAGGCGCTGTGGGCCGCCAGAAACAAGCCCCTGAAGGAGGAGAGGATCCTGAGCTCGCTGCTCCGGCCCCGCTGCGATGCCCTCGTCACTGTTTACTGCTCCGCCGCTCTGAGGCTTCAGAGGGATCATCTCCTGAGGAGCGCGCCTGATACACAAGGTAGACCGAGTGAGCTTAGTAATGATGCTTAATATAAACAGGTTGGGGTGCTACATAAACTTCTCTCTCCTTATGTTTGATGTTCATCAGGATTTGCTTCTTGCTTCAACCAAAACACAGACTTTATGAATTTCTGAAGTTGCCCTTTTTTAAATTTGATGTCATGGATGTAAACAGCACCTTGCAACGGGTGGCGTAGACGCACGACCCCGGGGTGGTAAGAATGTTTTTAGTTATATTCTCGTCTTTCCCTTTTTCTATTCTCATATCCTCTTCTTAGTGGACCTTCCTGAAGCAGAGAAGTTGGCTCTCAGTTTATGTTGCCACAAGGATCGTCCGTCAATCTGGAAGACCATTTATTTTGAGTGCCTTAGCAGTGGAAAGCACTTCCTTGAGCAGGTCCTGGTAGGTAAACCCCTGGAAAACCACCAAAACCAGTGTTGGGATCAGATTTGACTTCCCCAAAAAGCAATAGTGTGTACACTGTGTTCTTACAGTAGAATCATGACTTTATTTCTCATGTCCCGGATCGTAAGAGTCAAGTGAAGTTGGTTAGCCATGTGATAATGTAATAAGATTGGTTGCTTCCTGTAGGTCACCGCGCTTGACCTGATTAAACACGAGGAGTTTTCTCAGCTGAAAGACTTGGTGAGGTTGGAGTTCCAGCCTTTATCTCGTCTGCTGTTGCTCCTCCGATGGACCGAATGTCGCAGTCTGAGCTCGGCCCAAATGCTGCTCAGCATCCTTCACCAACACCAGGTCAGACATCCGCTGCACCGCCGCCTTCACCGCTGTTATTACAGCTACTAAGTGTGATCGGCTGATTGCCATCTTTCTCTTCAGCCACCAGCCAACGACTCCGTCCTGCAGGAGTTTTCTGATCTTCTGTCCTCTCAACTTGGAATACTTGAGTGGTGTAAAAACAACAATCCGTAAGCATTTGTTGGTTTGACCGCCATTTAACTCCATCTCAATCATTATTCGTTTTATATTTACATGTTCTATAACTGTTTCCATACAGAGAGATTTCTATGGACGCATTGCTGGCACAGCTGCACACTCTGGACAACCACTCCGCTCTGTATATTCTGCATTCTCTGACTCCTCTGGCTCAGTTTGAGGAGCACAAGATACTCGCCCTGCTGCAGCAACTGCCAAATCCAGCAGGAACAGGTCAGCATCTTCATCGTCCTCCCTCTGGTTGTTTGTCCTCTCGCAGTGTGGCAGAAATATTTTGAGGTTGATTGCCAAAATAATAATGGAAGTTTTTTTCCCTGTAGAAGATGCTGAGGTCAGCTCTGGTGTGCAGAGGAACATAGTTTTGTTCCAGGGCTTCTGTGCCATAAAGTATGCCGTCTATGCGCTTTGTGTGAATGCACACAAATACTCAAAGTGCACAGAGTGTGAGCCGATGAAGCAACAGCAACACCTGCCCTCTGAAGCAGACATGGAAAAAAACACGACATCCTCAGAAGGTACCAAAGCTCTTTGTTTTTCAGTTTTCAAAGATCAGTTTGATGATGGAATGATTTCAGGTATGATTGTTTTAGCTGATTACAATCTTGATGCAAAATAAGGCAGTCATCTTCATGGTTTACCTGCTTTAAATGTACAGTATTTGACGTTATCTTACAAAACAGCTTTGCAGCTTTATCAATTTTATATCATATTAAACTGATCCCAGGGCAAAACCTGTCCTGAATATCTTTGGATTTTAAACTGATGAAAAAAACCTTTAAAGGCACTTTGGCATAGAAGGGCAATTTTATGTTAAAAAAAACAAAGTGGGGGAAATTCTGAATACCTAGGATTGAAGTAGAAAAAATCCCAGAAAAAACAAATTCATCAAAAACTCCACAGATGAACAGAGAAGGCCACAGTGAAGGTGAACATTAGGAAACATGGCAATATCCTTATTGATGCACAAAAGCTATTGCCACCTCCAATACACAGCAAAGTGATGGTGTGATAACGCTGATCCAACGTTAAATAGTGAAGCTATTTGGTTCCGAGACAAAAACCCAAAATGCAATTTTATCTTTTACATTTGCCTTTTTTCTTGTAAATTAACCATTTTTAATTCAAGAGAATATGTTATTATTAGCCCCTCCCCCAGCTCCCCCATTTATTTTTTTTGTCAGACGCAAAATGCACATTTTGATTAAGTGGGGTGAGTAGTTTTCACTATTTCTTTTTTTACATTTAATCCACCAAACTAATTAACCTAAAAAACGAAAATTGCAGATTAATTGAAAATATTTTGGACTTCCTGATTTCATCTTGATTGTGCTTTAGGACATGTAGAATCCTGTTGTTTAAAGCCGACCATCTTGTCTCTGTTTATCGACCTTTTTGTTTTCTCCTATAGTTCTGAATGACTTTAGACCTCGTCGTGTTTTCCAGGTTGCCATTTGGCGTTCCAGCACTACCTGTCAGAGTGTCAGCTCTATCTGGAGGCCGTTCCTGCCATGTTCCGCCTGGAGCTTCTGGAGGACATCTTCTCCCTCCTCTTCCTGTCCACCGCTGACTTTTCCCTGCAGATTCCAAAAGAAGAAGAACTTTTACTAGATGCAAGAAATACAAGCGAAGGTTCGGGAACCGAAGCGCAGACGGATGAGACGGAGTATTGCAGGAAAGAGAACTGGAAGCTGCGCTCAAGTTCACCATCGGCAGCCCACCCGAGTCACCTAGAGCTGGGCCACTTTATCCGGGGCTGCAGGGGGTTTCTGTCCGACGTAACGGCCATGATGGGTTTCCTGAAGCTGTTGAAAGAAGGGTTGGAGGGCATGCGTGTGCTGGGCCACGAGGGCCAGGAGGCGGGAAGAGCGCTTCTTCGTGAGGCCGAGGCGGCGGGGAACCTTGGCTGCTCGGTGACGGCGGAGACGTTCGGGCCCCGTCTGCAAAGGTTGTCCAAACGGACCGCAGAGGCTCAGTGGAGGCTGCAGATCATCACCAGCAATCAGAGCAGTGGAAGTGGTGAGATGGACAAGATATTTGTCAGCTGTTACTTCCCAGTTTTTTGATTTATCTCGGCAAAGGAAAATCAACACTTAAAGATCCCAAATATTTGAGTGGTGTCTTACCTCGATGTGTGTGGTCATCTTATTTTTGGGGGATGAGTCACTTATTTTATGTCATCGATTCTCTAGATCTTGATAGTAAATTATCCTTGCAGCTTCAGAGAATCCTCCCCGGATGACAGCGGTCAGCTCTCCCGTCACTACTCTAGGACGGAGCAAGAGCTCGAGCCTGAGAAGAAGGAAGAGACCAGGGAGACATGCTGCAGAGAGACAAACCTCAGTGGAGAAACACAGTGGAGAAGTTAGCACGAGTGCATCAGGTACCGCGTACACCGCAGCCTGGCCTTTATCTGCTTGATTCATTTGGTCCTTTCAAATCACAGATCAAATAGTTTGATCACCAACTACGACATGTTGTTTTACAGTATAAACCAAATTCATAAATTATTTTATTGTGATGTGTGAAAATTCCAGTTAAAAGTTTGCTTTAATCTTCATTGACAAACAATTTAGATGAAAAGCAGTTTGTTTTTTTTAAATCCACTTTTTGTGGCAGTAAATTCAGTTTTTGCTGACAGTGAAAGGAAATTACTTATGACGAAGTGTTTATTTGTCCCCTTGTCAGATGGTGGAGGAGGGACGGGTTGTGTGGAATTGGAGGTCTGTCCATGCGGAGGTCCACACACCTGGCTCGTCCCCGCCATGTTGTCCCCTCCAGAGTCCTTACTCATGTCCTGTGTCCGCCAAGGAAACTTTATGGAGGCTCACCAGGTCTGTGTGGCAAGCTGCACTGTGTTGTGTGTTTCTACTAAATCATATTGCTTTTTTTTAGTAACTGAATCTTGAAGTTAAGCCGACGCTACAACTGATACGTTACTACTACTAACACATAACTCTTATGCCTGCTAACATAATTTAAGTAAACCCTTTTTTTGTGGCTTGCCTGCAGGTGTCTCTGGTGTTCGACCTGCAGTTGTCCGCCTCTTTTGGTGAGCTGGTGTTCATGGAGCGCTACAAAGAAGTGCTGGTGGAGCTGGGACGGGTGGAGCAGAAGATGCAGAGCCAGTCGAGGACTTCGTCCTCGTCCTCCTCAGAGGGTTTGGCTCCGGCTGCTGTGCCGGTGGCAGGAAGGAGTCGGCTGGGCAGCAGCGGGCTGTCAACGCTGCAGGCCATCGGCAGCGCGGCTGCTGCAGGTTCTTTTTTCTTACGTGGGATTATATGGTGCTCTCAGTTCAAGGGTTTAAAGTACCTTTCAAACCACCTGCTCAGGATCCAAAGTCTCGTCCTCCTTGTTGCAGAGAGGAAGTGCAGTTTAAAGCCGGGATTGGCAGCATTGGTGGAGCCATTAAGCTAGATGCTGCTAGATTTTTAAAAGTATTCAACCACAGAATCCAGCCCAGCAGGCCCACTCTTTTTTTTCAATTTACAAAAGCTAGCAGCAGACCTCCCTCCAAAGCTGCCCCTCTTCCCCCAAATTATCATTACAAATGCATACAAGCAACCAATCTTTCTATTGTTATTGTTGCAGTGAGTTAAAAATGCAGTGGTTTACTCAACTTATATTGCTTATTATAATATGTATTTTAAAGCTGTATATGTTTATATTTTCTATGGTTTTATTGCCCCTCATTATATATTTATTATGCACCATGGATAACTGACTTGTGCACATTTGATCGTTTATCCATCTTCCTGCAGGTGTGGCTTTCTACTCCATCTCAGACATAGCCGACCGTCTCCTCAGCACCCCTTCTCACCCGATGCCATCACTGGAGGACGGCTACTGGCTGAGCCGCTGCACCTCGGACCCCCCCGGCCTCCTCCACACGCTGCTGCAGGAGCTCAGCCCTGCAGCCATGGCTGCCTTCGACCTGGCCTGCTGCCACTGTCAGCTCTGGAAGACGTCCCGACAGCTGCTGGACACGGCGGAGCGCAGACTCGGCAGCAGCCTGGAGGCTCGAGGTGCGCGGCGTTTGGGGTCCTCCATGGAAGACTTTTTTATTAATCATGATGAGTCATATAGATAAATTGAAACAAGACCGGTTGCAGTGTCATGTGTTTATTAACATCTTTGCACGTGCAGTCATTTTAATCCCCGTCTGCCTCCCCAGGAGTAAGAGTTGACCCTAAGGTCCCCCATTCCGAGGGGATCTGTGGTTTCCCTATGATCTTACAGCAGATCAGCAAGATCCTGAATCATTCTTCCACCAAGAGCTCTGTCAAAACGGGTATTTTATACTTCAATGCCATTTAACCGAAATAGATCTTACAATGACAAAATTTAAGAGAACGTACCGAACCTTTTGTTGCCGCCTCTTTGTTCATAGAAGCTGTTGGTGACGACCAAGCGCCCATCAGCCCTTTCCAACAGCCATTTGGTTGCTGCATCCAGGAAGTGCTCCTGTGTTGCTACCCAACCCTCAGCGAAGAGTCCATCGCTGCTCGGCTCGGTCTATGTCAACGTCTGGAGGCCACTCTGCACGTATTAAGCACCGCGACGGACGCCACAGGTCCGCTGAGTAAACGTCAGACGACGTTAACCTTTAACCTTAGGTCGATTGTGTGTTTCCTTGGGGATTAGAAAGGATTGTTTGTGACGTCTTATATAAAGTCCGATACAATATGAATAACGTCACAGTACCGGAAGCAAATGTGAGCTGTACCATGTTGGCGTTCTGTTGGTAAGCCTGCATGACTCTGGCCTCTCGTTTGAACAGAGGGCGGCGTGGGCAGCGTTCTGCTGGCACAATTGGTCGAACAGGCCAGTCTGAAGCAGTCGGAGCTGGAGACCCACCCCGTGCGCTCCAGCATGAAGCAGCTGCTTCGTTCTCTGGATCAGCTCTGCCCCTTCGAGCCAGACGGAGAACTCGCCAGACCCGATTACGCGCGCAGTTTCCTCGACTACGTCAACACACTGGCGTCCGTGTTAGTGCGCAGCCTCGGTTCAGAAGGTAAAGCCATTTGTTATCGAGGAGTTAATGTCTTTTGGGGAAGATGCTGATAGAGGAGTATACATTAAATATGCTTCTGCCCTGTACATTGGATAATAACGACCTCTAACAGCAGCTCTTTAAAATTTTAAAACACTGTGCTCGACTTCACTATCTTACTATTCTTTTATACCAAACTGCTGACCGACGTTAGCAGTGGCCAGCTGTGGCTCTTCTGCTTGCTACACCTGGTTTTATTCTTGTTTCGACTCTATCCCTGTTTCTCTTAGATCAGAGTGGTGACGTGAAGCTCGGCAATCCACTGCTGGTGTTGCTTCAAGCCCCATTTCAGCTCCTCTCCTACTTGCTGTTTGACAGACAGGTGTCTCCTGACAGGTACGCGCTGTCAGTGTGGGCATGCACGAGGCTGCAGTTTGGATGCTTGTGTGGTACACAGCAGGTGCACTGTAGAAGAGCTCTTACGCGGTGCACTTACTAAAATCGAAATGCTTTCTACGTTATTTTTTGGGTTTGATAGAGACTCTTTTGGACAAAATAAGCAGAAATGCTGATTGCCTTGTCAGGTTATTTGAGATTTGGCCATTTCTATGACAAATTACTATACCATCTGTTTTAACGTATCTTTTTTGTTTTCACTTTTATACTACGGAAACGTTTTATTATTTTAAGCACTTTGGGAATTCCGTCAAATTTAAAAGAATGGGGTCATAGTAGCCAATGTGACTCAAAAGAGGCTTCCTTATGTTTGAAGACAGCAAAATGTTTTCATAGTGAGATAAGATTAAAAGCAGCTACGTTAACAGTTGCTGTCCTGTTTTCGTCCCCAGGGTGCTGTCGCTGCTGCAGCAGGAAGGTCTGCGGCTGAGCGTCCAGCAGGTGATCGTCCAGCGATGCTGTGAGACTCTGCCTGTGTGGATTTCCTGTCCCGCTGACGACAGCGACTCCAATGAGGCCAAGAACGATGGCGGAGTGTTCGCTGTGGCCAGTTTGTCCGCCCTGCTCCAGCAGCACGCTCAGGAGCACGTGTCAACTCTGGGAATCACAGAGCCTCGGCCCGAGTTGAGCTCGGAGTCTGAGGACTCGGCCGAGGACAACTCCCAATCCCCCACCATCCTCTCCACCTCGCCTCCATCTCATTCAGCTTCCTCTCCTCCTTCCACCAGCTCTTTCCTCCTCACACCGTCAGCCGTGTCTTTCCTCAAGTCTCGCTCCCCTTTACTGGCCACACTGGCGTGTCTGAGTGCCTGCAAAGGAGAAATCGCCCGGTCACAAACCTCTGGATGGTCCGGCTATTTCCGTAGCAGCCGTAGAGAAGTTTCCCTGGACGGAGAGCAGATTTCCCGTGAGGCAGACAACCTCCTGAAGGAGTTCCCTATTCTCCGGGCCTACCTGCACACCATGGCGGAGCCGTTGCTGGGCGCCCTGTCAGGTGAGGGCGACGAGGCTTCTGTCGGACTCGGGGCGGTCGTTTGCGGGAAACGCCTCGTCCGCCTCCTGCTGTCTGGGCCTCAGGATGAAGTGGCCCAGGCCGTGGCTGCTGAGGCCTTTCAGAAGGCTCTGTCCTCCGGAGACCTGAGCCGAGCCCTCGCCCTGCTGGAGCTGTACGGGCAAGGCTGCAGCCAGGAGGGGGATCTAAGAGACCGCCTGCTTGCCTGTGCTGCCTTGGAAGGTGAGACGTTATGCATTTCAACAGAAGAGAGTATATTGATGTTCATCAAATGTTTTAGTTGGGGTAACTTGTGCCAATCTAAATAATACAAATACGGTATTTTTGCCCAGCTGAATGCATATGTAAATGTAGTTTTACCTTGATCAGCAGTCAGTTTGATTGTTTTAATTGTTAATTCAGGATATATATGTAATAATTATATTATAAATTAAGTAATTTATTCTGAGAAAAAGCTGAAACAGTCAAGATGTGAAGATGACAGTGATGTTGATGTGATGTTACATTGTGTTCTGAGAAGATGTGATGCATCTTTCAATTATCAAAAAAGAAAAATCTGATTAATCAATATAGAGAATTATAAGCACAACAAATTAGTTTGCTTATCACAACAAACCCCCCTTTTCAGTATTATCTCTTAACATCTAATTCTCCTTGTGTATTTTGAAAATAGGCCTACTTACATCATACTAATATTTGAAGTGAGGAAGTTGCACCTCGTGTGTTGTAATCCGGCCTACGCTCTCCTCCTTGTGAAGATGTTTGTTGTTGTTCTCTTTTTGAATCTCCAGATGGAGATGACGGTATCGGTCAGCTGTTCCGCGTCCAGGACGCTAACCTCCGCGCGCGTGTCGCCCTCCAGGCTCTAGAGCGGTGGCCTCTGTCCGCCTGCCTGGAGCTGCTCGAGTTCTGCCTCAGTGAGCCGAGCACGGACGCCTCGCTGAGGACGGACTTGGAACTCAAGAAGAAAGAACTTGACATCTATCACCGGGTAATTTATAGAGCGGAGTGATTTTTAATCCAGCCATGTGGTCATCCAAGCGCTCAAACCACGTCGATAACTGTAGAAGCCGTCCAAACAACAGAAATGAGAGTAATCGTTGATAAAAAACTGATAAATACTCATCTGGGTATTGACATAGTCCGTAATGAGTAGACTGTCCCATGATACATTTCGACTTTAAATCAATTATGTGATTCTTCTCCTGTCGCAGATGCTGAATTTGCAGCCTCCGTTCCCTTGGGCTACTTGGCAGGAGCTGAGGACGGAGTCTAAGACAAACTCTGAGGCCATGTTATGTAGGATGGTGGAGGCAAAAGTAAGTGACGCACACCTGCAGCAGGTCATGTACTAATGCGTCTCTGCTTCTGGTTTGTCCATCATAACTAAACGCTGTAACCTCTAACACATGAACTAACCAGCAACTTGATTAGGTACACCTGTTCAATTGCTAACAAAAATAATTAATCAAGCAATTACTTGGCCACAAGTCAATGCATTAAGCCATGCAGACGTGGTGAAGACCACTTGCAACTTGAAGTTCAAACCAAGCTTCAGAAAGCTATTGACCACAGTGATGATGGATGATGGACCACGTCACAAAGCTCATATTGTGTCAAACTGGTTTCTTTCTCACAATGAGTTCCATGTAGTCCGGTTACCTCCAGTCACCGCATCTCAATCCAATAGAGCACCTTTGGGATGCAACGGGAGATTTGCATCCTAGATGTGCAATCAACAAATCGGCAGCAACTGCGTGATGCTATCAGGTCAATATGGACCAAAATCTTTGAGGAATGTTTCCAACCCCTTATTGAAAGTATGCCACAAGAAGGGGGGGGGCCAACTCGTCCAACCTTTCACTCGCAAGGTTTTTACTACCTGATGAAGTTGCCTGTGAGTGTATATTTGTATACAGATGGGAATATAATACATTTTTCTTTCCTCTTTTGCAGGAGTTTGCTCTGTGTGTGCAGTGGGTTGAACTGTATCCTGTATCCAACCGGCTCAGGCTGAAGCTACAGACTGAGCAGTTGCTGTATCTGCTGGAGCAGGGACAGACAGACGAGGCTTTCCAGGTCAAGTCCACTTTAGACTGAATCCCATTGAGGCTTGACAATAGCATCATTTCATCCTGACAGATGTATCAAATATCTTCTCATTTTTATAAGTGTGCACTCCTGTATGTAGGGAAAGCCGTGTAAATGTTTCTTTCAACTTAAAACTTCAAGAACATATTTAGTTACTTCTTTTCTTGATCTGCTTTGTACCTCTGCACTCTAGTTGCTGGAGGGCCTCTCTGACTGTGGGGTCGGCCTAGACGTTTGTGAGCGCGCTCTGGACCGCCGCCCTGGATTGGCTGCCTGTCACTTCCTGGCTGACTACCTCACTCTGCATTTCCAGAGCCAGGTGTCTCCGGCACGTCGTCGTCACATCCACGCCCTCCATCTGGGCTCAAAGGTGGTGCACCAACGCCATTTTGTTTAATCAGCAGCACTGCTGATGCTTTCACCTCCAGGCCTTCCTCCCTCTGCTGCCAAATTCTCTGAGGCTTTTAAAAAACATATTAGATATTGATAAGCTCGTCCTAATTTTAACCCACGCTTTTAGGCAATTCCTGATCCCTTTATGGAAGAACTGTATCAATAGATAGTCCCTATTATATCATGATGATTTAGAAAGCGTATGTCAAGCTGTCACCACTGCAACTCCTGTCAAAAACCCGTCTCCCCTCCAGCTAGTGAGAAACTTCTGTCTCCGTCTGTTTACTTTGTGTATATTACCTTTTTTTGTTGCTTTTGAGTTTAATTGTACGCAAAGCCCTTTGTAAATATTTAGAAAAGTTGGGGAAATAAATTTTAGCTTTATTTTGTATCATTTTGCATTATGCAACTATTCAATTCTGAAAATTGTATAATTGCTCAGGACAGGATGAGCTCCTTCATTCCACCTGCTAGGAAATGTTTTATTTCAGAGAATAACCTTCTGTCCTGTGTTTTGTCCAGTATTCAACAAATGACCAGATGAGTCCTAATCAAACAACAAACTACTGTCTTCCAACACCTGCTGAATTGATCCATGTCTTCAGGTTGTGTTAATATCGGCAGACGTGTTCCTTCCTCCAGGTGTTGCTGACTTTGCCCCCAGCGGCCAGGCAGGAGTACTTCCCGCTGCTGTCGGAGCCCCTGCTGATGCTGGAGCAGCTGTTGATGAACCTGAAGGTGGACTGGGCCGACGTGGCGGTGCGAACCCTGCGCAGCCTCCTGGTCGGTCAGGAGGCCGGCTTCGCGGCCGAGGACATCGATAAGCTTTTGGCGGACTACGCCTGCAAGGCCCTCGACTTCCCCTGCGCCCCAAGGGAGATGTCTCGATCAGGTCAGTGCAACGTGAGCTAAGTTTGAAGACCGACACTGCGTGTACACATAACCGAGACAAACGCATACGTGCCGTATGGATACCAAATATGAAAAAAAGCATAGAGCTTCGAGGAAAATTATTCTTAAATAACTAAAAAAAGTTATAAACACATAATGCGCTTGTGCTCCAAAGGATGTTGTTATTGAGAGATCTGCAAGCTACCACACACAACTTGTACCAAACTATCTGACTGCTTGTTTTTCAGACTCTGTAATCAGCCTCCAGGATTTGCTGACGGCTGCTCAAGACAGCTGCCCCATGTCTCCCTGTCGGAACGAATCTCCAGCAACCTCAGCAGGTGAGACATCTGCCCTTGTTCAACAGTAATAATATGATAGACACGTTGATCCCCCGTAGAGAATGTCCCTGCATGCAGAGTCGCTGGTGGAAATTTTATCTTCTAACCTCAGCAAACTTGCTCAGGAGAAAAAGTAAAATAAGTTTTTTTTTATTTTTTATTTTTTTATTTGATTGAAGTTCCCGGTTTGTAACTTCTGATTAACTAAATGTTTAACTTCTTGTGTTTGACTTCAGGCAGCACCCCGACACACACCTCCTCGTCAAACAGCGCGGACAGAGAGAACGATCGGAGCTCCGCTGGGAAAAGGCGGCGCTCATCTGCCAAGTTCCAGCCTCCGGACCGGCCCCCGGCCCGCAAAGACTGGGTCCCTGACACCAAGCAGGACGTGTGCATGATCTGCAGGCGGGAGAGGTTCACCATGGTGAGTGAGCTAAATACCTGCCGATTGCACTGATGTCACGAGTTAGAAAGAAATATTTGCGGACAAATAATTTGCATTAGATTACGTCACCTGTGTACTTTGCTATTTCACAACTTCTTGAGCGGCTTCTTTGTTTTTCAGTTCAACAGGCGGCATCATTGTCGGAGATGTGGCCGTCTGGTTTGTCAATCATGTTCAGAGCATAAGATGTCTGTCGAGGGCTGCCCAGGAGATGAAGAAGTCCGGGTCTGTAACGAGTGTTACGCCTACTTTCACCCAGAGTGAGACCTTCTCCTTTTTAAGTACTGCAAACCTCAAGTGAAACCTCCAATATCTACAAAGAACAACTCGCTGTGTGCATTGTTAGTGTTCGAGTGTTCAGTTACTGCATGTGGGCACTTACCTGGAATAGATCAAACTATATTAGAAACTTTTACAAGAATTCAGTTCATTTCGACGTGTCTGACCTAAAAAACAATAAGACAGAATACTATTTTAGGGAAATCCCTTTTAAAGCATATAATGTGTTTTTTTCTAATTTATTTATTTGTTTTTCTTTACCATGTTTAGTTCTGACGATGAGCAGGAACCATCTGAAGGTAAGTTAAATTGTAAATTAATTGTAAGTTTGTTGTATCTCTTTGTTGTATCAGAATAAGTATAAAAATGGGTCCATACAATAATTTGTGATTGAAGAAGCGCAGCTGCCACTTGGAATATCCAAAATGCAGCTGCTGTCAGATCAGTGATGTATAGAGGCCATGATTATGCGCTTTCACCTATTGTCTCCCTGCTCTTTTCTCTTGGTGCAGCAACTGGAAGCACCGTGGTCACAGAGGAAGCTCTCGACGGGATGCTGCATCTGCCTGAAGTGGTCCAACGACAGATCCGACTCAGCCCAAACCATACAGAGAACCAGCTGCTGCGGACCGAATTCTACTATGAGCAGGTCATTTTTCCACTCATTGCCAGCGACTCGCATCAATTCTACCATCTGACCATCTAATATTCCTTAAATGCTACTTAACATTCTTCATACTTAACATTAGATTATCTTACGTAGAATTTCTCATTGAGTGCAGGATAACCAGCGTTTTTTGTCTTATTTTACAGAGTTGACCGAACGCAACAAAATGTACAAAAATACAGAAGACTGAACTGACTAAGACTAATTATGGTCTTTTCCTAAAACTCCAAGGCTCCCAGTGCGTACCTCTGCGTGGCCATCCTGTCTCTTCACGATGATCAGACGGCTTGTGGTCATCGACTCATCGTCCACTGCCGATCGCTGTCTCGTAAGCTGACCAACCCAGAGGTGGACGCCTGCCTCCTCACCGACATCATGCGGCAGCTGCTCTTCAGTGCCAAGATGATGTTTGTTAAGGTTGGCCGCAGCCATGAGCTCGCCTTATGTGACAGGTAAGATGTAACCCGTGTCTTTCTGTCAAGGTAACGGACATCATTTGTATGGTGGCAAAGTGAGCGTTAGACCGATCAGAGGAGATTCCCTTATGGAAGATATGGGTGATGGAGGCTCTGGCTGTGGATGAAATAGGAAGTTTCCCGGGAGTTATAGTTCATTATTTCCAGTCATTTTCATAAAGAACCCTGTCCGAAAAATCTTACTCAAAACCACTGTTGAACAAGACGTTTGTTAAGAATACTTACTAAGTAGAAGCAGAGTTGAAAAACGTACACAGACGTGCGTCAAGTTGCTGCTTGTCTGCGAAATTATGACACGCACGCACGCACGCACACGCACACACACACACACACACACACACACACACACACACAGACAAGTTATATATCAAGGGCCTCTCTCCTGAGAGGTCACAGACCTTATGGCGTTCAAAGTAATATCACAACTACTGTGACGAAGGTAAAACATTAGTTTTTAAGACATGAAGGTCAACACAGGTTTTTGGAATCGGCTGCAACTATTCCAGAAATGCCACAAGCTGATAAGCGACAGACAGAAGTCTTTCCAGAAATACTGAACTGGGCTGTGAATCGGGTGCACTGTACGTGCCAGGACACGACAGTGTCAGAGGAGGTAACGTTAGTGAAAACTCCTGTGTGGTTGGAACAAAAGTGTGTACAACTTTTAATTTAAAGCATTATCCTTCCGCCCTTTAACCACAGAAGACATTGACATGTGACAGTAGGAAAAGCACACATGATTGTTACTTTAGTTGAACGAGGGAACAAGCATTAACCTTTTATAAAACAAGGACAGATGTAATGTACTACGTGCCAGCCAAGTGCTATTTTCAATATAATAATAATAAAATAGTAAGAATAGACATATATAAACACAACCAGAAATATAACCCTTGAACCCAGAGGCCCATCCGGCGTCAAACTGATAGCCGGTGAGTTCAGGGATCAACAAAGTTGTTACAGCCCACATTTTGGTAGTATTTTCATGCACTGCAGCAGCGATGGAAGCAGCTCCCTTAACTTCTTCATCCAATCAGCCTCGCACACAATTCATTATTTTTTCCTTTTTTTTTGTGTCCACAGTTACATCAGCAAAGTAGACGTGCTCAAGATCCTAGTGACGGCCAATTACAAATACATCCCTTCTCTGGACGACATTCTGGAGAGCTCTGCTGTCACGCGTCTCCGTAACCAGCTGCTGGAAGGAGAGCACTACCAGCTGGCAGTGGAGGTGAGCCAGTTGGTGGTTAAATAGTTTAAATTGAAAGCTCCCATAATTAGCATGCAGAGTGGCGGGACCACTACGCTATTCAAATAACAAAAGTTTTATCATGAAACACGGCTGTACAATCAAGCATGCGTGATGTCTTGCTGCCATTCAACAGATTCTATTTAAGGCTAAATATTAATCCATAAATCAGTCATTGACTATTAAGTATTTATCAGGCTTGTAAACTCTAAAACGTCCATTAGACCATCATGGTGCACATACTGTACATGTGTTCTGAAAATCTGTAACCTTTTAACATTCGAATATTAGGCAGCTTCATAATGCCATCCCAATCAATGTATTGCTTCCATGGAAATGTATGCAGAAACTTAAATTCCATAGCCCTTCATGTTGAGACTGTTTTTTTGGCTTTAATGCCAGGTGTCTACCAAGAGTGGCCTGGACCCTTGCGGCGTGTGGCAAGCCTGGGGGATGGCATCCCTCAAAGCAGGGGACCTCTCTGGAGCGAGGGAGAAGTTTGCCCGCTTTCTGAAGCCTCCATTGGATCGCAACCAGCTCAACCTGGGCCCCCTTCTGCTGCAGGAGGTTGTGCAGCACCTGGAGACCACAGTGCAACCCGGTGTGGCCACGGTAGGGACACAGTGGCAGTCTCTATCTTTATCTCAGCAGCATCACTGCTGCCTGCAGGGACAGTCCAGTATCCAAGGCCTCTGTCGTAGTACATAAACATGTGCTGTGTCATGCGTGACTGCTGCACTGCAAACAAGTTAGACTTTTTTTTCCAAATTGCACGTGATTGGCAGCACACACTCACTCACACACACACACACACACACACACACACACACACACACCATTATTTTTGCAAGTAAAAACTTGCCACATACATTCTTCTTCAAAAAGATGTATTGTGCTCTAGTGGTGGTACAAGATTGGACTAGTGGGACTTTTTACAATAACACCAGGTGCAAATATAAAATCAGAAGCTCATTCTAAAGAAATAAATGTTTCTCTTTTCGGACCTTTTTAAATCAACTTAGAATGTGAGAGTGAAGCAGACACACAGACATCACAGTAACTACAAAGTGGCCATAAAACATTGATGAATCTGCCTGATATAAATATTTAAATTATTTATACAGAGACTTTCCGTTTTTTACAGCAATAGAAAATTCACATCCTTCTTAAAAACATTGCTAAAAAAAAGAATTATTTCAGTTTCCATTTTTTTTGTCCTCTGGAGTCACACAGAGTGCAAAAACAGGGATACATTGGAGTTTCAAGTAAGAGCCTTGTTAAATTCCTGTAATCCTCTGGGACTACGGTAATCCACTTGCACCATTACAATAAGCTCTACTTTATATATTATTAATCTTCAATGACTTGAATGTGGATGTTCTTTTCATGCTCACTTCGTCGCATGAATAAATCCATGACCTTTTGTGCGAATGTCTCTGCGTCAGTCTTCTGGTGAGGACGTCTTGGCGTCCCTGCGGGAGCTGGAGGAGGCCCTGAGCGAAGCCGGTCCTGTGGATCGGCCAGAGGGTCAGACGCTGCGAAGCAGCCTCCACCAGGAGTGTCTCTACTACCTGAACACGTATGGCACTCACATGGCACTAATCTGCTTCTACATGCGTCACGACTGCACAACCGAGGCTCTGACATACCTGCTCAACAAGGTGAGGCGCGGCTCTCGCAAAGAGCGTTCAGGCATTCTTTGATGTTTATACTAACATGTGTTTCATTCAATGTCATTAGAAGGTTATACACAATAATTTGCACATAACATATGTAACAAGTAGCGGTGTACTGGGTGCATACTGAAATCTAGTAAGCTGACCATAGAGCGAAGACAAAAGGACGTACGTGAGTCCGACACATGCGTTTGGTCTTTCTCGTGGCTCAGGAGTGCCCGGACGAGGTCTTTCTGGAGGCCGTGTTGCAGCCCAGTCTGGAGCGGGGGCGTCTGGGGATGCTGCAGGGCATACTGGAAAAACTTGACCCTGGCCTGGAAACAAGCAGTCGCTACCTCATCGCCTCCTGCCAGTTCCTGCAGCGGCGGGGTTACTACAACACGCTGTACCAGCTGCAGCAGTTCATGATGGTCAGACTCTATTGTGTTTTTCTCCCGAATCCCTGAAAATACTTTTTATTGCTTCAAGTTTTATCATTTTAAACCGGGGAATGATGTCGTGGTGTTGTTAGATGTTTTTTTTTTAGATAATGCATTAATACTGTAATACGTCAAATGTTTACCTGGACAGGATCAGGTGCGGGCAGCTATGACCTGTATCAGATTCTTCACTCACGGAGCCAGTTCCTACCTACAACTGGGAGAACATAACGTAAATCTCTTTTTGTGTCAGCAGTTTGGCAACTTTTTTTATTTTAAATGTACCTTAACCATAAGCTTGTTGTTGTTCAGCGCTGGTTAGTCCGAGCCAAAGAACACCTGAGGACGTACCTGCAGGAGCAGCAAGGGCGGGGAGCTGGGAAGAGAAGAGCTCCGGTCAACTCATTTAGGAAGATGATGTCATCCACTGATGTGTCCAGGTTATTCAATAAATCTTTGTTTCTACATGGAAATGTGCTGGAAATAAATAAACGCATTTGCCTCCTTATACTTTACTCCATACACACCTTTATAAGTATGGATTTCTTCTAAATCATTTTGTTAGGCATATGAACACGATTGAGCTGCAGCTGGAGGTGACTCGTTTCCTCCAACGCTGTGAGGCCGCGTCCTCCTCCAAGGCGACACAGAACAGTACCTCCACCTCTGGGTCCAGTGCACCACCTACACTGTTCGGAGGAAGCCCCATGAAAGTTGAGGTTGCCTGCAAGGTGAGGGTCCAGTTGTGATTATCCCAGTACTTCATCCAATTCATGCATTAGCACCCTGGATCACAGATCTAAAATATATATATATATTTTCTTCCTGATCCCATAAGATAATCCTGGCCAGCTTTCATCATAAAATGGGCAATATGTCTTTCATTTGTGTCACTGCAGGTGATGCTTGGAGGAAAAAACATAGAAGAAGGTTTTGGCATTGCATACAGAGTGATACAGGTATGTTGTGAGAGTTGCTGCCATCTAAAACTTAAGAAAGAATTCTGCCATGTCCCCGCCCCCCCACTACCCCTCCATTCAGAGCACTTGGGTTATCCAAGCACATTACTAACAGCAGATGAAAATTGCTTTCTTTCTTTTTGATTTTCCATTTAAAAAGTTGTCGGGATGTGTGTGTCCTCTGATTCTCGCTCTCCTCCTGCCTCAGGACTTCCAGCTGGAGGCGCAGGCGGTGTACGTGCGGGCCGGCCAGAGGCTCATCCGCCAGAGGCAGTACGGAGCCGTACGGCAGCTGCTCAAATGTGTCGGTGAATCGGGCACCGCCACCAAGAACGACTGCGACGCCCTCATCCTCAGCTGTGTTGCCATCGCAGACAAGGGACCAGCTGATGTGAGTACGGACCACCGAGGCACTCTGTGTACTCGGTTAACTCATTGTGACAGTGACTGTATGATGCTTTGTGCATTCATTTCCCGCTCGAGTGCCAAGTGCTTGCAGGCAAATTCCATTCACATTGGTCATGAAGGCTTTTTGTTGCTGTTTTATCTGATCTAGGCCAAGGAACTGGAAGGTCTCATTCTGGAGGTTAAGAGCACGGAGAGCAAGGTAGTATATATAATGTTATGATTCTCTGCTTGACATTATCCGTGTTCTCCTTTCCTCCAGTTTTGCTGTTTATACTGTAGAAACTGTGACTATAGAAATCACAATGACCCCATTCTCGGGTCTTGGTAGTCTTGTTGCTTCGGTCATCATTATCTGCAACACGCAAATGACCTGCACAAGAAGGTCAAACCACCGTGAAATGGATGTTCACGGATGTTGTGTACCCTTGTTGTAACTGTCACCACGCCCGTGTGCAGATCAAAGCCTACCTGTTGTGCGGTAAACTGAGACCGGCGTACCTGCTGGCGGTGAAGCTGGAGCCGAGTCGAGCCGGCCCGCTGGTCCAGGACGTCCTGCAGGCCGCCGACGGAGCACAGGACTCCGTGATGCAAAACATCTGTGCCCAGTGGCTGTCCGAACACGACGGCAAGGCCTCGCAGCAGCGCCAGGGCCGACCCAATGCCAGGTAATGGCACGACAAGGGATTACGCAAACACCACCTGAAAGCCATCGAGCCCCAAATACGAGGATCCAGGGCTTGCAGCGTTACACAGACGTGTGGGGGGGGATTAGTACTTCCACATGGACCGAACCGGAGAGCAGCTGTTGCACACGTTACATGTTCCGTGGTTACTCTAATGATTGATTTGACTAGCAAGGCCCACGGGGGGCCAAAAGGAGTTTGGTGTCTGTCCTCAAATGTATTTTCCCAAACCTTTTAAATTGTCACCTTGCTGCAGTTATGTACAGGTGTACTCGCTGAACCTGTGACGCAGCTTTTAGGGGCGGTGATGTATCATTGACACAGTGGAAACTTCTAGAAACCCTGATGGTCGCAGCCTTCTTGTCCGTAGTGCTGACAAATCACCACTGTGCTTTATTTCCATCACAGGAAGGTTTTGCTTTACATTTTTTTGAGAAGGAGCAAATGTTACTTGACCAGAGTGACAACAACTATTGCGAGCTGCAATGAGAGCCGATACAGTTGCGCTGACACAATATGAATTCATTTACAACTCAGTATTGGACTAAGATTAATCTCCTACCTCAAACAAAAGGGAAAATATCTTTAACTGACTGGCCTCCGATAAATGTGGTGCCTGTCTTTTTGTTTGTTTGTTTACATGTACTTACTGTTTGAATGTGTGAATTTAGATGTAAATGTCCTCCTTAAGGTTGAACCTTGAGTTGAAATCCCAATGAACCTGTTTACCTGATAGTGTGTAGCACATTTTGAGGCCAGCATATATCTGCTATTGTTAAAGGGGAATTGACATCAAACTGAATTTGAGGTCTTATAGGGCATTTAAAATGACTGAGAAAGTTTTAGGTTGGATACAGAAATCAAGCCGCTTATGGATTATAGATGCAGTTCATTTTGATTCAGAATATCAACAGATTAGTTTTGCATCTGTAATTATGCTTTCACGTCTCATCTTGTGTCTCCTGTATTGGAAATCATTTCCTAGAGTGGTGCCATTTTTAAACCATGCTTTGTTGTTGTGGGAGATCACTGCACAATAATTAACTCACAGAGATAATCAATCAAATAATGTTTTAAAAGGGATTGAACCTTTGCCATATTTTTCTTTTGATGTTTAGTTAAGATTTTGCATGTTGTCTTCTGTAAGGAACACCCTGGCCAGTGCAAATGCATCGCCTTCTTTTATTTCATTTACGTTACAATCACCTATGTTGCTGAAGCGGCCTTTTCAAATGTACAACTCTGGATAAGACGTGTCGTCTTTATTTACAGCAGATATTGTGTCCCTTCATCTTGCTTCCCTCTGCCGAACTCAGACTGACGGATCTTTTTATTAATTTGTGTCAGCAAGAGATGAAAAGTCAGTGTTGACATTCTTGCACTCTAATCCTCCTTAACTTCCACTGTTGTTTCACTGCCGCACTTTATACTTAATAAACCTTTTGGTAAATTGTGAAATACAGTAATTGCTGTTAGGATACAGGGACTAATCATTTTCAAATGTAATTAACTTATCTATCCCCTGTAAAATTAAATAATAAAAACTATGTAAAATAATTGAATATTCTTGAAATGAAACTTTTTCATACTTATTTACTTGCCATTAGTTTGTGAGCTACACTGATGCTCAATAAGAAGCTAATGCTGGCTACAGGTTAAATTAGCTTAAATTAAAAGCTGGGAACAAGATTTTGTTCAGTGCGGACCGAGACCAACTGGCTGGTTCGATGCTAAGCTAAGTTAGCATTGGCTTCATAAACGTGTAGCGTACGCACATGAAGGTGGTGTACTGCTCTCCACGAGGAAATAAAGAAGCACATTTCCCAAAATGTCCAACGTTTCAATCATTGATATAATCAGACTCTTTTTCTGTGGAATAAGGATTTCATTGTATCCAACGTTTCACCATTTCGCGTTTTGTTGATCTTAAACTAGAATTTTGGACAAATACAAGCAACCGTATAGTAATCTCTGTTTATTTACATCAAATGTAAACATTCAACTCTTAACATGAATGTAAGTGTAGTAAAAGGCATGTTTCACTTGTATAAAACACAGAATGTAAACTCTTGGCAACCTTGCATGTGAATGCTGAGAAGGAAACATGACGGGAGATCCTTAAAAATGCAAAACTGTAGTTCCTGTAGGATGTGCAATTTTTGGCAACGCAAATCATGGGATGAACTCCGCCAATGACATGATTCTAAGTGGGATTTGGTTTATATATAAAAAACCTTCCTTACAACCTACACTGACTACAATTATCACAAAATACATGTATGCAATTGAAGCGGTAAACGTGGCTCAGACAAGATGCTGATATTTTTACTAATTTTGTATCAACCTGGAAACGCTATAATAACCCCTGCAGTTGTTTAGAAATGCCGGCACGAAAGTCAACCAATTTAACTGCAAATTCTGGAGAAATGAAGAGAAGGTGATATTCCATAAAGATGCTGGTCATTTACCCTGGCTTGACCCTTCAGTTTCCTACAGCATTACGATACATCAAGTTGCTTTTTTGCCTACACTGTATTCACATTGTGTCACAAAAATAGTCAAGAGTTATTTGTGGTTACATAATACAGTGAATTTTGGTTTGAGGAGCACCAAATACTACTTGTAATGTAATTACTGCATTACACAAAAAAGCAACTTCACCCCATGGTACCTGTTACAGTATTACCTGACTGCTTATTAGGTAAACGTTCAAAGTACAGAACATCAAAACCATAATGAAATGAATGATCAAAGAAAGACTAAAGGGCCCCTTTGAGAACCCAGATGGACGGTGGTTGAAAGTCGAATCAGTCCCACTCGATACCGAGAAGCTCACAGCTGGCGGCCCACAGTCTCCGCGCCGTGTCCTCGCTTCTTCCCTGTGGGGCTACAAAGGCAGGGGCGCAGTCACTGAAATGAAAGAGAGGGTTACTGCACACGGGCTAATGGCGCTGTGAGTCGTCGCCGTGGGGCTCATTTCTCTTTCAACTCGGGCACGATGATCAAAGTTTTTAAGACAAGGAAATTCTGTCCCTTTGTTACTCCTCAGTGACAATTCAGGTCAATTAAACATACTGAATCTCACGATGATGCTCCTTCCACGGCCGCGTGGTTAACATGTCGTTGCAGGGTAAACTCATGGGTTATTAATCCTTTTGTACTAGAATCACACCAAAATGGCCTCCGTCTCCCCCTCTGAACCGAGTTCAATCACCCGACTGGCGTCTTTAGTCATTTACGTCCATGCTAGTAAGCCGAGCCATCAAATGTCATAAAGGACTCTTCAAAATCAAAGTTTACTACATTATGGGCCAATAAATGTGGTCAGCTTGTCGCGCATTCGTTTCCTTGAACGTTTTTACGCTCGCTGAAGTCCCCCTCGTGCTGGAGAGCATTCACGCTCTCGTTTGTTCCCCATCTACACCCAGACTAAATAAGACAAATCCTTTGGCACGACGTTAATAGACTCCAGCCTCAGACGCCCACCTGAAGTGTTTCCCAGAGATCGAGTGCAGTTCGTCAGCCACAGCGCAGTAGATGCTGGTCTGCGCTCCTTCCCGCGGGGTTTTCAGGAACGTGGAGAATACGGTGAAAAATATGGTCATGAGAGTCGAGTGTCTGGTCAGGTCAGAGTTCACCGTCCCAGGATGGACCGAGTTCACCGTCACGTCGGTCCCTGTTGGGACGACAAACAACGTCACAATGTGCCACATGATCCTCCGAGTCCAAGCTAATTATATGGAAATAAGCCCAACAGCAAACCTGTAGGCTGCAGAAAGATGTGCTTTGAAATGACCAGAATGTTTTAATCTTGCTAAACAGCGTGAAACAATACTCCTGGTTGCCGTACATTTTATGGCACACGCCTGGTTGTTTTTGTTCTAATCAGCGGTCTCAAGCTGATAATCAGAAAACACTGTTGCTTATTATAAATTGTCTCAAACTCAGTTATTTTTTAAAAACAAAAACAATGTATTGTCCTGTGGGATGTTAAATTGTACTGTCGCTCGTCTCTCAAAAGACAACTATGTCCAAAATGCAGAAAGTTGAGGTTGCAACATCAGTGACTGACCTTCTGTCGCCACACACACACACACACACACACCCCGTACCTTTGAGTTTACGCGCACACTCTCTGGTGAAGAGCACGTTGGCCAGCTTGCTCTGGCAGTATGCCAGCCCACTGTTGTAGCTCCCCTGGCTGTGGAGGTCATGGAAACGGATCCAGCCGAAGTTGTGGGCCAGAGACGAGACCACCACGATGCGGGCCGGCGCACTGCGCTTCAGCAGCCCGATCAGGAGGGACGTCAGCAGGAAGTGGCCTGCGTGAGACGCGCGTCGGTCAGTGCGCATCTCACGCATGTCAAGCAATAATTAAGAGAGTTGACCTACTTCAACCCATTTTAGAACTAAACGGCCTTTTCTTTGCTTGATTCACGCTTTTCAAAATGTCCACAAAAGAAATCTGATCCAAGTGATGAATCGATCAGTTACCCCATCGAGTTTAAGTTCTATTGATCGAGGCGCGTTCTCACCCAAGTGATTGACTCCGATGTGCATCTCAAAGCCGTCGATGGTTTTCGTGTACGGGCACATCATCACGCCGGCGTTGTTGATGAGGATGTGAAGACTGTTGACCTCTGAGAAAAAGGGGCGTAACCCAAAGAAAGAAAGAAAAACGTGGCCGCTGTGAGGCGTGCCAAGCGACAACAAAGCCGCGCGGGGGGAGGGGGGGGGGGGAGGGGCGGAGACTCTGCGCTCACCTCCGAGAAACTTCTGAGCGAAGGCCCGTATCGAGCAGGTGTCTGCCAGGTCCAGCTCGCGGACCTCCACCTGCGCCTCGGGGTGCGCAGCTCGTATGCTGTCGGCGGCCTCCTCCCCTTTGTCCACGTTTCGGCACGCCATGATCACCCGCGCTCCTGCATTGGGAATAAATTAGCAGCAGCTAAGCTATGGACAGGATTGAAGCGGCATTAATTGGTAGAAGAGAGGAGAGAGGGCGCTTGTGTCTGCTTATTGCGGCACAAAGCCATTTATTAAAAAAAGGAGGTGTCTGGTTTAATCCCGTTGCTCGGTGATGCAGGGCCGTGTTGTTTGTCCCAGATGACACACAAGCATTGCTGTAACAACATAGCAAGGTCAACTCAAGATCATAAGCCACAGTACAAGGTTAGTTTTGAGGGTTAAGATATTTGGTTCACTGCAGAGTTCTTAAATCTTTTTATTTTATTTTTTAAATAAAAGCTCAAAAGAATCTTCTTATTTATAAATAAAATGACACTGAAATAAAGCTGGCAGGGTGTAGCAGATGTTATAATTGGACCTGCACAAATGTAACCTCTTATTAGTAACTTTTTCACAGCAGACATTTTGTCCTGATATTGTAGGAAGATCCCAGCTGTCACTAGTAACACTATTGGTCTGTGTTCCATTCAAGCGTCCCAGTATGACAGTGAGCCGGCCCACACAATACCAACACCCTGAAGCAACTAAATGGAACTCAGCCATCTTTCGTTTTTCATTAACTGTGTTGTGCTGTAGCATTTCAAAAAAGGCCTACAGCCAAAAAAATGGCAGTATGCATTTCCCATATATTACATGTACTCATCTCATTGCGTAACCCTGCAGAGACACCGGTTTTTGCTTGTGGTCCAGGGAATGATGGGTGTAAAGTATTGGTCACCAAACTACGGCCGACTCAGGCCCGCCACCCCCCTTTGACTGGCCCCTCTGCCCCCCACTACTTGAACCGGCCCAATGAGGCAATCCCCAAAAGTTCGTCATGGCATAACGTTCAGTTCACTTCCGATTCACTCGCTTGTTGCGATGTTGCCTGAGGCGAAGTCCGTGCTGACAGTGTTGGGCAAGTTACTTCCAAAATGTTACTGTACGGTCACTCAACAACTTTTTTTCCCTCTGTGCCGAAATGTTTCGCGGTGTTGGTGGATTCTTCAAAAAAAAAAAAAACTTCCGCGCAGGACTTCACTGTGAGCGGACTGTTTAGAGACGATGTGACCGGCATGTAACGTTAAAGTGATCTGCTCCTGTAGGAGAGCTGCAAGTGTAACTGAAAGAACGAGCAGAGAGAGAGAGAGAGAGAGAGAGAGAGTCATTCTCTCTCTTCGGAGCCTTCACCGTCTCCAAACTAAGTGCCGTCTTGCTCTCTTTTCCTCGCACACATTAATCAAAATAGGCATGGAAATTTGCAGAAAAGTCATGGAAAAGTATTGGTTAAAATGTGTATGTGTATTATTATAATTTCAATGTTTTTTTTATTAATTTATTTATTTTATAGGCCTATTTATTTGACCTTTATTAAGTGCTGCACACAATTATTATTAATATTATTGTTAATATCAACAGGCCTACCTATTATTTATAATTTTTCACTCACCTTTGCCAGTGTCAAATCACCTCAACTAGGCAGATGTTTCTTACCTTGACAGCTTTGATGTTATTTTTATTTGAAAATAAATAAATGGAATATCAGTGATGTGAAGACTCAATTATTACTTTTGCAAACCACTAGTAAAGATAAACAAATATGTGCCAGGAATCAAGTGTTGACATAGTAGTGGGGATGGATGTCCCAGGCTAGTAATCTCTACTACACAATGAGGCCTGCTGGTGGTCATTTTGATCTGGGTCATACAATTCTATGTTATATAGCTGACCCGGCCCCGTCCCCCCATCACGGTCAGGAACGATAATGTGGCCCCCAGAGAAAAAAGTTTGGTGACCCCTGGTGTAAAGCGTTGTCTGTGCCGTGTGCGCGTGTCACCTCGCACTGCCAGTTCCAGGGCCGTCTCCTTCCCGATCCCTGTGTTGGCCCCGGTGATGAGGGCCACCTTGCCATCCAGGCTAGCCGTGGAGCTGCACACTCCTCCTGCCGCATACTTTCTGTCAACACACACAAGGGACAGTGATCAACACCAGGGACATTGGACCACAGCGGACCGCTCCATTGGCATGACAAGTCCTGTCCCCGTTCGGATCGGCCATATGGACCGCCTGGCTTAATTATTCACAGAGGAACTTGGGAGAAACCAACAGTGCTGCTGAGCTTCAAGTCATGCGACCCACGCCACCGGGCAGGGGGGCGGCTCGCCACCAATCGCAGTAATGCACACATACGGAGCTCCGCCCACGCCGCGCCTGCTGATAGGCCCGAGCCGCGCTCACATGGACTCCCGCTTCACCTCTGTGCCAGAACTCCCACGTCCCTCCATCCATCCCGTTTCATTGATTTGTATGCCAGTGAGCGTCGTGTGAACTAACGCGTGACGGAGGGAAAAACACGACAACCTTTTAAAATAGCGACGCGTTGAGTTGAGGGGACGAGCGGTGCTTTATGTAATGTGGATGAACCTCAGCGTAATGATTACATCAGTGCGATGTGATGTCAACCAAGTAACAGCCGATACGTGACGTGCATGACGCTGGGTTCTACGCGCGAGTCGATCGGTGCGCGCATCGCTGCTTACCTTATGTGTGGTGCGAATAAAATCACTAGTAGCGTCACCACTCCGAGGCCCGCGACGATTAATAAAAGCAACATCACAGCGCGGATGAGCGCCTTCCCGTCTCCTCCAGCAGGACGCCTCCGCTCTGTGGGCAGAACAGCTGATGTCAAAGCATAAAGGGGCGGGCGCGCAGGAAGGCTGCACCGCGAACGGAATCATGGGAATTGTATTGTTTTATGGCTCGGCAAAAAAAAAGAAATGAACACTTATTTATGGCTGGATACAATCGTGTTTATTACATAAATAATAATACGTGGCAGCTTGTTGGACCTCATGATACAACTCCCATTAAGAAAAACAACTTTGCATCACTATCAAGAAGAACACACAATAAAAAGACAAGAACATCCGTAAATAAATCAATAAACAAATAATACAGTCCGCCAAAACGTTGGTCCCGCAAAAAAATTAAATCGACTTTTAAATAATGTGAAATAATTGTTGGAAAATTGAATTATTGTAGTGTACAGTGTGTGGTGGAAGTTATTTCCCAGAAGGCGTAGCGACAGCTGCCTGTGGCCTGCCTGAGTGAAATTATTGTCGGGGTAATTTTAGATAATATTTTACCACTATTTGGCGTTATTTGTTCATGTAGTATTTGTATTTAGAACGGTACTTTTAACCATTTATTGTGGTTTAAACAAAAACTAAAATGATAAAAATCAGTTACGTTTGACTTTTGTTCCGGCGTTTTTGTCACCGGATCGCGACGTCCGTCATGCGGAAGTCCCGGGATTCTTATTAACATGAAAGCAAAACAGTAACGCAGATTAACTTCAATTTAACGTGACTGTGATTCGTGTTGTGTTTAACCACAAAAGCCGAAGTAGTTTCTCCCGGAAAGGAAGCTGAACGCCGTCTAAATGTCGTCCGAGGAATTCGAGAAATTGCAGGAAATCTATAAGTCTCTGTATGAGGAGCTCAAACTGATGCCCGACAGAGCTCCGACATGCAACGCAGGTAACGTTAACTAACCGCAGGTGTTTCACCGGCTCGTGTTCGCTAACTGCTTTAAAAACTGGAACTCCGACTCGCTTTGTGTCTACAGAGGAGCGGAAGAGGCTTCTGAGGACTTTCGATGAGAGACACGGGGAGGCTGATGAAGTGGTGAGCTGTTCGTTGTGTCTAACAGATGACAACAAACACGTCAGTCAACGCGTCACCGCAGAAACAAAGAAGACATTGGGGGCAATCGGTCGAAACAGTTTTCCTGGCCTAGTTTGTTGAAGGTTACGTCATGATCCATGTGATGTTGCACACAGTTCCAGGGACAATCCACAGATGAATGGACAACAAACATTCAGCATTATCGTTTCAGAACCGAGATCTGCCACTAAATCCTGACACTTTACAGTGAGACGGCTGACCGCATTGGTCCATATGTTTTAGTTGTCTTTCATCCTTTTTAGGTTAATCTTTACCAAGTCCTGTTTGGTAGGATTGCACAACAAATAAAATGTTTTGTATGTGTGGGGAATAAATCACTACAGAATGGATCAACCGGAATGACACATGTGAAGGTCAGAAAGAGCCAACAGTCTTTGGTAAAAGAAACTGGAAGCTTTCCATCAAAAAGTAATTCCCCCAGTGGTAAAACGCTGTGGGGACAAAGACTGAACATCATTTACTTCCTTACATCTTGGACATAAACTATTTCCACTGCTATTGGGGTATTTTGCCTTTTGGCATGGAAGGGTCAATAGGAGCACAACCTCATACAACTGTTGTTTCTTTACCGTTCATAAGCACTTCACAGAGAAACGTCTACCTGTGCAATTAGTTTTTGTTTTCTGTATCTAGTTACAAGGAATGGAAGAAGAGTTGCGTGCTGCACCTTCCTCCTACCGAAATCTAATGAGTACCAAGCTGCGCATGTATCGCCGCGACCTGAACAAGCTGCAGAGGGACATGAAAAGCTCCACTACCGGCTTCGGTTTGTCTTCCTCAACAGTGGAAGGAAGTCATCATGGCATCTATTCCTCTCAAAACCAACAAAGTGTGAGTGTTGACTTTGATATTTTATAATTGCTGTTTTGTGAACGCTGTCATCAAACCTTAAAGGAAAAAAAAATGGAGATCTTGCAGATCTAGAACAAAAGTGCACATCCTGCTTTTTGGTCAAAGAAATTCTGTAGAAGTGCAGGAAATCAAAGAATTGATCTGGTTGAAGTTTGCGGAAAGCTTGGCACAACGAAATGGTTCCCCAAAGGGAGGTAAAAGAATCTCACCAAGTGTTATTTACTTGGGCTGGTTTGTCATCTTGTCACCGACGCAGACCCACCTGCAGTCCCAGAGAGCTTTGCTGCTGCAGGGCACCGACTCTCTGAACAACGCCAGCCTGAGCATCGAGCGGAGTCAGCGCATCGCCGCTGAGACGGAGCACATCGGCAACGATATCATCGAGGAGCTGGGGGGGCAGCGGGAACAGCTGGACCGCACCAGGAACCGAGTGAGCTGAGAATTGTTGCTGTACTTCAATATTTTAGTCGCTTGATTCAGTTTGTTATGTTTACATTTGTGAAAGCGGTGCACAATTTTTCTTTGTTTTGGGTCAATATGATCTATGTTTATTTTATTACTATGATAAAGGGTAGTTTTCAGGTTAGGTTTTGTTGAATCTATTCTGTCTTTTGTTTATTTTGAAGTTGGTGGATACTGGAGAGAACCTCAGTCGGAGTAGAAAAGTTCTTCGTGCAATGTCGCGGCGGTAAGTTGTATTCTATAAGTTGTTGTTTAACTTATCTGGTTTCCATTTTTTATCGATGCACCAAATTATCAAGAGCTCAGTTGCTTCAGTTTCCTCTTTTTTTATGCCTTTCAGCGGATGTCAGGTCATTCTTTGTCTGTAATTAGCTTTTATAGTGCTATACTGAATTAACCTTGTTTATTATTTGGGTGTCAACCAAATCCATCAAATATAATCCCACATGCCCTTCATAATTTTGTCTTTAAAGCGTCTTAATCTAAAGATTCAGTATAAGATTCTAAAGGACAAAGAAAATCATCAAGCACTATTTGTATCGAATGCTCTACATATTGTATATGTTTATTGTTGATTCTCATCCGGTTTGTTGTCGTAGGCTGGTGACAAACAAGCTGCTGTTGGGTGTCATCATTTTAATGGAGCTGGCCATTCTGGGTGCTGTGATTTATCTGAAGTTCTTCCGGCGATGAGCAAACAGTCCGAGAAACAATCTTAAGCTCTGTATGGAGGTCAAACCCGGACACTCTTCATCTGACTCCACCGACCATCCGCAGCAATAATTCCCCTGTGCCGCACCCACCCGACGGTCTCTGAATGGATCCGGACACTGAGGCGGTTCAGACATGCGGTGAAACGACCTTTACGACGGGGGATTCTGTTCTGTGGCAGGTGATGTTAATTTCTCAAGAATGACGAATGCTGATTGTTGAACCTGCTAATGGACCTACAGAGACTCCAGAAGCTCCACACACAACATTTTACCTGCGATTTGCACTGTAATCAAACTGTTAACGGACGCCCTGCAGGGAGGTTTTGTGGACTCCGTATGGGTCCTTTGCAGGGATTTATTTCCACATGAGTACGATGTGCATGCATGCGTAACCCTCCGGTCACCGTCCCTGTGACTGAATGTTACTGGTGGAAAGTTCTGGGAGGTTTATACATTCTCAGATTGGGACACTTAATTATTAACCCTCCAAGCAAGTGTATTGTTCATTTATCTTTTTAGAACACAAACCCACAGCATTGGCACTAGTTGAATATCTTTTGTTGCTGTCTCTTAATACCCCACATCCAAATCATTGTATTTGGCTTTTTTTCATTTCTAACTATTAAAAACCTAAGGCTCTTAACGCATGCAACTTAACAGTTAATAACGTTGTCTGATCGCTGAATGACATACAAATCAATGTTATAAAAAGCTCCACTGTTCCTTATCTCCGTGTCTCCAAATCTTATAATATTCATCTTTTTGTTTGCATCCTATCTGGTTTTTCAAACAAAGTTAGGAAAACATTTGCTTCGGACCTGAAGTCACCGAATGTGTTGGTCAGGTGGCTGCTGGGTAAACAGCACCTGTTGCTACGGAATTAATTCCCAAATAATGATGATAGGGATCTTCTCAGTGCCGTGTTTTTGAAGTGGAACATCTGCCACAATGTTTTTCTTCCGCATAGATATCATGCCTTCCTAGAGTGGTTCCAAGAACAAAAACATGTTTGCTGACCTTCTTTAGGGGATCGGGTGAGATAGAAATGAATATGTGAATCTTTTGTCTGAAGTATTGCTTTCGTGTCTCTTTTAAAAAAAAACTTAGAACTTTGCGGTTGACAGCGGCAACACTGTGGTCTATAATTGAACATGAAAAGATGATGCTTTATGTGATTGAAGTGGTTGTAACCATAAATATTACTGTGATTCCAGCGACACTATTAACAGTTTATACCAGTCAAAACATGGTCCGTTTTTTCTTTCATGCATCAAGTTAAGTATAACAGGGGTGCTTGGTCGACCACTGAAATATCTCAAATACTATTGGATGGATGATTCCCAGAGGATGTACCCTACTTACGTAAGTCATCCTCTTACTTTAATGCTAGCACAACGCAGAGGTTCATGTTTTCACAGTGAATTCTCTCAACCACTAATGGATGGATTGTGATGACATTTGGGAAACATGATCAACTATTAAGGATGGATTCAAGCTGCCACACTGATTTAAAATCCTGATCTCAGACTAATGAGGGCCGAACGTGAAAGTATGGTTGCCATCTTTTATACAATGAGTAATCCAAATATTGTACAAATTAATTTAGTGCTTAAAATGGGACTTTTACATCATATGTATAACTTAACTTCCAGCTCAAAGATGCCAGCAATATTTCAACGGTCTAGTTTTTCCTCGAGGGATCCAGGTCGACTCTGTTTCGTCTGGTATATATGACCGTAGAACTAGCAATGTATGTGCCGAGTAGTACTGTACCTTCCAAAATACAACAAAAATGAGACATTTACTCAAACAAAAAATGTAATCACATTTATGGAAGATTAAAACAAGGTACAAACTCTTTGTTACGTGGACAAGAGTCATTTAGTGGCCACATCTAGTCAAACATTGGTTCAGTTGAATTTCATGCTGGATGCTAATATGTGTCCTGCTAGATTCATCGTGAAAATACAAAAGTAGACTCTAAAGAAAATACAGTAACCGCAGCTGGTCCAAAGTGCAAACACATCATTTCTAGTTATTAGTAACTGACACAGCCACTAAAGGTTCATTCATATAGGTTCATTCTCTTTAAACCAAAAGCGTAATAAATATGTTCTAACGCTTAATTTATTACATACAGGAGCCGAATAAGTTAGTATTTCTATCATTTTGTCTGAGCATTATCAATGTTTTTACCTCAAGTCTGCAAAGCCCTTTTTAAAAATAGAATAATGAAACCAGACCTAAGCTGGTTTTCATCATGAAACCGCACAAAGATTAGAACAACAAAAAAACCCCTTTAGCTACTTTTAGATTCCGTCGTATTCAGAATAGTGGAATGCTCTGGGACGATGTCGGTAAAGTTCAAAGCTTCGCTTCGCGCTCAGAGGCGAAGCTGCTCCGTGTCGACCTTCACGGAGGGAATCTCGTCGATGGAGGCGTGGGCGCCTTCTCTCGTCTGTCCCAGGGACGACGCAATGACGTCCACCGCTAGAGAGGCGGTGGCCTCCACCGCTTGTCGGGTGGCCCCCAGCATCGGGTTCACCTCCACCAGGTCCATGACGGACAGCAGACCTGCGACGCATTCAGAGGTCAGACACCAAAGAGCAAAAGGGGACGATGCGAGCTCGGGTGAGACCACAGAGGTCCGCGAGGGGTCCTCACCTGTGTTGTGGATCTCCTCTGTGATGTAGATCCCTTCCCTGTAGGTCAAACCGCCGTTCACTGGCGTTCCCGTGGCCGGAGCCAGAGACGGGTCGAACGCGTCGACGTCAAAGCTCAGGTGGATCGGTCGCTGCTTTCTGTTCGAGGTGAGACAACGAGGTGGGAAATTCAAGGTTCAGATCTGCGCTCATTTGGATTTATCAAGTGTGTAAAACAACAAAACACTTTTATTTGGAGTTTAACGGGGAGGACATGTAACCTGTTACCTTGACAAAAGATGGTCAAGGCTGACTTCCATGACCCTCTGGATGCCGAGTCTGTCGATATCCCTCATGGTGAAGTACTGGATATTCAGGTCCTTCAGGATTTGGCTGTAATAAACAAAATCAGAAACATCAAGAACGGGTTCCGCGGTGTTCACAAAGCGTTCATGCTGACAGCGGTGAGTCCAGCCACGCGTGGCGGAGGGTGACAGTGTCACTCACTACTCTCCGGGGTCCACGTCCCGCAGTCCGATGTAGACCAGGTCCCTCGAGGAGAGGAACGGCTTGGTCCAGGAGAACCCCGGGATATCTGGCATCTTTGGTGGACAGATAGAGATAATGTTACATGGAACATATTGCTATGTACACTGTGTCTGCAGGGACAGTAAAAAAAAACTCCACCGCTAATTATATCCTTCTGGTCTATTTTGAAAACGTTTTGCATTGCTTTCACTGGGGTGTGCCTTGCTCCGAGGCAGCAGGGCCGGGCTGCCTGAACACGTCTGTCGCACTGAGGCCTCGATAATCCGCTCGTGTTTGCGAGCGGATGTTGTGTCAGCGCTGCAGCCAGCTGGTTATTGTGGTTACATCACAGCTAAAGGTTGTTGTTAAGCCTCGGGCCGGAAAGTTTTACATCACACGTCGGATGTGCTGCACCTTCCTACAAGACGTCAAATTCACTTTTACAAGTCTGATTTTACCCTCAAACTTTACCTGCTTATTTGTCAATGTTTTCAAGCATTTTCTCTCTTTTTTTTTTTTTTTTTTTGGTCCCTATGAGTTAAGCTCTTCCTAAATAATGTGTTTCCCCTTAAATGTTATGACGACGCAGTGCACATTCTCAAGCTTCACCTTGTCTTGCAGCTCTTTGAGCATGAATGCCACAGGCTGGCCGTGAAGGTTTCCTGACGGAGAAGACATGGGCGTGTTTATGTCGGCGTGAGCGTCGACCCAGATGAGACACAGGTCGGGACACTGCTGGGCGTGGCCTGCCACCGATCCAATAGCAAGGCTTTGAAAACGGAAAGAGCAACCACGTTAACGTCCGGCGTTTCTTATCGATTCAATTCCGAATTTCGATGGCGTGGGTCAGTGCATGACCCTGTTCTTCATCATTACCTGTGATCGCCTCCGAGCATGACCAGGGTGTGTCCAGCACCGACGGCTCTGCTCACCGCGCCGGACAGGGTTTTGTTGGCCGCGCCCACGGTGCGCGGGAACTTGACGTCCATGTAGGGTTCGTCCTTCTCCACGTGGTGGAAGCTGAGGTCGCCGAAGTCGTGGACAGCGTAGTCTAAAACACCAAAAACGGAGAGCGCCTGCTCGATTAAAACGCCACTGCAATGGAGTCCAAACGCACCTACAGTATTTAATGCAGATGAACTCCACATGTTCACGCTGGGCATTTTTTCTGCTACATTTCTGTGGCTGGTTCAGACAAGTTTACCACAACGCGGTTAAACGCTTTCTGGACCAGAGGGAGTTCTTGATTAAATGATCTAAGTTACTGGAAATATAAGACAACCGGGGGGAGGGGGTTGGGCGGAGCTTCTCAGGAAGGACAAGGGACTATTTATGGTCAGTTTAGGGCTTGAGGTCTGAAACACCAGTCACAGGTCTGTAGAGGTCGAGTTAAATGGGCAGGTGGAGGGTGTTGCAATGTCCCTATACCCTCAAAGGTGGGCCTGACATCTTTTGCTGTAGCGCCTCCTAGAGATTTGTTAATGTAAATAAAAATCTGTCACAGGCAGGACTGTCAGAGCAACATAAAGACAATAAAATATTACATACGATACAGTGTCCATTCTGGCTGGGTTATTTTTTTGGACCCTGTCCTGTCTGTTTTCAAAGAGACCGTCCTGCTTTAAACACCGATTCAACTTGAAAAGTCTACATACGTCCGTGGCGTCTGACTTTAACACACATCCGTCTCCCTTGCGGTCCGAGCAGGCCGATCCATTCAGTGACCGAGCACTTTGCAGTGTCCCATTTCCCACATCAGCTCAGCTTTCAGCCGCCCTGCGCCAAGTAGATCAAGCGGTATAGGCCGGGAAAAAATTTCCACTTTGGTTTAGGCCATGGACTGCGAAGTAAACAAGTGATGTGATCTACCTTATGGGGGGATTCATCTGGCAATGTGATCCGACAAGGCCGTGTAGTGTTACGCTGCTGATCTAAGGGGAACCAATGTGGTTCATTTCCATTCCTAGCCGGGACAGGAATAGCCCTTGTCTTGATGCAACTCCGAGCATCTACTGCATGACAATAAAAGAAAAGTTAAAGCAGCTTCGGTTTACTGGGGAAGTGAAAGACTACTGCTGTGGTCCCGGTTCTTTGGTTCAACCGTACTGGTTTGATTGTGTCTTTTTCTTTTCCCCTCTACGGAGACAGTTGGACGAACTGACATGAAGTCGGACAGAGTTTAGTTCCGTTAGGGCCCGAGTTCCCACGTTGGGCTCGGCTCGGGACGCGCCGTCTGTATGTTTTTCACTGCTTCCATGTCGGCGCCAGTCACCCAGAGAGAAGATTCCTCGCCAGCTCGTTGCTTTTGACTTCTGTGGGCATTTCTTCTTTTAAATGCAAGCATTCCTATATAGAATCGTCCACAGATCGAACTTTCTGAATAATAGAAAAGTGAAGAAGTTGCCAGAAAATGCCTGTTTTCTTAATTAAAGATGGATTGGATTTTAATAACTGTCAAAACTGTAAATAATTATTTCAACCGTTTTCGGTGACGTTATTTTATGGGAATGTTGTATAGTTGACCGCCGTGCACTGGGGAATTAAATCGACCCGTTTCTAAAAAATGCATTCGGTAACAAACCGGCCGGCTTCTGCCAGAAGAATAAAAGTAGGTCAGAAACATAGAAGGACGTTCCGTCCGCGGCGATATTGTGTGAGAGGAGGCAGTATAATGTCAGGCAGCCTGTTTATTTGGCTGCAACCCAGGAACAGGTTCTTCCGCCCCTGCTGTCGCACACCTCAATGATCTGCTGTAAGAGTTGCACAGCAACACTTTTTTTTTTATTGCCCCCCCCCTTCGCCATTTTATATCCTGTCCTATCAAAGTGACCTTGTGTCCCCTTATTGTGGTGTACGGATATTGATACGCAGACTGTTAAACTATATAGTGGGTGTATTTATAGTAAGCTTATCGTGCCGGTAGCCTAGTTTAAATCCTATGTGCAGTCAACAGGCACCACTTACTAGATAGATATTCTAAGTGACCTTCCCATTTGGTAGTTTTCCTTTTCTTTGGTATAATTATACTAGATTATAATGATTTGTTTGGTGGGTAATTATGTCTTCTTGCAGATTACTAGGTGGATGATGACAACATTTTTGTGGAGGCCACCGATCTCCGCTGACTTAAAATGGGCATGCGTCTGCATTATACATGCATGTTATTCGTTACCCACAGCCCACATGTGAATGGGCCGGTACATGCCGCATGTATCAACCTTCAGCGTGTCCTTGATATTGAAACCCATCTGTGTGCGACCTGCGAATAATAAGAGTATACGTGTCCTCGGCTGGTTTTTCTTCTTCTTCTTTACAGTATTCCTGTCGTCACTCCCCAGTCTCTTAAATCTCCCCTTTCCTTTGTCGCGTGTGGCAGCGTGACATTTCAATCACAATGCAACCTCAACGACCTGCTGAGCTAAAATGAATAGTGGATTCTTTCCGTCTGCGGTTTCCTCTTTCAGATTCAAAGCATCCCTCCCTCCTCTCCCCTCCCTCCCTCCATCGCGAGGCTTCCGGGGGGGTTTCGGTTGAAACGGGAAATAAAAAAGACTTGTTATTAGGGTGGAGGTGTGTGTGTCGACAGAATGAAAACTACATCCGCAGTCTCCCTGCGCCTTTTCGACCATGTGCCGGAGACCAGAATGACGAAGCCCGGCGACCATGACTCATGCAACGTCTCGCCTGTGTCCATTCACCGAGTGACCCGGCGGAGGGTCTACTTTATTCCGCGCCTGTTGTTTTAGTAGACGTTTTAGTAGACGTTTTAGTAGACGTTCCGGAGGAGTGTATGAAACTAGTCGCCATTACTTCATCGTTCTGCTTCTTGCAGTAATACCCGCACCGGTTTCTGTCACTACATTATATTGTATTAATATACTGTAACGCCCCATTAAATTCCAACACCAACAAATAAAATGAATAGGAAAGCGGGTCTGACTTTGTTCCCCCCAACACGTGTTCCTCTCCTCTACATCACGTCGGATGTTTTTATTTACAGCCTCCCGGTGACGTGACGGCGCTAAACGTTAAATCTGTCTAAACGCTTTCCGGGGGGGTTCCCCCAACTTTGTTTACCCAAGGGGGCTGTCCGGGTTGTTCTTGTCCCCCCCCCCCCCCCCCCCAACCACCACCATCACCTCCTCCACCCGCGCCCCCCTCACCTACCTAAACCGGAGAGCCTCTCGAGGAGCCCCGCATCTCTGATGGCTTTAGGGCCGTGCTCCACGCCTCCTCGTTTCTGTGTGGAAACCAGGATGAAGGAGTTGACTCGTTGCCGATGGTGTGTTTTTGAGAAAATGTAAGATTTTTAATTAAGGTTTTCCTTACCTGTCCTCGTGAAAACGGAGCGCCCAGCACAGCCACGGACTGAGCCCTGCTTGGTTGTGACGTGAGGCCCAGCTGAGACCTGAGGAGACGGGATACAGGTCCTCTCAAAGCCATCTTGATTTCTTGTTTGAAACGAAAAGAGAATCCGAATGGCGCCGGTAGAAATCAGTGTGGTGCCGGACGCCGCCGCAGAGAGTCTGGTGAGGGCGCTGTGGACGGCGCGCTTGGTGGATGCTGAGTGTGGGCTCGATGGTGCAAGAGGCTGGCTTTATTGCTCCCAAATCTACTTAATATTCATGAGCTGGAGAATAGGAGGACTCTGGTGGAAGAATACAAGAGGCGATAAAAGGCGATTTTTTTCTTTCTTTCTTGGAAACACCGAGGTGTTCGGAGTCCTCGACTAGGATCGGCGTTTTTGAACGCTCGTGCACTTGTATTGCGGCCAGGGGTTCCTATTTACGATCGAGCCACTGACGTCATCTTGAGTGACACACCTTCAGAGCAGCCAATGGGAATCGGCGAAATAAGTGGGTTCGCTCTGTGGGCGTGGCCCGCCGGCCAGGTGCCTATCGGGTTTGTTGTAAAGTACTTTATTGCAGTCTCATCACTATGGAATTTCCCAGAAGCGCTGCCAAGTGCTGGATACGGGCTTGTTTACATTGTTGGATTGGACCTGGTTGTTTGTCAGCGCGTGTCCATGGCGTGACAGCCTGTTGCCACAGCTTCACATGAGTCCACGTCTATGTACTGGAACAGGAGCCTCATCTTGGGTCCTGCGATCCTTGGCGAAAGAATAATGCCTATTCAAACCTTTTATATACATTGTCAACACACAATAAAACATGATGATTAAAGGTATTATACGCATTACGTAGGTTTAGGTTCATACATTATTATTACTTACGTTTAATATCCATCTTATTTTATGATATTTATTTTATGTTACGTGTGACGTAATCAACCGGAATTGGGCGTGACAAAGCCAATGCAAAAAAAAAACATATTACGAAAAACAGCATTGCTTTGTAATAACTCATACAAACACTTATATGCAAAATATACACACACAATGCGTGTACAGTACAACTGTGTACACGTCAGGGAAAGTAAAGCCGCGCACGAAAACAAAGAAATGCAAGTCAGATAGATCCGTTCTGTTGTTTCACCCTGAATCCCCGCGGGAAGACCCGCCCATCTCTCACCAATAACACACCTTTTCGTAAAACTGCTAATATTCAAAATGCCTTTCCTGCCAAAAAAATGACCAGACGGGCGTTTTATAATAATGCACCAAACTTGTAAAGAAACAACTGTTGTTAACTAACATAACACGTATTTGAGCCGCCGTGACCGAGTCTCTCTGCCAGACCTGTTAGTGTTGTTAGAATCGGGGTCAGTCTTCTAGACGCTCCAGATATGGAGCAGCTGGAACAGATCGGGCAATGGATTTAGCGCCACCAAGCGTTGGTAATATAGAATACCAGGGATTTAATAATGGTGAAAGGTTTCTAAGCCCTGAACGTAGCCTGTCAGGCAAAATGCTTCCCAGGAAATTTACAAATCTCTTACTCCAAATAATTCCTTCAGAACACATTATTATTTGGTAAAAGTATATAAGGGGAGGTCAGTGTTTACAGGTGGACCTTCTATCTTCGAATTAAACCTCACGGATTATTTACCAAACTATGCAATTTGCTATCTTGGATACCAAATATTTTTTAAGGCAAGTTATGGAAACATAAACAGCCATCTTTGGTCGTTAGACTCAAATGAATCTTGAATAATTAATTCAAGTATTTTTCAATAGGAAATGAAACTCTTTAATTTTTTGTTAGAGATACCGAAAAGCTGATAAGACCTTTAAAGTGCCTAAGGAAACCTTGTTCACCTCAAGAGCTACGTACACTTATGACCTAACTAGTCAGAAACGAGGACAAAGACATGCCGAACCTGCGAGGGACGTTGTATTAGCAGAAAGCAGTGGAATAAACAGATTGCAAAGAGCTGCAAGAGACTAGAAAAATAATTCCATGGAGCCAGCTCAATTTTACAAGATATAGCAAGGCTTGTTTCTCCTGAATAAACCTTCAGAGCAGATATTTTTATTCATGGGACATTTTACTTTAATGGATGTTTCTTGCGTTGATGTATTACCTCCCTCCCTCACATAGTGTTACAAATAGATTTTTCCTACTATATGAACAAAGTATGTTTTGCCACCCATTTAAAAATATTTGCTAACATCGGTAGTGTCTTGTTCTTTGTTTTACAGTGTGGAAAATAATATTGCCGCATTTTATTTTAAAGTATGATTCCCTGGTAGACCAAGTTTAGGGTAAGAAAAGCCCACGCAGAGCTGTGCTCTCCCATGATTCATTTCGAAAAGAATAGGTCCCAGTTATTTGTATCCATAGGTGTTCTGACTGCGCGCCGGTGGCAATTATAACGCTAATCTGTAGCGTTAGCTTTTTTGTTAACCCTATTTAATGGGATTTTACTCGGATAAGCCATAGTATTATCAGACGCTGGGGTTTATTTAACACTTAACAACAGGTGAGTAAATTCTCACATGACCGCTGCAGCTAACGTGAACTAGCAAGGCCACACAGTGAGTGCTAGCTAGCTAGCTTGAGCTAATTTAGCTAGTTAACGTCAAACGTGGAGGAAGCCCACTTTTCGGCTAAGCAAGGATCATACCTAGTTAGTTAGTAGCGTTAGCCGGTCAGCATCACTAACCATGGTAAACATGTAATACAATGATGAAATCGACATTACCAACTTAACCCTGAACAGCGTCAACTATGTATTTTTCTCTCTTGTGCTCTTCAACTGAGCATCCTTCCTTCGTTACAGGTTCCTGTGTATTTCGGGATGTCTTACCCTCCTCCGCTCAATCGCCAGCAGATCGGCATCCCGCAGTTGCCTCCCAGGATCCCACCTCCTCAGTACGCGGGATTCGCCCCGGGTGTCCCGCCAGGTAACGTCACAGAGGTTCACACTACATCAGCAGAAACAGCCGTTTCCTCAGTGTGCGTGTGTGTGATCGTTGGTTCCGACGCTGCGAGGAGTTCGTGTTTGTTGTCTTTCATTTCAACAACTCAGCGCTGCCTCTGAAAATGAAGGCGCAGAAGGTGACGTTGTAGATGTACCCTGGTACTTGACTTATCTATAACATGTCCTTTCCAGACATGTTATAGATAAGTTCTTATAGCTTAAATACTATATACAGTAAATTACTAATTAAACAAAGACAGCCTTCAGCATTTCCTTGTTATATGTAGTTGGTTGTTACCTCAGGAAATCAAAAACACAAAGGTCGGATGTATTTGTATGCTGTGATACAGGGTGTGCTTATTGTATTTTGTTAATTTTGTATTTCCAGGTACTCCGATGATCCCAGTTCATATGGGTGTCGTGACCCCAACAACCACAGTGAGTCCGAAACATCAGCTTTTGGATGAATAAATAGTCCCCACACACTATCCATTTAGCTCCAGTCATGCAGCTTGTTTTGGCCCGTTTAACTGATGTTTAAACGTATTGTTAAATACTTCTTTTGTTGTCATCTTATTCAGAGCGACAATAAATCACTGTGATACCTAAAATGTTAATTCCTTGTTGCAGGTTCTTGTGCCGACCACAGTCTCAGTAACACACAAGCCGATGCTTCCAAAGAAGGAGCTCAACGTCAGAGCAAAGGACACGGACGACTGCAGCGGCCCCACCACCACCGTTTTTGTAGGGAACATCTCTGAAAAAGCATCCGACATGTTAGTCAGACAGCTTCTAGCGGTGAGTTGACCGTCTGTATCCACTCCGGAGATGTTCAAATAAAGTTCAAGGTATAGATGTTTGGGTGTCGGATGGTTCGACACTTCGACACATCGAAGTTGGCAGCACCCTTTTCATACAAAGCTTTTTTTCTGCGCCTCCATAAGGCCTTTTGATTGTTGCTGCGCATGACTCACCTCTCGTATCCACTGACAAGTCCCTGTGAACATATGGCTCAGAGAAAACCAAATACTGTTTCATCAGTTCCTTATTAGTGATTTATTGATAATGAATTAATAATATCACCTGTCATTGGAAATTAATGAATTCCTGTTTTCTTTCAATACAGAAATGTGGTATTGTTCTTAGCTGGAAAAGGGTTCAAGGTGCCTCTGGGAAGCTTCAAGGTAAAAATGGGACCACCCATTTAAACCTTTGCTATTGATGTGAATGCACGTTACTATGTAAGGTACTGCATTATAGTATCTCTGTAATCTCATTTGGGACTATTCATCCCAACACATTCTACAGATTTAACATTTGTTTTGGGGCACAAATTTACACGACGACTTTAAAGCTAAATACAGCTAATTCTTTATTATCTATCAAACTAACTGTCTGTTCTGCTCTCCTCGGCTGTAAGCTTTTGGATTCTGTGAGTACAAGGAGCCTGAATCCACACTACGGGCCCTCAGACTTCTGCACGAGTTGCTCCTGGGTGATAAGAAGCTGCTGGTGAAGGTAGATGCCAAGACCAAGGCCCAGCTCGACGAGTGGAAGGCCAAGAGGCGGAGCGCCAACGGGGTATGCTGCTCACCTGCTGAGGAAAAGATCATCCCTTCTGATTGGGTTACACGTGAGTTGTGTTTACAGGCCTAATCGTTCTGTCTGCAACATACAGGAGGCCAGTGATGCGTCTAAGAACGGGGACGAGGAGGAGGAGGAGGAGGTTGTTGATGAAGAGACCCTGCGTCGTGACCAGGTTGTGAAGGGCGCAATAGAAGTCCTCATCCGAGAGTATGCGAGTGAGCTCAACGCACCCTCACAGGACCCCGACAGTCAACCTCGCAACAAGAAGCGGAAGGAGAAGAAAGAGGAGGTATTGTTGTCACAATGAAGATGGTGTGTGATTTGTAGATTATCGTAGTAACTAATGAGTACTGAGTTTGTTTTTTATTGTGTGTTGTTTCTTCCCTTTAAGGAGGATATCAATGCCATGGAGATGGAGGATGACAAGAGAGACTTGATTTCCAGAGAGATCAGTAAATTCCGGGACACGCACAAGGTAAAAGCTGCTGTTATTACGCTGTCATTTACGTTTTGGAGAAGAAATCCTCCACATTTGTATGTAGAAAATTCCTCAACCGCAAATGGAGCAGCAAAATATATGTATGCATAATTTCTGGAGGTAGTTCTGCCATAAGACAGTTCTGTTACTGTCCACTATAGTAAGGAGGTGGTGTGTTAATGATTTGATTAGTTAGTCAAATTGAAACATTAAAGGAATAGAGAATAGTGGATGTTGATACGTTCGTAGACGGTGTTCTAGTATCTGTCAGTGTTTCCAAACTGGACAAGAGTTGTTACTCTTCTTACTGATTTGAGATTAAAGGTTTTAG